TTTTGGTACGTGAATAAACGCTTTGCATCCGAAAATTCGTAGCATGCTTAAGTCTTGCTTCCTTCCAGTCCACGCTTCCTCTGGCGTTTTACCTTTAACTGCAATGGTCGGTGATCTATTCTTTAAATACACAGCGTAGTTCACCGCCTCTGCCCAGAACTTTTCATCTAGCTCTGCTTCCTGAAGCATACTTCTAGCTTTTTCTGTTATTGTGCGGTTTGCACGTTCTGCAACTCCATTCTGCTCGGGTGTATACTCAACCGTTAATTGCTGTTGTATACCACACTGCTTCAAAAATTTCTTCATCTGCTCATTGACATACTCCTTGCCATTATCCGATCGAAGAATTTTTAATTTCTTTCCAGACTGGTTCTCAGCAAATGTCTTGAAATCTAAAAATTTTTGAAAGACTTCACTTTTGTTTTTGATAAAATATACAAAAGTTTTTCTTGTAAAATCATCAATAAACGTTAGAAAATATTTACAGCCCGACATTGAGTCTTTACTCATTGGTCCACATACATCAGTATGAACCAAACCTAAAATATCATCAGCTCTGTTTGCTAACCCTTTTTAAACGGTTGTTTGGTCTGCTTTCCCATCAAACAAGCTCTACACTGTAAGTTAACTGGATTATTAGTAAAACTTACCCCTGTAGCCAATTTGTCTCTCAGCAGCTTAAGGTTCCGTACACCAAGATGTCCCATACGTCTATGCCACAACTCTATGTCTATGGTACTGACAGTCGAGGCTAGTGCTTTCTCCTGTGAACAGAGCTTAAGTTTATAAACACCATTATCCTCCACACCTGTATATAAGACATCACCAGTAACCTTACATCCATCCGCTTTCAACAGTTCATAGCCTTTCGCTGAAAATACAACAACTACATTCTTCTTTACAATAGCACTCACGCTCAACAAGTTAGTTGCTAAGTGTGGTACATACATCACTTCACTTACGCCTGCAACATTCTCCTTACATACCACAGAACCTTCTCCAATACCATATACTTTACTACCATTCGCACATCCGATTTCCACTTTTTTGTCATACATTCTAACGTCCATTAAATACTCTTTGCTGTTAGTGTGCTGGGCCCATAACCTGATCGAGGACTAGATAACCTCGATCATATATAATAAATAAAGAATGCCAGCTAATATTGACTTAATATATATTTACAAACAAAATAGAACACATGAGTACAAACAACGTATCTAAGCAAGTAACAACCAAAACTTGAAGTGCATGTCAGTCAGTATATTCAAATAATTCTGACAACCACAAACCATACGAATAACAGCAATGAGATTACACGCAAATATAAACTCCTAGCAATTTGTCGCTCTAACATCCTCCTTTTTTGAAATCGGTTAAAAGTTAGTATTCTGGTATAAAATTCAATTAAAGAAAAGGCGCGGAATGACGAATAAATGACAAAAATATTCGATAGAAATTCATATGCAGGGAGGCCAAAGGGGAAGATCTTCCTCTGAGCTGGGTGTGTGTATGCTGTTGGTCGCAGATGACCTTTACAACGTCACCGGGTTTGGGGACGGCGAGATCCTAAGGAGACCTCAAGCCGAGAATTGGCGAGTGCTTCTAGAGGAATACCAGGCGGATGGCATCTACCCACGGGGGGAGTCTCCTCTCCGTCTGGAGCCTCTAGACCACTCGAACCAGAGGGGGTTGGCTCAACTAGAGGGCGTCTCTGAGACTCGAACCTCGGCTTTAGTTAGCCGTCGTCGCAGTGACCGGTTCAAGGGTGGCGGTGGGCGGTACGGAGGAGGACTTTTCGACTTCCGAGTCGACTAACTGTACGTGTTCAAGAGGGACAGGGATAGATATATTTTTAATACAAGAAACGTTTTTGAAACCGTCCATTCGTGGCCCGCGCATTGCCATCTACAACTTAGTCCGGAACGATAGAGACTGCCACGGCGGTGGCACTCTCATCTACTACAAGCGGTCTCCCCATTATTCCCCGTTAGTCCCTCCCAATCTGACTGATTTAGGAGTCTCCGTTTGTCGGCTAGGCATGACCGGGCATCGATCGATCATGATTGCGTCAGCTTACCTTTCCCCCAACAAAAACCTCACCCAACCAGACCTAGAGGCTCTGTTCGCTATGGACGACGCCGTCATTATTGCCGGCGACCTCAATAGCAAACACGTGCAGTGGAGTTGTAACACAACCTGCCGTTACGGTTGGTTGTGTTACAACTCTACTGCACGTGTTTGCAGCTGCAACGTTGAAGAACTCTAACTTGAGGGACCGCGGTTTGATCCTCGAGGACGCCATTAAGAGGAGGGCATGGTGAGCGCGCGGATAGCGGTGATAAGTGCGCGGTGTTCGGTGAAGATACGGGTAAACATGACAATGGTGTCGATTCTGCCATGATTCTCTAAATCTAAACTTACAGTGCATCTTTGTCATTTTTTATACAGAATGAAAATGAGAGGTTGATGTTAAATTTAGTTTTAAGTTTATTTTATTTATTTATTATTTATTTTATATCAAATACTTATATCTATCATTACAGGTTTTTATCCAAGGCAATAGATACATCCATTTAAGAAATTCACTATAAATATAACACATAAACACACATAATATAACACATTGGAAAAATAAATAATTATTTGAACCCGATGATCCACTCGGCTTGTTTTGTGAATTCGCTCAGAGCACAAACGAATAAGTCCGTCTCTTCATTAATTCTGTTGATTGTGCGCAATGCACGCGTCAGTGGAGTCTCACTCAATAATTTAGTGCGTCCAGTAGGAATTACGAACAGGCCTGGCCGCCGCCGACGCCAAATGTATTCATTTGAAACACTAAAACTAATCATCTCTAGTATGCACGGATTAAATATCTTACCCCGAAGCACCTTAAAAACATAAATAACTAGCTTCAATTCTCTCCTAACCCTAAGCTGACTATATCCAACCATACCCAGAATAAATAATGTAGGATATTGTAATGGATAAAAGGGATTCACTCCATATAGTTTTGAATACATGTATCTTTCAAATTTATTCTGCACTCTCTCTAGCATAAGATTATACTTCTGTTCGTGGGGGGCCCAAATCATAGCGTTACATTCCATATGACTTCTAACTAATGTTTTATACAAAGCGGCGATGGCCTGTACATTCGTAAATTCATTTATAGTTCGTAACATGAAACCTAAAGTTTTAAAAGCTTTTTTTACAAACGTCAACGATATGATCTCTAAATAATAAGTCTGCTGTGAATTTCACTCCTAAGTTCCTGACTTCTGTTACCCTTTTTAAAAGTGTGTCATCAATCTTATATTCGTGATCTATGGGCTTCTGTTTGCGTGTAAAAGTAATCGTCATACACTTGGATATATTGAACTGCAAGTCATTAACTTTGCTCCATTTGACAACTCTATCTATGTCCTCCTGGAGTCTGTTACAATCTCCTACATTCCCTATATCCGCCGACAACTTAAGGTCATCTGCAGATAACAAACATTTAGAGTTATTTACTACATTGGGTAAGTCATTTATCATGATTAAAAATTCCAAAGGCCCTAGGTTCGATCCTTGACTTACCCCGGACCAAGTAAAATACAGATCTGACTTTTGCCACTCGTAAGTACTCGACATACTGCTGCCTATCTGCCATGTAACTACAAAAAAAATTCAACAGATGTGATGTAAAACCAATCTGCGCCATCTTTTTAAGAAGTACATCATTATTTACCAGATCGAATGCTTTTAAAATCAAAATATGCCGCTTCCGTTTGCCCCCCTCTGTCCACTGATGGTATTATATCAGTCAAGAGGGCCAGAAGATTGCTAGTGGTGTTCAGGGGCGGGCCTGAACCCATGCTGCACCTCCGACAATTATGAGTCTATCTGCTGATATAAGCTTCTGTGTATAGCAGACTCGAAAACTTTCGCCGGAGTCGAGAGTACAGCTATAGGCCTATAACCCTCTACACTCGTTCCCGCCGTTCCTTTCGGAACGGGTAAGAGAATCATGCTAGAATCGACACCATTGTCACCCTTAGCTTCCCTGGATTTGGCCCCTAGAGCCTCGAGCTCCACGGTGGCGATCCTGAAAGCTGCGTCAGAATCGCTAGAGTCAAGGGCCAACAAGTTGCCCCAGACAGTAGGGGCGGGCGCGGTCGCGGTTACGGAGGCGGGTTTGGTGGGTTGAGCCGCCGGCGGCTTGGGGAGCCCTTGAAGAGGATTCATGTGAGGGACCGCGGGGGAGGGCGTCGGTGGCTAAGAAGCAACCACTTTACGCCATGCGTTGGGTACGGGGGTACGAGTATGGTAGCGGGGCAGAGGGAGATCATTCCCTGACCGAGGGAAGCCACGGGCACGCGTGCGCCGGTGTTTGCTCTCTGCAAGCAAAGTTCTTAAGATTTATAAATCGAACAGATTAATCTTTAAATATAAAACTATCAGTATATAAAATTATCAATACAGTAAAGATGGAAAATAAAAAGAAAGATGGTTATTATGGTGATTATTTTATTATTATTATTCAGCGCCCATATAATCTTATTAATATAAATACTCCTGCATCACCAAGTTGCTGGTTGCTGAATGCTTCATAGGATAAACTGGAACTGGAATCATCGTCACCTGCAAAGTTCCACCACAGGCAAAATTTGCATTTTCAAAACACGGATTTTCCATTCTTGTGGAATTTCTGGCTGATATGCTTCTCCAGGCAAAGGAATTTTCCCATAGCCTAAGCCCTTTTCCATAATTTGGAAAAAACAGAACTTAAAACGTATTTGCGAGTGATTCATTTCATGAGTCACAATGTTTTTACTTGACTGATATTGGCTGATCGCACAAACCACGCATGCCATAAAGAAGAAAAAGAGTCATGATGTTGTCGATGGATGGATTCATTTGCTTCACATCTCTCTCTCTCTCCTTTTCATTTCTATAGCGTATGATAAGGAAAACCTGTTGTCAAAAAATGACGAATAGCCTTGAGAAGTGCTAGCACATAGAAGAAAATATTTACATCATCGGAACGAAAAGCCATTATGCTTTTGATTTAATTAAAAGGATAAAGATTAAATGATTATTTTATTAGAATATTAATAAACAGTCAAGTCATTTTGCACTCATAAGCCATACAGAAAGTGGGTAAGTTCTGATTGGATTTATGGCTACTAGAATGAACCTTGGTGTTGTGTTGTTTGTGGTGTAATTAAAGTTTTTTCAAATTACAGCATTAAAAACGAAAAATGTTCTCCTCCATCTTTGGTAAACGCCGCTCGTCACCAGTTGAAGATGACACTCCTCCGATTCCGGGACCCAAGCAAGATGATGGCTTCGTCGTTGTTGACACTTTGTCTCCTGGTGGAAGTTTGTATCCCAGTATATCCGGCGGTTCATATCCAGCCCGACCTGCCCCTGCCGTTCCTCAGAGACCGAAAATAGATCAAACGTTCCATTATTTACAAGGTGTCCCATTTACACTGTGTCGTGAGCTGCAAATGTCTACTAATAAAGATTCCATGGTATCAGAAGTCAATGATCTATTAGTATTCATGAGCAGCAAGTTAAATTTAAGTGGTTATGAATATAAATTTTCTGTTGAAAAAAGTGTTTTAAAAGAATGTTGAAGTATTTGAATTGTTTGATGACCTCATTTAGATATGTCTGTAAAATACAATGCTTCATTGACTTCTATTGGTATCTACAAAATATTTGTGTAAAAACTTGTGGATATCACTGGGAAAGGAATGGCTATTCATGTTTATTCTTGGTTTATTTAAGGTTATTAGCTTTTTTCATAAGTTCTTGGACCATATATTATACATGTGTATTTCATCACCAATTTTGCCTTTTGAAAGTTTACTCTTGGGAGAAATCATAGGGGAGGTAACAGTAATGTTATAAGGTTTTGTTTTGTTTCTTCAATAAGTAAATGAAGCTAACTTGAATTTAGTAAAATTGTTAAACTTAAATATTAACACTAACTAAATTTGACAGCAGTTTATCTTTGTCATTCTCTGTACAGAATGAAAAGGAGAGGCTTGCGTCAAATGTAGATTTAATTTTAGAGAATCCTGCCAGAATTAACACTATTATTGTAGTAAGTTTCCAGGGCTTATGGCAGGGGATTGGATTTAGGCTGGCAAGGGATGTTACACTTGCACTTAACATCAAGTGGAGTGTGATTTTATTGGACCTTTCCAAGCACCTTTACCAGTATGGAATAGGTAAAGATGAGTTGCATATGATTTCATAAATAAGAATAATATAAATTGTTATTTTCTTTTGAAGTTATGGAAATACATTTATATTAGGATAGTCACCAATTACAATGTAAAAAGGTTATAATTAAAATTTGTACATAAAAAACAATAACATTTATTCTTTTGTAGCGTCTTAAACTAATACATCAAAATGTGATAAATAAATATTTTATACATAAATTTGGGATTTGATTGATATAATAATTAATATCGATACAATAGTTAATTATGAAGAAAATAAGAAATATTAAAGATTATTAAGTAATAATGTTTTTTGCTCTAGAGTTTTATGATTACATGTAAACTTGTAACTTGTATAATTATAAGTACACACTTGTCAACTCACAGCACCTAGCTTTTAAAGTAGTACAGCACACAATTTTCAGGATCAATCTTTCTATATGAGAGCGGCAAGTCCACATATAAATGCTACTATGATAAGGAATGGTAACCATGTTTTCACAAATGCTCCAACACTGAAAAGTTAAAATAAAAACATTAGTTGGAAAGTAAGGCATTATAAAATTTATTGTCCATGGTCCAAACACAGACATATTCCTCATACCAAGGGTATTAGGGCTTTTGTGCCTGTGATTGTATCAATATGACTTCTGCCCTGCTCGGCGGATAGCAGTATCTCAAACCTTACTGTGGTTGAGATACCACTTTTAGATTTATCAGGGTAGTATTGTTAATAATTGGCATTGACAAAATGATGAAGATGAACTCACCTAACATACTTTGAGTAAGGGATCATGTAAAATGCTAATTTGACCATGTTCCAGTTTTTACACCCGCCATAGTTCATGATATTCAGAGCAGTTGCAACGTGAGAATGGCAATTGTCGTAGAATATGATATGCTACAACAAGAGAAAATGTATTAATTTGCCCAAGTAATAATTAATTTCATTTTATAGGAAGAGTTACCATTCTTTTCTTATATATCTCAGAAGCTTCAGCAACAGCCGAGTCCCACCCAGCTTGTCCATTGTTGGATTTCTGAGGAGATAACTGCCAATACTTTGTAGGATTTCCAAAAGCCATCAAATCCTCTGATACAAAATAGGGGCCTGCAAAGTCTCTTATGACACCAGTGGATGTGCAAATACCCATATGGCCAAGAATTGGAAAGATCCATCTGCAAGATGGGGTTCATACTGAATCTTTCTTATTAAATACATAAAATAGGAAAATAATAATAAAATACCAACGTCAACACTGGAATAGGTGTCCAGACTATGCAGTAGGGGTACCTGCATCGTTCATGATCAATGGGATCCATTAATACAGCTTGATCGGTATCACCAATGTCCAACGGGCTGCCTGGACTGTGGTCGGCAGTCATATTTAAAAACCGGCTTATTAGACTTAAATTCTTTTACATTCTAAATTAAGATTACAGGCAGTATATTGATATTACCTTTTTAAGAGAACTTAATCTAATTTTTCTAAACAAAAGGATTTTTAGAGCATAAAACAACAAATTGTCAAAACTGATTGTCAGACATCTGTCAGTGTCAGACATGCACACAGACAGATTAAAAAGATTTTACTTTTGTTTAGGTAATTCTTTTACTTAATGAGAAGGCAAAAGATACTGTATTTATAGAGCTTCATTTTGCATACGCCCGCATCCTAAAGCAAAACAGTATACTGAAGACAAGGCTTTATGGAGTTGCCATCCGAGAGAACATTACAAAAAGAGGAATTTATTTGGTAGTTGCCCAGTGTGGCTAGTCCGGGGTATTTGATTTAACATTTTGTTATCAACAACATTCGCATTAATTAAGACACATACTTGGTCATTGAAATGATCAGCAAAAAATAGTAATCGCTCCATATATTGATACCTACATAAATATGTGTCTTTTCTGGCGTAATTCTCTAAACCTCAAACTAAATTTAACATCAGTCTCTCCTTTTCATTCGGTAAAGAGAATGACAAGGATACACTGTTGTCAAATTTAAGTTCAGGTTTACAGGATCATGCCAGAATTGACACCATATTTAATCTAAAAATGTAACTTCATGGCTGAAGCAGAAATGCTCGTATTCATCATACTACCATTTGCACTCACCGGTTCGAACCCGGGACCTCTGAGTGTACAACGCCATGAAACCTGGTGTATATACGACTCGGCCACGGAGGTCGTCTAAAATAAAAAAAAAAACGCTTTTTTTTCAAAGTATCAATTTGGCGAAAAATAATTTTCAATCTGACAAAAATTAGACACACCTGGCAGCCCTGAGTTTGACACTTTGACAGACAGACAGACCACGGCCAGAATAAATTAAAAAAAAAAAACAGTTTTTTTGGCGGGATTTCATCGAGTGCGGTTGGCGTCTTATTTTAATTATTTTTAAATTCGTTCATAGTGGATATTGTGAAATAAAATTGGTGTGGTTTTGTGTAACAACCGTCTGCGTAACTGAAGAATTAGTGGAATCGTTAAAATATACGCTATTCCGGTCAAGTGGACGTGAGAATTTTATTGTAGTGTTGACTACCTCACAGAAGCTTATCGAAAAAGCCAACTCGATACATTTATATTACATTTACATTTTTATCCGTGCGGTGACGGAGAAAGAATACAACTCACCGCCCCTTCTCTTCCCGTGGGTGTCGTAAGAGGCGACTAAGGGATATCGGAGCTTCCATCCGCTCTGCTGGTGGTAGGGTGCCTAACACCCGCCTGGTTTGTTACCACCGTGCGCATGGTGAAAAACCCGTGAAGTGCTTCTCGCGCGTTTCGGGGTCAGCCAGCGTACAACCAGGGCTCGAGTGGAGGTTGTCGCGACGGATTCGGTCCAGGGCTAGGCATCCGTGGAACCGATGCCGGGAGGACTGCATCGACCCGCCGGCCAGGGAGACCCGTAGAAACGGCTGTCCCGCTGGCCGCCCGTGGCACAGTACAGGGGCCCGAGCGTTCCTAACCAGTTCGCGAGGCTGCCCCATCATGTCACGCATAATCTCGGGGTGGACCGTCGTGCCGGTTGGTGACCGGGGCGTGGGGTCCCGGCGGCCACTCCCGGGGGGGTGCGGGGGCCCTTCCGTCCGGCGGGTCGGCGTATATCCTCTGCAGGCAATCATTCGGGGAAACATGCCTCCCTAATTTGCCCGGTCTTGTCGCGACAACGTCCACTCGTTTCACGTCTCTTTTTCACTTCCATAATGGCAGCTCCTAAAACAAAGTTTGGACGTTCAGCGGTGCACACCCCCACGCCTTCAACGCTGTTTGAGGTCGAGTTCTGCAACATACGCGGACTCCACTCTAACCTCAACGCTGTCCACCACCATCTTGAGACAGCACGGCCAGCATTGTTGTTCCTGACGGAGACACAAATACTTCCGCCTGCTGACACAGGCTACCTTAATTATCCCGGCTACGTGCTTGAAGAGTCCTTCAAAGCGAAAGCCGGTGTATGCCTGTATGTTCGGGCGGATGTTTGTTGTCGCCGTCTCCGCTGCTTGGAAGATCCCTCCTTCTCCATGCTGGGGGTACACGTCGACTCTGGCCCCCTGGCCAGAGTTTACGTGTGTCTCTACAGATCCCACACCGGCGATGTTGAGACAACTCGACTTTTTGAACACCTTAGTCGGGCAGCAGATGACGCGCAGGAACAATTTCCCAATGCAGAATTGGTGTTTTTGGGGGACTTTAATGCTCACCACAATTTGTGGTTAAGTTCCTCCAAAACTGACCATGCAGGGATCTCTGCTCACGCATTCGCTCTCACGCATGACTTGAAGCAACTGGTTGATCAGCCCACCAGGATCCCAGATATTCCAAGTCAAGCGCCTTCTTTACTGGACCTTCTGCTCACGACCCATCCACAGGGCTATCAGGTTGTGGTAAGAGCCCCCTTGGGCTCGTCAGACCACTGCCTGATATCTGCCAAAACACCACAGGCCAAGCCTCCGCGTCCAGCAGTGGTCAAGCGCCGTATCTGGCATTATGGGTCGGCAGATTGGGACGGTATGCGTGACTACTTTGCGTCCGTCCCTTGGAAGCAGCGCTGCTTCAGTGACAGGGACCTATCGGCCAGTGCCGTTGCCATTACTGAGGAGGTTATAATGGGTTTGGAATACTATATTCCTCATTCTGATCTCATCAGTAAGGGCACGCGTAACCTCTGGTTCAATCACGACTGTGCTGAAGCTGCTTCGCGTAAGCAAGCGGCATATCGTGCTTGGATCAGAGGTCGCGCTCTCAAGGATCCCGAGGTCGATTCACTCAAAGCAGCCTACAATTTTGCTTCCAAGGCCTGTAGGAAGGCTTACATTAGAGCGGATGCCCAGCGCGTTGCACGTGTTGGCCAGGAACTTATGACGCATCCTACGGGTTCCCGTAGCTACTGGCGTCTGGCCAAGGCCGTGCAAAAAAACTTCTGCGAGCCCTCGCTGCCACCTCTGAGATGCCCAGACGGAACACTAGCCCATAAGCCGCAGGAGAAAGCCGATTTACTGGCAAAACTCTTTGCGGCTAACTCCCGAATCGATGATTGCAATGCACTGCCACCATCATTACCTCACTGTGGCACAACGATGCCTGATATTAAAATCAGGCAGCGCGAGGTTCGTGCCGAATTGCAATCACTCGACGTCCGGAAAGCTAGTGGACCTGATGGCATCCCAGCAGTAGTACTCAAAAAATGTGCAGCGGAGTTGTCTCCCGTGCTCACGCGCTTGTACCAATGCTCGTATTCTTTGGGGCGTGTGCCGGAGACTTGGAGAGATGCCAATGTGCAACCAGTGCCCAAAAAAGGGGATCGCTCAGACCCGGCAAACTACCGGCCAATAGCAGTCACCTCAGTTTTATGTAAAGTTTTAGAAAAGGTCCTTAATAACCATCTGACCCGCTACCTAGAGGATCACTCCTTGATTAATGATCGTCAATATGGTTTTAGACCGAAACGATCGACGGGTGATCTTCTAGCGTACTTAACTCATATCTGGGGTGAGGCTATCGACAAGCGTGGCGAGTCGTTGGCTATCAGCCTTGACATTGCCAAGGCGTTTGACAGGGTCTGGCACAAAAGCCTTCTCTCCAAGCTTCCGGCATACGGTCTGCCAGCCCAGTTCTGTTCTTGGGTAGCTGACTTCCTGCATGAGCGTAGAATTCGTGTCCTTACGGATGGTAGCAGTTCGCGGTTCATGTCAGTGAATGCCGGCGTTCCCCAGGGCTCCGTCCTATCCCCCACTCTCTTTCTGCTGCATATCAATGACTTAATTCCTCTTGGGAATATTCATTGCTATGCAGACGATAGTACAGTGCATGCGGGGTATCTCGGACAAGCAGCGGCTGGGCTGGCGGTAACCAAGGAGAAACGCGAGAATCTTGTCATTGAACTCAATCAGGCTTTGGACCACATTTCCGAATGGGGTACCAGGAACTTGGTTGAGTTCAATGCCAAAAAAACTCAGGCTTGCGCCTTCACGGCAAAAACATCGTCATTCCTTCCCCTTCCATCTCTTCAGGGCACAACACTACCGCTGCAGAGCAACATTTCCATGCTCGGTATGGAAGTTCGCTCAGACCTGAATCCAAAGAACTACATCGAAACCGTGATCAAAACAGCTTCACGCAAACTCGGAGTCCTGAACAAGGTGCGGCGTTTTTTCACGCCCGATCAACTGTGCTTGTTGTACAAAACGCAAGTGCGGTCCTGCGTGGAATATTGCTCGCACCTCTGGGATGGCTCCGCCAAGTACTTGCTCGATGCTTTGGATAGGTTACAGCGACGCGCGATCCGCATCATAGGCGATGAGGAGGTGACTAAACACCTTGAGCCTCTTCAATTACGCCGTGACGTGGCGTCACTAAGCGCGTTCTATCGTCTGTACCACGGCGAATGTTCTGAGGAGTTATTCTCTCTTATCCCACCTTCTCCTTTCCTTCAGAGGACCACGCGCGCTGGCCTACGTTGTCATCGTCTAACTGTGGCCACAATTCCAACGCGTACAAAGAAATTTCGTGACTCATTTCTTTGTCGCACTATCCGTAAATGGAATGCTCTGCCCGCTCACGTGTTCCCTCCCTCTTACAACCTGGGATCCTTTAAAAGAGGCGTGAAGAAGCAACATGCAGGCCGGCAGGGTGAAGATGGCTGGTGTGGCAGGTAAAACTGCTGTATCAGCTATCGTCACGTCTGGACTTCGCCTTCACTTAACATCAGGTGGGGTGGAGTCATTTGTCGGACCTATCTATAAAAAAAAAAAAAAAAAAAAAAAAAAAAAATTTCGTGCCAAATACTCCAAGAAACATTAGAATGCTTCACACCAACATTCTAATGTAAAAAAAAAGATTAATTTAATTAAAGACTAGGCTGTATGGGCATTGTTCCCTTTGCCTTCCCTAAAACGGGAGAACTTCAACAAAAAAAAAACACTTTGACAGATGTCAGTCAGTGTAGAAGTTTGGTTGGTTGGAAATTGTTGATTTTGTATTTGTGTAATGTTTGGCGCTATTTTTTATTAATGTATAAAGAATTTATTATTTTGTGTGCTAAACCCGTCATTACAAATGAAAATGCCAGCTTTTCTCAAATATATAGACATGGAAAACTTCAAATCCTACCGAGGTCACCACCGGATAGGTCCCCTAAAATCATTTACTGCTGTTGTTGGTCCCAATGGTTCCGGTAAGTTCTTTTTTTTTACTTTCTTAGCTTCTATTGTATGCTTCTATGTCAGTATAAACTTAATTGTTCTTTTATGGGAATGCAATTAAACGGATAAATGATCGGTTGTATCGTAGTTGTACCTCTAGACAAACTATTGCCGCCTTATTCCAAAACTCGGACCTAATTTAGTCTAGGTTTAAACCTTATGTTGTCTCTATATTTTTCGCAAACAAAAGTGACAGCATTAGCTGTAGTCCAGATTTACTTATGTCTATGTTTTGAAATGATGTGGTAGGTTTATGAACTGAAATTTGCACTAATTGGAATTTAGATTGTTAAGCTGCTTTTCATTATAGTTTACTAGTTTAATAATGTTCAGAATAAATTTCTTAACATTTCTTTTTAGGAAAATCTAACTTCATGGATGCCGTCAGTTTTGTTATGGGTGAAAAGACTTCATTGCTTCGTGTCAAGCGATTGAGTGACCTAATCCATGGTGCGTCCATCAATAAGCCAGTTTCACGCAGGTAAATGCCAAAATTTCGCAGTTTAAATTGTTCTATCATGAGAATTAATTATCTTTGTAATACTTACTAGGTGCACAAAATCACTTACATGACCATGCTATGCTATTAAAATTATATTAATGATTGAAAATGCACTTTTATATTACTGTAAAAGATGAATCTACTCAATTCAAATTATTTTGTGGCATTGTCCTGAGGCGGGGACCTAGTTGGCCTTATTCTGTGTTTTTATTTATGTTTTTCAATGTTGTTGGTCAATTAATTATTTCTTTCTTTCTTTCTTAAATTTAAGTAATTTTGGTTGATCATATACAATATATTTAAATGTTTAATTACAAAAATTTTGACATATGACTATACACACTGATGTAGATTTGACTAAACAGAAGACATGTGCTTCAAATAATATGAAAAATTGTGTGTCATATTTTGAATACTTACAAGAACATAGTATGGAAAACATTGGAAGAGCATGAGTCTGGTCAAACCTTTGAATTCTATCATTTTTACAGCTTAACATTCAGAATGATGAAGCGACGAAATAAAATAGCACCAAAAGAGGAGGTTTGCTCTCCCATTATTTATTTAAAGTATATACACCACACTTGTGTTATCTATGTCTATTGTAGCAACATAAACAATAACTAATCATACTGTAAGAAATGATCCAGATCCTTGTTGACCTCATACTCTGAGTTGTGTTGTCACATACCTTATTGGTTATTTGCACTTGACCTATAATCTTATGTTATACAGTTAAATAGTGAAATCACTACAGGTATTAATTGATAGTGATTTTCAATAACTTGTTTTCACTCTATAGCTGTGTTCGGCATTTGCATTGCAGATGACAGATTTTTGGTCACGTGATCACAGATTAATCTAAGCAAATTGCTAGTACTGGACCGCCCGACCAACCATAGATTAATTTTTAACCTCAAACAGAAACTAATCTCACAACATGTCAGATACATGTGAGATAACAAGATCAATCTTTCACATTGGTCAAAAACTCCAAGTAAACAGATTTACATTGGACTATTGTGAGCGGAATTACTGAACAGTTTAGATTTACTCTAGATTTAATAAACAAACGATTGAGACTAAAAAGAATATGTAGACTCAAATAACAAATGCAGCTTATGATAAACTTTTTATTATTGTTACAGTGCATCAGTGACTGCAACATTCATCTTGGAAGACATGACAGAAAAGCAATTTCAAAGATCTGTTGTGGGCCAGTCCTCTGAACATAGGATTGATGGACAAGTTAGACTCTTATTATATTTATATCCATAAAAACATATAAGTGGTTTATTGTCTTCGAAAGGCAGACCATCCAACTGACTTTAAGTGGTCACTGTCCTCCATGGACATCAGCAATGCTTGTGACACAGCCATGCTGCTCGTGGAACATTCTTTTGGAGAGGACCAGGCTATAGCACTGAGGGAAGACAGTGGAGGGGAGCACAATTCATAACTTTATTGTGCATGGAAGGAAAGATCTCTGGAAACTACAGCTATGGACATCAGTGTTTCCAGATAATATGGGTGAATTCTCCTCCGATGGTGGGTGGTGCTGTGGCAAAATGGTACCATGGTTATCTACTGAAACATTTCCTCAGTACACTTACCACAAAAGAGCTTGTAGAAAACAGGCTTCCAAAATCTTTGTGCATCTCCAAAGGCTCCACTATTTCTGCTAGCTTGGGATCATCGACAATCCGAATCGGGCATCTTTGTATAGAGAAGATAAGGGGGTTAACTGGTATTTGAGTGCTCCATTCCTCAGATGAGAGCAGTAATCCATATGGGGCTTCATCCCAAATCCCAGTTTTTTAATAGTTACTTATAGAAAGAGACAGATTAACAAATAAATTCAACTTGCATCGTGTAACCTTTGTAAGGAGATATTTTTTAAATTTCAGTTTTCTTTTTCAGTCTGTATCAATTAGCAGTTACCTAGCTGAACTGGAGAAACTCGGTATTAATGTTAAAGCGAAGAACTTCCTTGTGTTCCAAGGAGCTGTTGAAAGTATTGCCATGAAGAATCCAAAGGAGAGGACTGCTCTCTTTGAAGAGATAAGTGGGTGAGTGTCCTTAGCAAATTTTATATAGTAAATCTTATCTAATAATATATATCTATATAATGTGTTATCTAAATCTGCAATAGGGTATTTTCCAAATTTTTGAATCCTGCTTATATTTTAAGATTGAGACAAACGATTTAACAGAAAATTAATTTGTTTTTTTTTTCTCCATTAAACCAATTGAAGTTGAATTTATTTTTAATGGTTTGGAATTTACCGCCAAAACGCTCGGTTCGATGACGTCTACTGTGTGACGTCAACTTTGTGTAAACAACAAGTAAAATCAAGTTAGTCGGCTTTCAGACACCCAGCTTCCATTGTGGAAATTAAGTAAAATCGAAATACAAAGAAATCGTCAAATAATTACTCCGCAATCACAGATCGTCGACATACTACATCCGGTTGCATCTGCAGTCGTTAGCACCCGTCAATCTGCACTGGGACCGCGTGGTGGGTCATGGCCCAATCTCCCTATTCCATCCATAGGGAAGGCTTGTGCCCCAGCAGTGGGGACATTAAGAGGCTGATGATGATGATATATTTTAGTGATTTAAGTCCTTTTCTCCAGTGATGATTAGTTCCATAGTCCACACTTAGGTTTGATTGGACTCCAGGAAGCTCTATGTTCATTTCAACTTGCGGTAAAGACTGTTTTTCTATTAGGCATGATTTAACAAAAAAATGTCACATGGAGTATTGTGATTTAATGTTGTCATGTTTTTTGATCTTGCTTATAACTAATGAAGGCAATCTATAAAAACCAGCAGCATCAGTAGGTAGCAGGGTAAAGAAAGTTGAGGTATTTCCAGGTCGGGTGTGTTGAAGGAACAGTATGAGGCTGCTCGCGCGGAGGTGAACCGCGCAGACGAGGAAGCTCAGTTCTCTTACCAGAAGAAGAGGGGCGTCGCCGCCGAACGGAAGGAGGCCAAGTTCGAGAAGGAGGAGGCTGAGAAATATACACGATTAAAGGAAGAGCTTGTGAGTTCTTCTTCTTGTTGCTACGGGCGTTTCCGCAACTCGACGTCCTTATGGCGCCTGTTTTGCGTGAGGAGGGTGTATGGCCGGAGTCACTCCAGCCAGCCCAGCTCCGCCAGGAACGCCCCCAGGGCCTTCACATTGGTGACTGCCTCTTGAAGGTTTCCCGGTGAGCCCGGTATTCGGCCACTCCGTTGCATTCCAGCAGAACGTGAGTAGCTGTTTCTTCTGCTGTGAAAAATGTGGTATTTTTCACTTCGGATATTGTTGTTATGCCTGTACTTCAACAATGACAAGATGTTGATGATGAAATCATATCAATCATAGTTTTAATTAAAGTGGCCTTTTTTGGAAAATCCTTGAACATTGATATCTTATATTTAGATTTACTTATTTAAAAAAAAAGCGGCTTGGGTTTTTTTTTCTCATACAAACTGCAACCCTCTATTCACCCATTCAAAGGATGATTTCTTGGATAAAAACTATCCTATGTCCTTCGCTGACACTGAACTATCCCTGTACCAATTTTCATCTAATTTGGTTCAGTGGTTCAAGCGTAAAGAGGTAACAGACAAACAGACACACTTATGCATTTATAATATTAGTATGGTTTTGCTTTTCTGCTTTTGTTCGACGACATTTTAACTCGTTTTTTTATTTTAAAAGCATTCTTATAAAATAGATAATGTTTGTCGACACAGCAAGAGCAAAAAGTGGAGCTACAGTTGTATCACCTGTACCACAACGAGAAAGAGATCCAGAATTGTGAGGAAGAGTTGCAGCACAAGCAGTCGGAGCTGACCAAGATCGAGAAGAAGCGGCAGAAGGCGGAAGAAGCGCTGAAAGAGAAGAAGAAGGAAGCTGGTGCTGTGCAGCGTGAGCTTGCCAAGATCGAACAGGAGATTAGGGAAGTGGTAAGTTTACATTTAATCTTAGCATAATTCTTATTCCAGGCTGATTGAATTTATATGTTTTTTACGGAAAAAAGGATGGAAATCATGCGTATGGCCCACTGTCTGATGGTGAAGCAGCTACCATAGCCTAAGTTAAGTTAGACAATCTTCAAATAATGCCATATGAAGATACAGAGATCTTGGTGACCTTTTTAAAATAAAATGTAATTAAATTAGCATATCATATTTATTAAAAGGTTTAAATCTGATTAAGTATACATATTAGTTTTTTGTTATTGTCTTTTTTGATTGTGCTATTGATTATTTAAAGAAGATTTCTATTGAGATCGTTTTTACTGAAACACAAGACAATCTTAGTTCAGGCTATGTAGTTTTTCTTCACATTTTGTATTCTTCACCTTAAATTTAAGTCATTTTTATATATTTATAATATTTGATATTGAATAAAGATTTGTTATAGAATCGTAAGCGCCTATAGGCTATATAATAATTATTATTATAGCCTAGACTAGAGTATTACTGTCGTAGTTAACCCAGACCCTTGTTTCGTGGAGCAGAAGAATCTAGTTTATCTATAAAACAATACCGTCACAAGTTAGTGTTATTTCACTGTTATCCTTTACTAGTAGCCCGCCCTCGCTTCGCTACGGTGTAGAGCTGTAGTGTAGACTATAGTTTTTGTTTTCAGGCTTGTATTATACACAATGACATTCTTTTAATACATAATTACAATAGGCACGCGCCGCCAAGCCCCCCGCCCGGTAGCGTCGGAACGGCTATGTCTCTGCATTTTAAATCTATAATATCTTCGAAAATATTCATTTAAATTACATGCGTTAAAGGGCAAATTGGTCTATATAAAATGCACAATGTATTTAAGGTACTTAATTGGATAAGGATGAATGTTATATTGCTGAAAATCGCTTTGTAAATAATCTAACTCGTAAAAAGTATAGGATAAAAAATGGTTAGTTTGGGTTATCCCTAAGAGATAGACATATACCATCGCGGACTTTTCTGTAGACCTTTTTAAGCTGTACAATACTGTAGTACATTATTTTGATCTAGCTCGTAGGGTTCAGTCAGCGTTTGCAATGTAAGTGCCAAAAATGTGTTTATTTACGACCTTACATTAAAAACCTCTAAAATTATCAGTATTTCTCTACTATATTATGCATGTATTATACATATAAAACTTACTCTTGAATAACTCTTATCTATTACAAAAAACCGTATCAAGATCTAAGTATACATAGGGACATAGGGACAGACAGCGGGAAGCGACTATGCTTTATACTATGTAGTGATTAGGAGGAGGTTACTTTCACAGACGGTCTCTTCGATTCTAAAAAGCCTCTATAGCCTACCTATCGTAAATGAGGAGCTAGCGAACAAAACGGTATAATTACGCATCTGGTCAAACTACTTTTTTTACAGTCCGGAGGTTTCGGGCCCCTTTTTATTTCAATCGCTAATATTCAATCAAAACCACCTAAAACAGTATTTAAAATTACTAAATTCATAAATTAAAAACCATACCAAAACCTCACTGTAGGTATGTCATTCATTTTTATACAGCTCCTGTAACATTTAATTTTTATGTAACTACACCGTTTTGTTAGCCAGTTCCTCAAATATTAACCATTATTTTAATACTGTCATTGTTTATTTCGAAAATAACCTGAATGTTGTCTTATAGTAAATCTCTCGTTTGTTGTCCAGGAAGCGGAGATATCCAAAAAGCGACCCACATTCATAAAGGCGAAAGAGCGCGTGACGCACACGCAGAAGAAACTCGAGAGCGCCGTGAAGACTTTAGAGCAGGCTCGCAAGGCTCACGAGGCTCACCAGGCGGATATACGCAAGTTGGAAGATGAACTGCGGGCCGTGGAGGAAGCCAAGACGGCCTGGGAGCGCGGCGCGCAGGGGGCTGCGGCCAATACCCGGGCTGACGTACATCTGGAGGAGGCGCAGGTAAGGGGGGGGGGGGGGCTGCGGCCAATACCCGGGCTGACGTACATCTGGAGGAGGCGCAGGTAAGGGGGGGGGGCTGCGGCCAATACCCGGGCTGACGTACATCTGGAGGAGGCGCAGGTAAGGGGGGGGGGGGGGCTGCGGCCAATACCCGGGCTGACGTACATCTGGAGGAGGCGCAGGTAAGGGGGGGGGGGCTGCGGCCAATACCCGGGCTGACGTACATCTGGAGGAGGCGCAGGTAAGGGGGGGGGGGGGGCTGCGGCCAATACCCGGGCTGACGTACATCTGGAGGAGGCGCAGGTAAGGGGGGGGGGGCTGCGGCCAATACCCGGGCTGACGTACATCTGGAGGAGGCGCAGGTAAGGGGGGGGGGGGGGGCTGCGGCCAATACCCGGGCTGACGTACATCTGGAGGAGGCGCAGGTAAGGGGGGGGGGGGCTGCGGCCAATACCCGGGCTGACGTACATCTGGAGGAGGCGCAGGTAAGGGGGGGGGGGGGGCTGCGGCCAATACCCGGGCTGACGTACATCTGGAGGAGGCGCAGGTAATGGGGGGGGGGGCTGCGGCCAATACCCGGGCTGACGTACATCTGGAGGAGGCGCAGGTAAGGGGGGGGGGGGGGCTGCGGCCAATACCCGGGCTGACGTACATCTGGAGGAGGCGCAGGTAAGGGGGGGGGGGGGCTGCGGCCAATACCCGGGCTGACGTACATCTGGAGGAGGCGCAGGTAAGGGGGGGGGGGGGCTGCGGCCAATACCCGGGCTGACGTACATCTGGAGGAGGCGCAGGTAAGGGGGGGGGGGCTGCGGCCAATACCCGGGCTGACGTACATCTGGAGGAGGCGCAGGTAAGGGGGGGGGGGGGCTGCGGCCAATACCCGGGCTGACGTACATCTGGAGGAGGCGCAGGTAAGGGGGGGGGGGGGGCTGCGGCCAATACCCGGGCTGACGTACATCTGGAGGAGGCGCAGGTAAGGGGGGGGGGCTGCGGCCAATACCCGGGCTGACGTACATCTGGAGGAGGCGCAGGTAAGGGGGGGGGGGGGGCTGCGGCCAATACCCGGGCTGACGTACATCTGGAGGAGGCGCAGGTAAGGGGGGGGGGGGGGGCTGCGGCCAATACCCGGGCTGACGTACATCTGGAGGAGGCGCAGGTAAGGGGGGGGGGGCTGCGGCCAATACCCGGGCTGACGTACATCTGGAGGAGGCGCAGGTATAATAATAATATGGTGACTGAGCAGTAAACAAAATGTATATATGTGCAGAATTTCAATGAACCAGACACATAGTAAACTTTTCTTTAGATTTAAACATATATCAGTTAAATGCTTAAAAGTAAATAAAAACAGAACCAGACACAGTCGCACTCGCTGACAATTTCACAACCACCATAAAGTTTGAATCGAACAACTCTTTCTGTTTCTATCCGGTGACCGTTGACAGAAACACAATATTGATAACATTCATTTATTACAGCAGCTAGAGTAAAAGAGAGCTATGTGTACTTGTCATGTGCAGATCCGCGAATACGAAGAGCTGAAAATGGAGGCGTCCCGTCAAGCGGCCAGATATCTTCAGGAGCTGGACTCCGTGAACCGGGAGCAGAAGGCCGACCAGGACCGCCTCGACAACGAGATGAGACGCAAAGGCGAGCTGGAGAACAAGCATCGCCAGAAGGTATCTTATTCCTCACCCATCACATAACATGACCCTCGCCACATATACCATCCGACGACCTCCGATGGATGGGTGACCAAAAATCTTCTATCTCGAGTTTCTACGTGCTTCGGAAGGCACGTTAAGCCGTTGGTCCCGGCTGCATCTGCAGTCGTTAGCACCCACCAATCCGCACTGGGCCCGCGTGGTGGGTCATAGCCTAATCTCCCTATTCCATCTATAGGGAAGACCCGTGCCCCAGTTGTGGGGACATTATAGGCTGATGATGATGATGACCTCCGTGGCCGAGTGGTATGTACGTCAGGTTTCATGGTGTCGCCGACTCGAGAGGTCCCCGGGTTCAACTCCCGGTGGGAGCAGATGTAAAAACAAACTTATATATGCAGTATATGTATTCTATCCGTTACCCTAGTATCCCATAACCCTTACAGTGCTTACTTTGGGGCTAGGCTAATTGGTGTGAGTGTTAGAAATATTTCATATTTATTATCTATTTATTTTTAATAAGTAATATGTTTAGGAAATTATTTCATTCAAATAATATGTTTATACTTTTAATAAGTGATAAATTGTGAGTGATTTTAAAGTGCAACAGTTATGTGCCATCCGGCTCGAAGAAAGATATTTTTTTTAGATTATATTGTAGTTTTAGCTAATTTGATGTTTTATGTCGAAAGTTAAATAATGTTTTTAAAACAGTGGTTAGCGTGTTCGGCTACGATCATTGAAGTTAAGAAACTCTCGGTCGTTGGATGGGTGACCAAAAATCTTCTATCGTGCTTCGGAAGGCACGTTAAGCCGTTGGTCCCGGCTGCATCTGCAGTCGTTAGCACCCGCCAATCCGAACAGGGCCCGCGTGGTGGGTCGTGGCCCAATCTCCTTATTCCATCCATAGGGAAGGCCTGTGCCCCAGTAGTGGGGACATTAACCCCTCTTCTGTGTAGTCCACAACTTACTGTTTTTCACAGCCGGAATATCAATTTTTTTCCGGTAGATTTTCCTCTTATTGTCCGTGTTCTACTGTACATCCAGGCTTGATTTATGTCTTAAATCAATCCTGATAAAAAACATTATTAAATATGATAAAACGCAAAATATGAAATATGAAAATAATTTTCTCAACTCGTGGCAGAAATCATCCATTTACACAATCAAGGGGCTAATCGGCTGATAATGATGATTATTATTAACTAGCAAACCCGGCGTCCTCCGTTTCGCCACCAGATGGCTTCGTTTTATGTAACATTTCGTTTGGTGATTAAAAGAAGTTTTTTTTTAATTTTTCCTGAATTTTCTTTGCTATAAACCTCACGGAGCCCGAGACCTTTCCAACGAATGCAAAACCGTGGAAATCGGTTCGTGCGTTCTGGAGTTATAGCGTCAGGAAGGAAAACCCGACTTATTTTTATATAGTTAAGGTGGCTACCCACTTCACCGTATCATACCAGGAGCGTGCTAGGAGCGTATCCACCCACTGAACTTATCAACGGCGTTTCGTGTCCGTATACATCCCGTATGATGTCAGTATACAACCCGTATGTTGTCTGTATGCAACGTCCACCAAAACCAATAGGAATCCATTTCATTCTCGCATGCATATCAGTGTTAGGTGGTCAAAAACTGTCATCATACGCGGTTATAACCCGTATGCTAACCGCCTTGCCGTCGTCGCGTGTCTTGCGCAGAGCGTGTCAGCCCCGGCAAAATATTTTATTTTTGACGGTGACGGTGTTCGTCGGTGACGGAAGTGTCTAGGTGGAACCGTGTCATATGAAATGAAATGAAATGAAAAGTCATTTATTCAGTCTAGGCTGTTACAAGCACTTGTGAAAGTCAAGAAGCTACGCCATCGGTTCGCAAAACTACGGCGGGAGACCTTGTACTGAGAAGAACCGGCAAGAAACTCAGCAAGGGCTGCTTTTTTCTCCCTGTATTGATATATACAGAGTCGTCAAGTTTAAAAATGACTTCAGACATACTTCTGAAATCACCTTCCATTACATTATTTAGGGTATAGATATATAGTTACAACAAATTTTATATTTAGTATATATAGGAAGCGGCATTAGATAGGTACCATACTACTGTTACAAAACTGACTCATACCCATCAAATAAGAAATTACAAGAAACACTATGTCCATACCTTTCAATACAAAGAATTCTTTTTTGCCTGACACGTTCCTAGCACGGTCATGGTATGATACGGTGTAGTGGGCAGACAACTTTATGATGATATTTTCAGGGTCACGAACGTAATGAAGCCATGAAGCGTGTCGAGAAACTGAACGAACACATCAAGAGCTCCGAACAGGCGCTCGAGGAACAGCGACGGCTACGCGCAGAACTTCAGGTTAGCTTAACTGCACACAGAGACGTCCATTAAATCTAATGATTCTGAAAAGCAAGTGTTGTGTTTTCTCATTATATAGATATCACAAAGAATTTTTAATCAAACTTGGCATTAGTTTAAATACTTCTACCTTAAAGAAGACTGCGATTAAAGGTGCTGTTGAGAAACGATTAAGAGCGCGTTTGTTCATCGATAGTCAAATTTGACTGTAATAGGGTATTTGACAGTATTAAAAATAAAGTGCCCATTGTTAGCATCTGTATTTAGAATGAATATTGGCAGAGTGTTTACTATTTTTTAACCGAAAAAATATTCATAATTTTACTAAAAACCCACGATAAAGATAATAGTATTCTTGTCTATTTTCACGTGACCCAAAACGCTTGGGATTGGTGGAGGCTAAAATGACGTCACACGCAAGTAAACTTCCGGTTAAAGTGACATTAGATTATATGGGTTGACGTTTTAATGACAGTCGTGTAACGTCACACATCAGTGAGACGCCGTATTGTCCAGAGATACCTTCTCGCAGCGACTTGAAAATAGAGGTTTTGATTTTTTTTTACCGTAATACACAACATAATGATGAATATCCATCCAACTTTTTATTGACTCTATAAACATTAGTAAATTATGTGAGATCGTTTTCTAAAACTTGTCAAATACCCTATTAATGTCACGTCAAATACCAAGTAAATGTGTCAAAATTTGACAAATGGTTATTCCTTTTTAGAGAATATAATAATCGTAAAATTTTACCACGACCTTAGAAGTGGCGGATATTTTATCGTTGGAAGACTAGCTGTTCCCATTAGATCGTAATGACATTTTAACGGTTCACGACAGTCACCGGCACATCAGTTGCCTTTACGTTCTTTTTCTTGTAGCTACGATGGACAGTTAGTAGCAACAACGACACACGATTTGCCGTCATGATAAGTCACGTTTTTATATCGTTCTATGACCGTCGCTATTCCCATTGATTTGTCTATCTGTCGCCACTGCTAAAGTAATTCGTGGACGACACTTAATCGTGTTGTAATATGTGAACACCTTCATTGAAATTATCAAGCCATGATACAAACGACACGATAATCTGGCGTCACGACATAATGGGTAATTTGCCTTAAGAATAATTCCCTGTTGTAGATCAAAAACATACAATTTTAAAACAACTGAGGGCAGAAACTTTGCCTGGAAGAGATCACTTTAAGCGATAAGGCCGCCTCACCGGTACTAGATGGTTTTGTGCTTAATTTTTCAATGTTTTTCGTGGTGTACAATAAAGAGTTTTTGTATTGTATTGTATTGAGAGCAGTTGTTAGCATACAATTATTAAAAAAAAAAATCTCCTTACACCATGTTCAAAAGTCTAGTACAGCTTTTTCTGTATTGAGTGAATCTAAATAAATCTTTTTAAATTATTTGGCAGAATTTATTCGCAAAGGTCTCGTTCAAATCAAAAGCGGTAAAGTTAGGGGATTACTTTCAAGGATCGCGGGAGTTGTCTTTTCGCCTATTTTTTTTGTTATATAGCCAGGTAGGCAAATGACTCTACCCCACTTGATGTTAAGTGGCGATAAAGACCAAACGCGAAGATAGCTGGAAACAGCATTTATAAACTGCCACACCAACCATCCTCACTTTGCCGGCCTGCAAAAATGCTTCTTCACGCCTCTTTTAAAGGACCCCAGATTGTAGTAGATTACGAATATTACGACAAAGATATGAGTCACCAAAATTCTTTGTTCGTGTTCCTACACGGAATAGTGGCCACAGTAAGTCGGTGGCAACGTAGGCCAGCGCGCGTGGTCCTCTGAAGAAAAGGTGATGGAGGGATAAGGGAGAATAACTCCTCAGAATTCTCATTTTGTGTTATAAGGCATGGTGTTTTGTGATATAGGCGGACGTAGGGCAGTGCCGAGGTCGGGCTGCCGAACTCCAGACCGCATTAGAGGAAGTGGGGTCACAACTAGGAGACGCCCGAGTAGACAAACACGAGGAGGCGAGACGGCGCAAGAAGCAAGAGATCGTCGAGAACTTTAAGAGGGATATACCGGGTGTTGTGAGTACTATGTCAATCAATATTTAGATGTTGTAGGTTTGAAATAACATATTGAAGTGCTGCGGTTGAAATTCAGATCGCAAAATGCTTTAAACAGTTGTGGATTGTATCCGGCTCGAAGGACCAAAATGAAGTTAACTCTTCCTTATTGTGTATAAGGAACAGTTAACTTCATTTTGGTCCTTCGGGCCTAAAGAGATGTTGAAATAATATATAGGTTGTGTTTTTTACGTAAATTGTACTATTACTTAATTTGGAAATATGTTTTCTTCGTTTTTTAAATTAGTTCACCTAGTTTACTTTACTCATTGAAAAGTATTTGTTAATCCTGTTGATGACATGTGGAATACAATATAAATTAAGTTAATCTTGTGTCCAGTATGACCGCATGATCAACATGTGCCAGCCGACGCACAAGCGGTACAATGTGGCCATCACGAAGGTGCTTGGCAAATATATGGAAGCCATCGTGGTGGATACCGAGAAAACGGCCCGGCGCTGCATCCAGGTCCTCAAGGAACGCATGCTGGAGCCCGAGACCTTCCTGCCGCTCGACTACATCCAGGCCAAGCCGCTCAGGGAGAGGCTGAGGTAACTGACGTCACTGTGCCACATCCAGGGGCTCCAGGAACGCATGCTGGAGCCCGAGACCTTCCTGCCGCTCGACTACATCCAGACCAAGCCGCTCAGGGAGAGGCTGAGGTAACTGACGTCACTGTGCCACATCCAGGGGCTCCAGGAACGCATGCTGGAGCCCGAGACCTTCCTGCCGCTCGACTACATCCAGGCCAAGCCGCTCAGGGAGAGGCTGAGGTAACTGACGTCACTGTGCCACATCCAGGGGCTCCAGGAACGCATGCTGGAGCCCGAGACCTTCCTGCCGCTCGACTACATCCAGACCAAGCCGCTCAGGGAGAGGCTGAGGTAACTGACGTCACTGTGCCACATCCAGGGGCTCCAGGAACGCATGCTGGAGCCCGAGACCTTCCTGCCGCTCGACTACATCCAGGCCAAGCCGCTCAGGGAGAGGCTGAGGTAACTGACGTCACTGTGCCACATCCAGGGGCTCCAGGAACGCATGCTGGAGCCTGAGACCTTCCTGCCGCTCGACTACATCCAGACCAAGCCGCTCAGGGAGAGGCTGAGGTAACTGACGTCACTGTGCCACATCCAGGGGCTCCAGGAACGCATGCTGGAGCCCGAGACCTTCCTGCCGCTCGACTACATCCAGACCAAGCCGCTCAGGGAGAGGCTGAGGTAACTGACGTCACTGTGCCACATCCAGGGGCTCCAGGAACGCATGCTGGAGCCCGAGACCTTCCTGCCGCTCGACTACATCCAGGCCAAGCCGCTCAGGGAGAGGCTGAGGTAACTGACGTCACTGTGCCACATCCAGGGGCTCCAGGAACGCATGCTGGAGCCCGAGACCTTCCTGCCGCTCGACTACATCCAGGCCAAGCCGCTCAGGGAGAGGCTGAGGTAACTGACGTCACTGTGCCACATCCAGGGGCTCCAGGAACGCATGCTGGAGCCCGAGACCTTCCTGCCGCTCGACTACATCCAGGCCAAGCCGCTCAGGGAGAGGCTGAGGTAACTGACGTCACTGTGCCACATCCAGGGGCTCCAGGAACGCATGCTGGAGCCCGAGACCTTCCTGCCGCTCGACTACATCCAGGCCAAGCCGCTCAGGGAGAGGCTGAGGTAACTGACGTCACTGTGCCACATCCAGGGGCTCCAGGAACGCATGCTGGAGCCCGAGACCTTCCTGCCGCTCGACTACATCCAGGCCAAGCCGCTCGGGGAGAGGCTGAGGTAACTGACGTCACTGTGCCACAACCAGGGGCTCCAGGATCGCATGCTGGAGCCCGAGACCTTCCTGCTGCTCGACTGCATCCAGGCCAAGCCGCCGTTGTTCCATTTCCATTGGATAATAGTTCCTTTGAATATTTATTTTAACCGTCAAGATAAAGCGCAACAATATTAGCAATATTTAAGGATTTGGTTTTAAATTTGCATTTCTTAATCATATGCACGTATAAAAATAAGGAGGCTCATAATCACGTTCAAAAAGTGTCTGAAGCAAAGTCTGAACACGTTTCTATTGTGTAGTTTTTAATCAGTCAGATTTCGGCCGTGCTACGGGTGAGGTCGATAGGTTCGTCCTGATCTCCTTGACCCCCTGATATCCTCTGACCCCCATGTCCCCCTGACTCCCCCTTCTCCGTCCCCCTCGGTCCCCACAAAGCTGCCCCGAGGATAACGGCGAGCGAAACGTTATCACGTAAAATTAATTCAATTCAATTCTTTATTGCATATCCACAATGTACAAAAAGATGTTAAAAATGCAAAATACGATCATTATGGACCCTGTCGGGCACGCAACGAAATGAGAGATAGATAGAAGAGAGGAGTTACATTCAAATTTCTACGTTAGTTTATAGATTGAAAGAGTTAGGTACTGAATGTCACTATAGTTAATTCATATATTATTTAAGTGAAGAAAATTCATTTCATCTATATAAACAAACAATCAATTAATAGGCGGGTCACTAGCAAAAAATAAAATAAAAATTATTTAATTTGTTAAATTTCAATGTCAAGTTCAATAATATTTATGTATGTTTGTTAAATTTCAATGTCAAGTTCAATAATATTTATATATGTATGTTTGTGTGTATAATTGTATATGTAATTTATGTGTATCATTTTTTATTGCTGAGGAGCTCGATGGCGCAGGTGGCTAGCGCGTTCGGCTGCGATCGTTGAAGTTAAGCAACTTTCGCAGTGGTCGGTCATTGGATGGGTGACCAAAAATTTACTATCTCGAGCTCCTCCGTGCTTCGGAAGGCACGTTAAGCCGTTGGTCCCGGCTGCATTTGCAGTCGTTAGCACCCACCAATCCGCATTGGGCCCGCGTGGTGGGTCATGGCCCAATCTCCCTATTCCATCCATAGGGAAGGCCTGTGCCCCAGCAGTGGGGACATTAATAGGCTGATGATGATGATGAACACTTCCCTGGGGTATTGATGCATTTATAACCCTGCAGTCGGAGTATACATGTTTGTATTTTTTGGACTTTTTATCGAAGTGTTCTATCTCTACAAATTGTTTTCTATCTCGCAAATAAGATGAAAACCATTTATGGGCAGGGCCGCGGATTCCAATATCGTACAATTTTTTTAAAAGTATGTTATGTTGCACCCTATCGTATGCCTTCGTCATGTCTAGTAGAATGCCTACTCCGTACTGTTTTTTATCTATTTTTTTAACTATTTCATTAATGTATTTATATACAGCTAGAGTTGTGGATCGGTTCTTTCGAAAGCCGTTTTGACTGTCATCAAATATTTTGTATTTTTCACAAAACTTGACAACGCGATTACAGATTGCTTTTTCAAATATTTAAGAAGCTGTAGGTAGAAGGGCTATAGGACGATAGTTGTTTGGATCGGATTTTTCATTTTTCTTATAGATAGGTTTAACTATTGTTTTTTTCAGAGTAGATGGAAACGTGCCTTCTTCAAAAGATTGGTTTATTAAACAAGTGAATGGATAAGTTAGTTCCTCTACACATTCCTTTATTAATTTTGGTGGAAGTTCATCGATACCATGACTATTTTTGTTCTTAAGGGACTTAATAATTTTATGTACTTCATGACACTCTACTGGACTCAAGTAAAATGTATTTTCGGTGGGGCTGAGTACAGGGCGGCCGCTAGCACAGCGTGTTATTATCGTTCGTAGATCGATTTTACAGACAGCCTAATTTTCTACATTCTCCGCAATATCCACGATGACGTGGACAATGTACTTTTTTAGCATTGGACTAAATTACATCGTTTTGGTAATAACAGTCTGAAATAAACATTCACATAGTCCTATTTCATTTTTTAAGATAATTTTTAAGTATTGACATTATCTATCTATATTTATAAAACTCATGGGTGACTGGCTGACTGACATAGTGATCTATCAACGCACAGCCCAAACCACTAGACGGATCGGGCTGAAATTTGGAATGCAGGTAGATGTTATGACGTAGGCATCCGCTAAGAAAGGATTTTGATCAATTCTACCCCCAAGGGGATAAAATAGGTAATGAAAGTTTGTCAATTTTAAACCTATCGGGCTGAGACTTTGCATGCAGGTATAAGAAGAATCATAGATGAATGTCATTGTGTATAATACAAGCCTCTACACGGAAGCGAAGCGAGGGCGGGCCGCTACTTAAAATATATATAGTTATTTTTTGAAGTTATACTTCTTTAGGCGCGTTATGAAAAAATGATGAGAGTGAAATTTTAAGATGCTCGCGCATCACTTTAACACAAAATTTTAACAGCATGAAGTTGGTCGCTTTAGCGCTTCAGCGACCAACTTCATGCTGTTACTTTTGTGTTTACCGCACATTAAGAAAATCTACCAACAAAATAGAAATAGAATCTCTATTTAGTGGGTGCTAACGACTGCATTGTGAAGGCCTATCAAAAGTATTTATTAATCTGGAACAACGGAACCAAAGCGCGATTCAGGAGACTACAGCGCCGTCTCTTGACCATTGGTGTAGTAGAACCAAAAACCACATCTTTATTTTTTGTAATAAAGTAACAGTTATAGGTATTCATATTTATAATATCAAAAGTATTTATTAATCTGGTACAACGGAACCAATGCGCGATTCAGGAGACTACAGCGCCATCTCTTGACCATTGGTGTAGTAGAACCAAAAACCATATCTTTATTTTTTGTAATAAAGTAACAGTTATAGGTATTCATATTTATAATATTTATCCACATGTTTCTAGTTTGTATATTCGGAATACGTGTTTGAGTTTCATACAAGTGCAAATCACATATGTTCTAATAAATTATATTCAGTAGCGATTTTAATTGAATATTTTGATTATTTATTTATTTTTTCAAATTAAAACTGAACTTTATTGACTGTGTCCTTTTCCAGACTTTTTATTAATTTATTGTAATTAATTATTTGCATGCAATTAAAAACTAATTTTAAACGATGCCAAAGAAGGATAACTTCTCACGCGCCTACATAAGTACACGCACCCATTTTTTATTATTAATTTTGACAATTTTGTCATATGGGTCTTTTGCCTAAAATAAAGAAATTATTATTTTTATTCGCCAATCGCTATTCATGAGTCATTCTTTAAGCAAAGTAATCTTTTTATTATGATGTTTTAGACTTTATCTGCTATTGATTGCCCCCTTCATTGTTACATCAGGGACATAAAGGAACCGCGCAACGTGAAGCTGCTATTCGACGTTCTCCGTTTCGAACCTCCGGCGATTCATCGCGCCGTTTTGTTCGTCACAAACAACGCGCTCGTATGCGAGACACCGGAGGATGCCTCGCGTGTCGCCTACGACCTCGACCGCAACAAGAACAGCCGCTACGACGTGAGTTCTGTCTGTCTGTCTGTGCCCGTTCTATTCGTGACCAACAACGTGATAGGAACGTCGTCGTTGTGAAGACATCGTCAGCCTTTCAATGTCCCAATAGGGTATTTGACAGTATTAAAAATAAAGTGCCAATTGTTAGCATCTGTGTCGAGATTGAATATTGGCACGGTATTTTACTATTTTTACGAAAAAAAATATTCATCATTTTACTAAAATCCACGAAAAAGATAATAGTTTTATTATCTATTGTCACGTGCCACAAAACGCTTGGGATTGGCGAAACCTACACGCAAGTAAACTTCAGGTTAAAATGACATTACATTGTATCGTTTGACGTTTTAATAACAGTCGTGTGACGTCACACACTAGTAAGACGCCATATTGTCCAGAGAAACGTTTTCGCGGCAACTTGAAAATGGTGTTTTTCATTTGGTTATTTTTACTGAAATACGCAACAGAATGAGGAATATCCCCTTTTACGGACTCCATAAACATTAGTCAATAAAGTGAGATCGTTTTCTAAAACTTGTCAAATACCCTATTGCTGCACAAACCATCTCTATGGATGGGAAAGAGATTTGAACAATGACCTCACGTGAGACCATAGCAGATTAGCAAGAGCTAACAACTATAAATACAATAAAGACTGCTGACTAAACATGCCTTCTAAAGCACGAAGCAGTCTGAGATAATAAATACTTGGTTTAGTTAAGTTACAGAAAGGAAGAACCTCAAAAATATCCGTGCCACTAATCTATAAAGTCCGAGTCTTGTTAATGAAGGTCATTTTAATATTTTTTGAATAAAACTAATACCCTAGATTCAACATCACGAACAAAATCGTATCTGAAACCCGTCCAGAAGGTACATTTGACGAACCACGGAACTCCGTAAGATTATCGCGTAGTCAAACAGGATATAAGGCATTATTTAATTTTAAACATTCAGTCACCATTAATACATACTATATAAGGTCTAAAGAACTCATACGTCAAATAATAATGACAGTTCGAAATGCAAGCTCGTAACATTTTATGAATTGTTGCTATAGGCGGAAGAATATAGATGTTATTTCTATGACACTAGAGGAGCTCGATGGCGCAACTGATTAGCGCGTTCGGCTGCGATCGTTGAAGTTAAGCAACTTTCGCAGTGGTTGGTCATTGGATGGGTGACCAAAATTTTACTATCTCGAGCTCCTCCGTGCTTCGGAAGGCACGTTAAGCCGTTGGTCACGGTTGCATTTGCAGTCGTTAGCACCCACCAATCCGCACTGGGCCCGCGTGGTGGATCATGGCCCAATCTCCCTATTCCATCGATATGGAAGGCCTGTGCCCCAGCAGTGGGGACATTAATAGGCTGATGATGATTGATGATGATGATTAGAACAAGCTTCAAATGAGTTAAATTAACAAAGATTGATTAGATACCTGACAAAAGAAACGACACTACTAATGACAAGTTTTTTTTTCGCATTTTTTCATCGAGCTCTGCGGCCTCTTGAATTTTCAACGGTCCGCGCCGTACTGTGAACTAAGAAGTGCTGTTGTAATGTTTAAGCACTTCTTGATTGGGACACATTTTGAGCACACGTGGTTTTGATTAAAACAAAAAGGGTAGATACGGTACGCTCATACTTGCATCAAACAAAAACTGATCCCACGGCAGCGCGAACGGGACGGCGAGATCCGCGTCACTGCATTACCGACCCGAGCGAAACAGCACGTTAAGTTTCAACGGCAGCGCGAACGAGACGGCGAGATCCGCGTCACTGCACTACCGACCAATCACGCGACCAGTACTCGACGGCACTACCGAATAAGATTCAAAACAAACAGCAATTTTTATGAAAAAAAATATTTTATAGTACTTACGAATGAAAAGTGATGCCGTGGGTTTTATTTTTAGATCTTGAGCAATTTGAGCACTTTTAAAAAACACACTTATGCATATATTATATATTGTTTTATCATATAAACACAAAATATTAGCAATATTTCTTTTTGGCGTTCACATGTACGTCGTTTGCATGTCAAGTTGTGACTAAAGCGATTGTGATCTTGGGCCACAATTTATGCGGATCACTTTTGTGAGGCTAGTGCCGTGTCTACCCTTTTTGTTTTAATCTAAGGCACGTGGTGTATCTAGGGTTTTTAATATCGTTGAATGAAACTATCTTATGTTTAGGCTCTGGCATTGGACGGGACGTTCTACCAAAAATCCGGCATCATATCTGGAGGGTCGCTGGATCTGGCGAGGAAAGCCAAACGCTGGGACGAGAAACACCTGTCACAGCTCAAAGCTAAAAAGGTAACACTATGCGTATTTTGTTGAATTTTGAGAAGAGTGTGTAACGGGTGTCAGAGAGAGAGGGGGAGAGCGAACCATTTTATTGACCAATAAAACACACAAACATATATAATGCGTTTCAACTAAGAATAGGACTGGGCGCCATATTGTGACGTCATAGCTGCCAATTCAAACGAAATTGGTAGAGTGAGCAAAAAAGTTTTTATTTAATAAAACTTATTTACTAAGATTAAGTGAGAAATAGCATCAGATTTTTTTAATAAAACGTATTTACTGAGATTGAGAAAATGAAAACAACCGATTCTTAATAATATTTATTTATTAAGACTGTGTGAGAAAAAACATTAATCAGAATTAAGCTCTTCAATTCCGCTCATCTCTGCATTACTACCGGAGTAGTTATGAATAATCATGCACTATTACTAGGTCACATACGAACATGCATCCTTTATGTAAACGAAGGTTTCAAATCGAGTTTCTGAACATAACTTAAAATGACATTTGGTTCCTCAACCAAATCTTTTGGATTTAGGTTAACAAACATTCATAGCCAAAGCTCAATAAATGAAAAAAAAATATCAACCAATATTAATTATCAATATTTGTTATTGTTTGTTTACAAATATTTGATTTTATTCTAGAATTAGCCGAGTGCTAAGATATCAAGTTTTTTTTGCAAACCGTACTTTTCAAGCGACATTTGACAGATGGAGGTCATTGGCTTTCCTATTCTTATTTGAATCGCATTATACAGTAGAACCCGTTTCATACGATCACGCTTAATATGATTTCTCGCATAATACGCCATTTTGCGTCAGTCCCTGCCACTAGAGACATGTTTCATACATTTCTTAACGCTTAATACGATTCGTCATCCCGTTTTATGAGGGTTTTCTGAAATGACGGGCACGAAAGGTCTACTCATCCGTCAAATCGCATATGTTCTCATAGTCTATGGATCTGGTCTATGGAGTTCGTGCCTAAAACTTTATACAAAAGACCTCAAGTCACAGTGGCGCCAATTGGTGACGTATATTTTCATAAACACCCTCATACGACTAAATCGCCAACACGTACAGTACACAACTCTTGCGGCAGCGGCCAGCGACTGACGTGACGCATGTGGAGCGACGCACGCTAAGCCCCCAGGGTTCTCCTGGATTTTCTTCCAATGATGACAATGTGACACCGTATACAATTCAATGAGAATGTAAATAACACAAAAGAAGAGGCCCTAAGTGATACTGATCAAAAAGAAGATGAGTGAACTCCGATTTTGTCACACGCCCAGGCATTATCAGCAGTCAATGATTTAAGACGCTATCTAACTTCTTTGAATCAAAACGAGGACGCACTGCAAAAGTTAAATTATGACGAAAATCTTTTAATTGCTAATGCCTGAAAATCTTTTTGATAAACTAACATAAGTGATTAATTTAAATAACATAATAATACACTACATTTTTTTGGACATACATAATTCTTAAATATTGTACATTTAATACCTCAATACCTACATTTGAAATTTCCCTATCCCGCAATAGGCTAGTTGACTCATGTCGAATTGTATTAAATAAATGTTTATTTCTTAAAGTATTTGGTCTAAGGAACCTAAATATATCGATTTCACTTCATAAAACCAGAAGATTGCTGTAGAAATTTAATTTAAAAAAATATTTTTTAATCTATATTTTCTAAACACTAAAAACGCTATCCGCCACATCCGCCATGATTGTGACGTCTCTTATGGTAAATAACTAAATGTCATTCGCGTGTTATAGTGGGTGGATTCTTTCGTCTGACTAAATTTATCTTAAAACACTTTTAACTTTAGAAAAGTTTCCGTTTACTGTTTTTTTTTTGAAAAAACTAATTATGGATGCCGGCTTTGTGAACAGAAAGCACAAATCTGCCAAGAATTGACGCATTCATGGTTGGTGAATTTATTGCACTAAACCCCGATTTCTGCTCTGCGGAGCAGAGAAACGACAAGGCATCTATGTAAGTACAGTGTATTTAGTATTACAATGTAGTAATAAACATAAAACTGATACAACATATGAATAAGTGTAATAAAGTTGCGTAGGTTAATTTCTTTCGGCACTTTTAATCCACAACTTTCTTGAAGTCTTCAAGGATGTGTTTTTATATTCTCGTACAATACAATAATGATAATTATTTTATTTTTCGGGGTATTTATTAGAAATCATCTTTTGATTATTATAAAGTCAGTTAAGTTATTTTCTACGTGCTTACGAGTTTTTGTTTATTTACCTTTATGTTATGTGTTTACTGCAGTTAACGTCATAGCATAGATAATCTATAGACTAAAATGGCCGACAGCGTTTTTGTATGTCCACGAAAAATCTATTTTAAAATTAAAGATTTGTAGCTTTTTAGGTCTCAAAAAAATACAATACTTTTTTTTCGGTCTAATAGAACATTTATTAACCATTTAAAACCTTTTTCCAAAAAGGGTCAACTAGCCTATTCCGCATAATACTCTTTCTCGCTTAAGACGCGTTTTTGGTCCCTGGGAAATCGTCTTAAACGGGTTTTACTGTAATTATAAACAGCTGAAATAAAAACACATATAAAAAGTAAGCATCACAAACATTGATCTACCTAACAGTTATAATATTGGTCAATAAGGACCCTGCCTCAGCATAATGTTGGCGTGACATGTAACTTATTTGGTATTCTGACAGGGCCATATAGGTATATTGTTTTATTTGGTTATGTTTTTATTTTAATAAAATTCGCATCCTTTAAAGATCATAATGAGATGAGGTTTGTTTATAGATTCTTTAATGCAGCTACAAATCATTTACAATTCTTCATCATTGCAGCGGAGTGATTGCAGCGTCCATTTTCAATAGAATAATGGTGTACTGCTGCACTGTACTAAACTTTGCGGAAGCGTTTTTAATATTCACAGATATGAAGATGCTCAATGTCAGTCTCTTTTTTGCCAATGACATAAAATTAAACAATACTAGCAAACCAGTGAACCAAATGTTCACCAAAACCTGATTAAAAAAAAAAAGAAAAAAAAAATAATTAATTAGACCTTCGGAGATTTTGTGTGGTTTCGTTTGAAATTCGTGATTTCTCGAAAACCGGAAGTGCTACGTAACTCAAATCCGGTTTGTAGTCTTATCAGACTATTCTTAACTTATGACTTAAATATTATCTTTATCTATCTCTTACGGTTTGGCCGCTGAAACAGCACCACAGACGGACGGACTTGTCTAATAGATAAGAGATTTTTATTATATTTGTTTCTTAGGTTTTCACGCACATCACTTTATTCTAATTGGATGTAACGAGTAACGACTCATAATATTATTTAAATCGGAAGTATGTATCGACGATCGAAACTAAATATTTTCCCGCAGTAAAACGTAGCCTATGTGTTAATCCAGGGTGTCAGCTAACTTCATACCAAATTTTATTAAAATCGCTCCAACCGTTTAGACGTGAGAAGTAACAAACATACACACTCACACAAACAAACTTTCTCCTTTATAATATTAGTGCGATGTTTCTCGCTCTCTTCTTTCTCATCTTAAATGTCCATCCTCCTTTTAATTGTCCAATATTTCATTCGGCAAATGAACAAAATGTCCATGTACATTAACGATGGCTAACTCGTGTTTGAAATATAATTTGTGCAGGAGAAATTGACAGAGGAGTTGCGAGAGTCGATGAAGAAGTCTCGCAAAGAATCGGAGCTGACCACCGTCGACTCGCAGATACGCGGCCTGGAGTCGCGCCTCAAGTATGCCGTCACCGACCGGGACACCACGGTATTGTGTTCCGTTATACTAACGATTCATGCGACGAAAGGGCAATGCCCACTTTGAATGGGAATTTGGCTAACCATGGACAGACATTTTAACAAGTAAAACTCTACAATGCGGGAAGCTTGATCTACCTAGAACCTTTGAATCGTTGTTATTTCGTATCATCATCATCAGCCTATTAATGTCCCCACTGCTGGGGCACAGGCCTTCCCTATGGATGCCCTATTCCATCCAGATTAGGCCATGACCCACCACGCGGGCCCAGTGCGGATTGGCGGGTGCTAACGACTGCAGATGCAGCCGGGGTTTAACGTGCCTTCCGAAGCACGGAGGAGCTCGAGATAGTAAATTTTTTGGTCACCCATCAAATGACCGACCACTGCGAAAGTTGCTTAACTTCAACGATCGCAGCCGAGCGCGCTAACCACTTGCGCCATCGAGCTCCAATCGGTATATTTTAATACAAAATTTTTGCACCGCGAATAAAAAGGTAATAAAAGCACAAGTAAGCCATTTTCGCAACGATTTATAATATTCCAAATTTCTCTACTATATCACGGTTATAGATATCCGTTAAAAAATAAATTAAATTATATTGTAAAATTGTTGTTTGCGAAGCACCTTGTCCACGACGAGCCTATTTTGGGCATTGCGGCGATATAAAATTACTATTGACTTTGACAGTTAGACGCGATAAATAAAGTGATATTAATGTAAATTGTGGCGCTTATGCTACGGGGACAGGATTGAACTAGTCTTTATAGATTTCTAATGGTGAGAGACTTTTGAAATCGGCTTTGAGATTTTTCAGTTTCGTTACAAACATACAAAAATGGAAATCTTTTCTCTTTAAAATATTATTAGCTTTCGCCATAGTTCGATTTCGATTGCAGTTAGATTTCTGAGAATCCGACAGGAATCGCATATTTTCTTTGTTGTGATGTTATAAATTAACATGTAATGTTGACTGACCATTTGTCGTTTACAACTATTTGTGTGTTGCAGTTGAAGCAAATAAAAGCGCTTGACGCTGAGCTCGCAGAACTCGAGAGGAAGATCGAAACGTTTGGGGTAAGTATTGGAACACGTCTACTTATATATAAAGTTAGTGATCCAATAAAAAGAGAAAAAAAAAACGACGGGTTGCACTCCGGGAGTGCCGGCAGAAGTGAAAACTTGAATATTAACGTTGTGCATTTTTGATATTTTGGAATGGTTAGGGAATAATATTGCACGAATTGCTTTAATTTATCAGCATAAAAGTACATGTATGTGGTAGAATACAATATTTATTTATTGCGCTATCGTACACAAACATGACAATTTATATTACATTAAAAAAGTTTCTCTCCGAAAAAATAACTTACATGAATTACGTTTAAGCGCACTTAGCGACATTTATTGTAAAGAAATCAACTTACATGAATCACATTTAAGCGCACCTAGTGAATCCTATTGTAAAAAAATGCATTTTCTTCGCAATAAAGCTACCACGTGGACGTCCTAGATAGAGACTTATTATTATAATACGGTAACATAAAATATTACTATGTTTCATCCACTATATTGAAAGTCATCAACCTTTCCAATTTTATTGTGTGTCATGATTTGATCAGCCCACGTGTTTAACCTGACGCGAGTTTAAAATTTTTTACCCATACAAAAAAAAGTGTACAACGCCGCTAAAGAAGTTTTCACTTCAAAAATATTCTAACCATAATAAAGATACAATGACAATAGTGATCGATAATAACTGCATTAGTTATTAAACTGTATCACGGCTATTAACGCCCACCTCCAGAAAACAATTTATGCTACAATAATTTTAATCTGAATCCTAATTTTACATAAAAATAGAAATTAAATGCGTGTTTGTGTCTTATTTGTGTGTGTGTGTATGTATGTGTGTGTTTGTGTTTGTGTGTGTGCGCGTTTGTATTGCACAATTTTACACTACATGATCAGGCCAAACCCAATAAAATACCAAATTGTAGTGTCGATACTATGTCTTTATTATTAAGGGTCTCTTTTGCCAGTTCCTTTTCCACAGTTAAGAGTAAGTCCTTAACTGGGAGTAGGTTAATTTTTTTGAACTATTCAAGAGTAGGTTTAAAATCATTTACACTGTGCCTATTGTTATTTCCTTGTCAATGTTTATATGTATATATTTCATTTGTTATTCATACAAATGTTTAAAATTGCATGAAATGGATAGCAGAGCTGTATTTGGTTAAGGATAATGTAAATAATGCGCTTTGTATTTCTAATATGTTGTTTTTTTTTCTGACGACCTCCGTGGTCGAGTTGTTTGTACTCCGGGTTTCATGGTGTCGCCGTCTTGAGAGGTCCCGGGTTCGAGTCCCGGTGGGGGCAGATGTTTGTGTGATGAATACGAGCATTTGTACTCCAGTCATGGATGTTTCATATGTATTTATATATAAATATACTTATATATGTACTGTATATGTATTCTATCCATGAGTGTTGGAAGTATTTATTTATTTACTTACACCAATTAGCCTAGCCTCAAAGTAAGCACTGTAAGGCTTGTGTTATGGGATGCTAGGGTAACTGATAGAATACATATACTGTACATATATAGGTATATTTATATAGAAATACATATTAAACATCCATGACTGGAGTACAAATGCTCGTATTCATCACACAAACATCTGCCCTCACCGGGATTCGAACCCGGGACCTCTCGAGTCGTTGGAAATATTTATTTATTTTAGACTTCCACTTTGAATAGGGATCATATTTTAATTTTATTTGTATTCGGTGATCAGCCCCAAGTGGAGGAGATCGAGCGGACGATCCGAGCGCGCGACGCCAAGATCCAGGAGGTGAAGGAGAACATGAACAACGTGGAGGACGTCGTGTTCCGCGGCTTCTGTCGCGACATCGGCGTCGCCAACATACGGTATGGACTCATGTGTGGCAGACCAGCCCCAGGTGAGGAGACGACGGACAGATCCAGGAGGTGAAGGAGAACATGAACAACGTGGAGGACGTCGTGTTCCGCGGCTTCTGTCGCGACATCGGCGTCGCCAACATACGGTATGGACTCATGTGTGGCAGACCAGCCCCAGGTGAGGAGACGACGGACAGATCCAGGAGGTGAAGGAGAACATGAACAACGTGGAGGACGTCGTGTTCCGCGGCTTCTGTCGCGACATCGGCGTCGCCAACATACGGTATGGACTCATGTGTGGCAGACCAGCCCCAGGTGAGGAGACGACGGACAGATCCAGGAGGTGAAGGAGAACATGAACAACGTGGAGGACGTCGTGTTCCGCGGCTTCTGTCGCGACATCGGCGTCGCCAACATACGGTATGGACTCATGTGTGGCAGACCAGCCCCAGGTGAGGAGACGACGGACAGATCCAGGAGGTGAAGGAGAACATGAACAACGTGGAGGACGTCGTGTTCCGCGGCTTCTGTCGCGACATCGGCGTCGCCAACATACGGTATGGACTCATGTGTGGCAGACCAGCCCCAGGTGAGGAGACGACGGACAGATCCAGGAGGTGAAGGAGAACATGAACAACGTGGAGGACGTCGTGTTCCGCGGCTTCTGTCGCGACATCGGCGTCGCCAACATACGGTATGGACTCATGTGTGGCAGACCAGCCCCAGGTGAGGAGACGACGGACAGATCCAGGAGGTGAAGGAGAACATGAACAACGTGGAGGACGTCGTGTTCCGCGGCTTCTGTCGCGACATCGGCGTCGCCAACATACGGTATGGACTCATGTGTGGCAGACCAGCCCCAGGTGAGGAGACGACGGACAGATCCAGGAGGTGAAGGAGAACATGAACAACGTGGAGGACGTCGTGTTCCGCGGCTTCTGTTTTAAAGTTTTTCTTTTTTAATATTTTTCTGTAATAACCTTCTAAAATTCTAATGAGATAACTTTAAAAAATCGTTTTTTTTTCGATTGATGGCGTGACCATGCGAAAAAGGTGCCTTTGTATTAACAAACTCACCTAAATTTAATTAGTTCCTAAATTTTTCTTCTTCCGTGATCACTCTCATTTTAAGACTGATAAATATTATGTGTCATACTATATTTTTCTACAGTACTAAAGGAGATCGCGAAAATTTTTATCAAGACAAAGCATATTGCTTAATAGATAAAACAATCTCCCGGTGTAAAATGATATCAAAAGAATAAGTTTTATCTAATGAATGACTGAAGAATTTTTGGAGGCGCCTTAACCCCCATAACTTTGATTTCCGCGAAAATAATAATTCTGTGTGCTCAATGCTAATGTCGAGAGGCTAACCCTAGGCGTAGGTTTGATGTGGATATTAAAGACCTGGAGACAAAGGAAAGGAACATGCGCACTTACCTCAGCACACAATCCGTTTGGTCGCAAGCCGTCCTTAAGGCACTACACGGAGCACCCCGAGTCCGCATCACACAAATTTTGTTTGGAATCAAAATCGCCAAAGTCGGCGGCGTGCAGGGAGGTCAGCCCCGTTGTGATTGGACGCGTCAAGGTCAGATCATATACTCACTGCAGCGAAGTGATGAGGGTAAGATCGATTTTAGAAAATGTCGATATTTCCTATCGATAAACAATTTAGTATAGAGGCCTAGTACTTTGGTGCGTTCTAATTACATGAGGCGACCAGTAACTACAAACTAAATAATATATAAGCAACACAAAAAAACACGTGACAAATATATAGATAGGCAATATTATGATGATATTATCATAAAATAATTTTTAAAACTTAAAGCGCCTTACTCATCGGGTCAGTACGGATTCATTTCGTTTTGTTTGCAGGAGTGACAGCATAGGCGAGTCGAATGAATCGGTAGCATTCGGAAGCACTCGGCACAGCGAGCTAAGTATCCGCTCGGTAAAGATCTGTACGGGAACCACTTAGTGGGAAAGCTCTCACTTAATTATATGCACTCGTAAAGAATCTGTTCAGATTCGGTACAGAATCGAAAACAAAAGAAACTCCCACCGACCCGAAGATAAAGGCCCCTTAATTATTATTTTCTGGTACTTATGACAATAAAGAAATTTAGTAAAACCCATTTTTACGAAGATGAACTATTTATATTTAAATACATTATATTTTTGTTTACAAAAATATAACATAATTTTCTGTACTTCTGTACTTATGTACAGAAAATTATAACAATTCATCTTAAATTAAGTCAAAATGGGAAGATATCAAAGAGAAAAGAGACCCCAACCACACGGATACGCGTCTCAAAAATGAGCCTTTTAAATTAGCTGCATGCACACAATTCGCTGTAGTCGCAATTTGTCAAATAATATTGCAGACATTTTTTACTTGTTTTAAAAGATAAAATAATGCCTTCGACGATTTTAGAAAGTGCACAAATAGTTCACATAAGTTCACAAATAGCACAAATAGTTCGATTTATATATTTAAGCTATTAATTTATTTTAGCTTTGCGGCATCTTGACTTTTCAGCGGTCCGCGCGTGAATGTGAACCAAGAAGTACTTGAGAGGAGCTCAAGCACTTCTTGATTGGGACACATTTTGAGCGCTCATGGTGTATCTAGGCTATTTAATATCATTAATTATATGTTTTTATCTAGGTCGAAAACTATGCGCATTTAATTTCATAAAAATCTGTTTAGCCGTTTTAGCGTGAAAGACTAACAAATATCCATACAAATTTTCGCGTTTTCAAATTTTGGTAGGATATGTTTGAAATCAAATAAAAACTGTTGGTTGTATACTCATGACATCTGTTATTGAATACGATGAAATAAATAGTTTTTATTTATTTTTTCCATTTCCATAGCTGATAAACTTATCGATAAATTTACGGGTTGAGACATGAGCTGCGTCTGCGTCACTAGCAATACACGTGCCGGTGTGAGACCGGGATAGCATATATGATGTAGCGCATGCGAGAAAGGGACAATGTACAAAGACATCAACGCGTTCACCAAAAAATAAATACAATTAACAGCAATTAAATATAAGAGTATTTTTGTCTTTTTGTAATGTATTTAAACTTACCGGTGAAAAGTAATACTAAATTTTTGAAGACTGGAAGTTTTACTCTACTTTCCACACAATTGAATTGCATAGTAAGGCATTTTTTACAGTTTTTTAACACGAAAACGAGAGAAGCAGTTCGACCGACGCTCGGTTACCAAATGAAATGATGTATCGCGACGTGTGTGGGCGTGCCTCACGCATAGGTAAAATACTACTTAAGCTTGGCGTAAGCGCTTGCCTTGTATGCGGACTCTAGTGGGGGTGCTCCATGAGGCACTAATATCAAATAAATCATTGACCGGCACAATTTCTGTATTTATATATATTTTACAATGTAAAGTGTTCACTTATATTAATGATCGCACAGTAATTTTTGGATTACATCGCAATATGTGTCTTCCATTACAACGTTCAACATGAGAGGCGGAAAAGTATAATGTCCTATGCACTCCGCGGTGTCGTCGAAAGCAGGACGGCCATAGCTAAAAGTGCACATGTATGAAAAGGATCAGAGACAGATTGGATTAAGGAAATTGCAAGTGCATAAACTACCCTATAATGAAATTAATAAAAGCCAGCAAAATACGAGATCCAACAATTTTCCTTATTTCAAAAAGTTTAAATAATCACACGATAATGGATAGAAAGAGATTGAGTCTCATTGATTGATATTCATCCTCGTGAAGGAGAAAGAGAGCGAAAGAGATCCAGTCTCCTCGAAATCCGTATTAACGTACAATTTACTTGTTACAGTCAGTACGAGGAACGCGAGTTGCGCGCACAACAGGAGCGCGCGAAAAAGCGCATGGAGTTTGAAGCACAGATCGACCGTATAGCTTCCAACCTCGAGTTCGAACGATCGAGGGACACGCAGAGTCAGTATACAGCATTGTTAATATCTTTAAAAGTTTGTATTTAATTGAATACTTGTCTAACGAGTCAGGGTCTTACATTGAATTTAGATTTGTACCAGAAAAATGTGTTTTGTTTTTTATGTGAGGAAGTGGCTATTTTGACTAATAGACAAATGTGATATTGGTGACGATTCTGGCACGATTCTCTAAATCTAAACTTTATTTTGACAATAGTGTAGCTTTGTCATTCTCTATACAGAATGAAATGGAGAGATTGATGTTAAATTTAGTTTTATGTTTAGAGAATCACGCCAGGATCGACACCAATATCACATAATTAACGATATCAATAATGATACTGGTGTCGATTCTGGCGTGATTCTCTAAACTTAAAACTAATTTTAACATCAGTCTCTCCTTTTCATTCTGTATAGAGAATGACAAGGTATACACTACATATACTGTTGTCAAATTTAAGTTTAGATTTAGAGAATCGTGCCATAATCGACACCATTGTGTTGTATATTAATACAATAAAGTATTGTTTTCGTTTTTTTTTAAAGCGTTAGTGAAACGCTTTAATATATCGTAACGAACGTTGGATTTGTAAAACATTGTTTTTTTATTATGAAAATAAAATAATAATGAAATATCTTTTGTTCTGGGCTCGTATAGAGAACGTGACCCGTTGGGAGCGCACAGTGCAAGACGGGGAGGACGAACTAGAAGCCGGTCGGCAGGCAGAAGCCAAACAACGCCAGGACATAGACCGGGAGCTGCGTCGCGCCGACCAGCTCAAGGCCGAGAGGACTGCGCAACGAGCCGCTGCCACCACGCACGAACAAACCCTGGACAAGGTGACTGTATACTGAGCCCGGCACATACACATACACATACACCGCGCCGCTGACGCCACGCACGAACAAACCCTGGACAAGGTGACTGTATACTGAGCCCGGCACATACACATACACATACACCGCGCCGCTGACGCCACGCACGAACAAACCCTGGACAAGGTGACTGTATACTGAGCCCGGCACATACACATACACATACACCGCGCCGCTGACGCCACGCACGAACAAACCCTGGACAAGGTGACTGTATACTGAGCCCGGCACATACACATACACATACACCGCGCCGCTGACGCCACGCACGAACAAACCCTGGACAAGGTGACTGTATACTGAGCCCGGCACATACACATACACATACACCGCGCCGCTGACGCCACGCACGAACAAACCCTGGACAAGGTGACTGTATACTGAGCCCGGCACATACACATACACATACACATACACCGCGCCGCTGACGCCACGCACGAACAAACCCTGGACAAGGTGACTGTATACTGAGCCCGGCACATACACATACACATACACATACACCGCGCCGCTGACGCCACGCACGAACAAACCCTGGACAAGGTGACTGTATACTGAGCCCGGCACATACACATACACATACACCGCGCCGCTGACGCCACGCACGAACAAACCCTGGACAAGGTGACTGTATACTGAGCCCGGCACATACACATACACATACACATACACCGCGCCGCTGACGCCACGCACGAACAAACCCTGGACAAGGTGACTGTATACTGAGCCCGGCACATACACATACACATACACCGCGCCGCTGACGCCACGCACGAACAAACCCTGGACAAGGTGACTGTATACTGAGCCCGGCACATACACATACACATACACATACACCGCGCCGCTGACGCCACGCACGAACAAACCCTGGACAAGGTGACTGTATACTGAGCCCGGCACATACACATACACATACACCGCGCCGCTGACGCCACGCACGAACAAACCCTGGACAAGGTGACTGTATACTGAGCCCGGCACATACACATACACATACACCGCGCCGCTGACGCCACGCACGAACAAACCCTGGACAAGGTGACTGTATACTGAGCCCGGCACATACACATACACATACACATACACCGCGCCGCTGACGCCACGCACGAACAAACCCTGGACAAGGTGACTGTATACTGAGCCCGGCACATACACATACACATACACATACACCGCGCCGCTGACGCCACGCACGAACAAACCCTGGACAAGGTGACTGTATACTGAGCCCGGCACATACACATACACATACACCGCGCCGCTGACGCCACGCACGAACAAACCCTGGACAAGGTGACTGTATACTGAGCCCGGCACATACACATACACATACACATACACCGCGCCGCTGACGCCACGCACGAACAAACCCTGGACAAGGTGACTGTATACTGAGCCCGGCACATACACATACACATACACCGCGCCGCTGACGCCACGCACGAACAAACCCTGGACAAGGTGACTGTATACTGAGCCCAGCACGTGCAGCGCAAGCGCCGTAACATAGACAGCAATAATATTTAAACATTTAAAAAAATATATGCTTTTCATACATTTTATATGGACTCGCCACACACGGTACGCCGGTGGCCGCCACACACTACAAATCGTCGTTGCTCGCTTCTTGTGGTCCGCACCGGCCACTTAATGCGCCGATACAAAACGCCGCCACACGTCACTCGCGCGATTCCCCACCCCGCTCTCCCTTGCCTTAGTCGGCCGCTGTCGCGCGCTTCAGCCACTTAAGTAGCCGCTTCTAGCTTCGCGTGGCGGCGTATGTGGCGTGTGGCCCGTGTGCGGCGACACTTAAAGCTCAAATTCATATTAATATTTACATATTCCTGAGAGTTCGTCTCGCGAATTACTGATACTTCATAAACAGGCAGTGAATTCGTATTTTAGTAATTTACGTTATAAACGAGAATGCTGCTTTGTATTTTTTTTTGCGAGTCCGGTACTCTATCATTTACTTACTTAGTTATGTATGTAAGCGACCATGAAAGTTGGAAACTGAATGTGTATTGTTTTCTCGCAACAGGCACGCAAGGATGTGTCCAATATCCAGAAGGAGATAGCGGCGGTGCAGAAGCAGATTGCATCTATCGAAGCTCGCATCGAAAGCAAACGTAGCGACCGTCACAATATCCTAAGACAATGCAAGGTAACGAGTTCTGCCTTATTACATAGGTACTGTCTATGTAAACTTTTGGATATATGAAACTTAAGTATAACAGACACTGGAGTTGATATTGTGTAAAACACTGTTGAAATTTATTGATGACTAGCGGCCCGCCCTCGCTTCGCTTCGGTGTAGAGCTGAAGTGTATACCACAGTTTTTGTTCTCAGGCTTGTATTATACACAATGACATTCATCTATGATTCTTCTTATACCTGCATGCATAGTCTCAGCCCGATCGGTTTAAACTGACTAAGTCACCTTTGAGTTTTATATATATAGATAGATAAATAAATAAACAAAAAAAAAAACAATTTGAATAAAGAAATTTTGATATTGGTTGTTTAACCATGACCAGATGGACGATATAATAGTGCCCCTGCTGGAGGGCAGCCTGGACGACACGGCCGAGGGGGACTCCGAGCAGTCCTCGCTCACCTCCTCACATCAGCGCGTCAAGGACTCCAGGTCAGTGTTCTAATACTAATCCACTTAAATTTGCCCTGCTAAGTTGTGATTCACACTTTTTTTTTGCAAACATTGACACCCAAGGTTATACGAAAAAAAATGTGTGCGTGTACTAGTGTACACACGTAAGAAGTGAAACTTATTTATGGCCTTATTTTTTTCGAAAAATGATCTACATGCAACTTTCCAGAAATATATATATAGGCGTGCGCTAAGATTTTTCAAAAACTCACCCACTAAAGGGGTATAACTACACCTTACCTTACCTTACCTTACCTTACCTTACCTTACCTTACCTTACCTTACCTTACCTTACCTTACCTTACCTTACCTTACCTTACCTTGTGTGAAACACGAATATTTGCTGTCGATACTTATTTTTTTTAACCACACAAAATTTCCGAAGTTCTCAATTAATTAAATACATTTTTTTTTAAATCAGGTTTTGGTGAACATTTGGTTCACTGGTTTGCTAGTGAAACATTATTTATTTAGCAGTAACAGCGATCCGTCTTATCGTCAATCGGCAATAATACACAACGGCTACGTTTGTAAAGCCTTCACTTTACTTGGATATTCGTATTTTTTGTTTATAAACTACAAAAATTAAAAAAAAAAGAGTAATTGTTTATTCAGTCTAGGCTGTTATAAGCACTTGTGAATGTCGAAAAGCTACGCCATCGGTTCGCAAAACTACGGCGGGAGACCTTGTACTGAGAAGAACCGACGAGAAACTCAGCAAGAGCTTTTTTTTTCCAAAAATAACTCCAATATGAGAAATCATGAAGTCACTTTCCATTACAAATGGAAGTAAATGATATAAAAATTATGACTATAAAATAAAAAATATAATAAAACTGATTTAACAAAGTTTCTGTTTAGAAATGCCTTGTCCTACTGTTTAGGCATAATAAAAATTACGATTAAAGTTAAATACAACGATTGAAAGTACCCAATGTAGCAAGAGCATGTACCATGATTGTCTGCCGTTTTATTGACTCTGCACGTTCTTTCCGGTTGACTGGTAGAGAATGCCATGCTGGCATTAAGTCCGCCATATGCAATGTAAGGCATTAAAGATTAAATAAATAAATAAATAAAAGAGCAGACTCATCTCCGCTAGCAGCACTTTACAACAATCTCTCCTTATCATTTTTTTTATAGATAGGTCCGACAAATGACTGCACTCCACCTGATGTTTGTAATGTTTATCATGCTGTGTAAGGAATGAAAAGGACAGACTGATGTCAAGTTTTCAAATAGCAACCACGAATAACCAAGTGAAGTGTCGGCATCGTACAGCTAGCCTGAGTTTCAAATTTGAAATCAGATTGTAACGAACTCACTTCATATGTTGATACAGGATCCGCGTGGATTACCGATCTTTAAGCGAGGGCCTGAAGGATCTGGACGAGCCGGACGAGATCAAACGGAAGGGCGATAAACTGCAGAAAGCCATCAACTCTCTGCAAAACACCGTGGACAAGATACAGGCTCCCAATATGAGGGTACGTTCTTACGATGATATTTGTGCAGCAAAAAATTGTTTATATAAATCAAAGAGTTAAGACTTACTCAAAACTCGACGGTATTCATTTATGTTGATTAGTGAATGTATGTTTCATTTACGAAAATAATAAATAAATAAATAAATAAATATTTCCGACACTCACACCAATTAGCCTAGCCCCCAAAGTAAGCACTATAAGGCTTGTGTTATGGGATGCTAGGGTAACGGATAGAGTACAAATAATGTACATATATAAGTATATTTACATAAATACATATTAAACATCCATGACTGGAGTACAAATGCTCGTATTTATCACACAAACATCTACCCCCACCGGGATTCGAACTCGGGACCTCTCAAGTCGGCGACAGCCATGAAACCCGGCGTACAAACCACTCGGCCATGGAGGTCGTCCAAGTCGAAAGGGATTATGTCTCACTATTTTCGTCGTTTATTTTAGTATTCGCTATGTGCACGACAGTAGCGCCACCTACAATGCGCAACTTTCCGGGATTATGCCAAATAATAACATCAGTTTGTATTTTATTGATTTCTAGTAAATATAGTAAGGTAAAGATAAATAAAAATTATTATATATTGTATAATAATTTAAATAATGTCGGATTTCAATTCGGAATTCAGTACAGTCAATAATAACTCTTGTATTGATGTAATCTGGACTGAAACACTTGGGCATTGGTGCTTGTACGGTGGCTCTATTCGGCCAAAAGATTAAATTAGCAGTTGAACAAGCTAGATTTTGTAAGATCGAATGAAATATACGTGAGATTGTGGTTTTTTTGTACACCAAATAACACACTCAATGCTGAAAATGTCAAGCCAGTTTTCATTTTTATCAAAAAAATCAGAAGTCGGTCTTTAGTGGAAACTGTACATTTTCTCATAGTTAATCTTGTTAATAAAAACTCAAAATTGCTAAATGACACACCAGAAGGATCTAGGAGTTCTTGATCATTTGTTATTGATGAAATACCAACAAATTCTTGACTTTTTGTTTCGGTAGATTGATCCTCATACGATTTTTTGTCAGTGCCACAGCTTTTATCTTTCTTTCTTGAATTATTTGTCATTAAAATTCTTGATGTTGGATCACAGTGATCACTGTAAATTAATCTAATACAAATAAAAGTTGTATCTCTTAATTTCGATTCAGAAAACATATTGACTTGACATCCTTGATCGATCATAAAAGGTTGAGTTTGATTTAATTCACTCCCTTCTTCAATTATTATTTGACTTGATGTGGTATCTGAGACTTTTGTGGTTCTTCGTTTTGTCAAGCGTGTATATCTAGCTAGGACCTGTGAATCATTAACCTTCCTCTTTCGATATATTTCAGGGAATATCGTAGGAGCATAACTCGGATTTTCTTCCTCGTCTGATTTTTTGTTTCCCATAAAATGTTCACTACAAATTGTGTCGTCAGGTTTGGGATACCATGGCGACCCATCAACACTAAAATAATAAAGACAATAATGAATATCACATAAAATATATAGCGCAAATAAAATTGATCATAATTTAAGGTTATTTCGCTTACTTATTTCTTTTTATGGCATCTATCCATTTATTTCTTTGATTTAATTTCCAGTCCAATGTAGGAAATATATACACAGACTATTTGTGCCCTTATTTTTGCAATTCACAACACAACAACATCTATTAATAGGCATTTTAAAAAATTTTTGTTTATTACGAACTCCGTGCAAATTGACTTTACTTTCCCGGATTGTTGCGTATTTCTGCCACTATAAGCGCTGCGATCGCTTCACTATACCCCCACCATGTACTTCGCACATAGCGAATAGGAGAACCTAGTATCTAGTCAAATTTGATTTAGTTTTTAATATACTATAACAGTGTAAAAACGTAAAGTGGTACAAAGCCTTTGAAGTCTCGCGAAATGTCGCTTTTGTCTAGACATTCATCATTGTCGCAGGGTTGTCACATTTTTCATTTATTTAAATTACCTACTTTGTTCCATATTTACTAGATTATAGTATCCTATACCTATCCTTTCTACCAATATAATAAATGTGAAAGTTTGACCCAAAAACTACTGATATCGAAAATAATGTTGTATTGGACTCAGCCCCTTCGGAAACCACGAATACAATACCCCTATCGGTTTTATTGAAAAAAGCAAGTCCGCCATTTGGGATCTCGATATTTATGTTAGATTCGAAATCAGCGCCCTCTAAAATCATGAATTCGACATCCATATCGATTTTAATGAAACAGGCAAGTTCGCCATTTAGGATCTCGATAATAATATTAGATTCGAAATCAGCACTCTAAAATCATGAATTCGACATCCATATCGATTTTAATGAAACAGGCAAGTTCGCCATTTTGGATCTCGATAATAATATTAGAATCGAAATCAGCACCCTCTAAAATCATGAATTCGACACCCACATCAATTTTATTTAAAAAGGCAAGTCCGCCATCTTGTATCTCGATATTGATAATATATACGAAATCAACCTCGGGTAGTATTAGGGGCCCAGCCATCCCAGGAACCGTGCATTCATATATACGAATCTGACCTGAGGCCCAAGCACGAATTTTGACAGCTCTGTAATAGTATCGACATTTAAAAAATTGTATAGATGGAGCTAGTTTGTTGTTACGTCCGATAGAGGCGCAACTTAGTTTTCATATAAACTTTGTCGATGCTATACGATTACGGAGCCGTCGAATTTCGTGATTGGGCCTCTGACGTAACAACAACACGAGAGAGACGTATGGGCGGGAAAAGGAGATAGAATGATGCAGGCTTCATTTACGTCGGTTGTAACACATTGTATTTATTGTAAAGAAGTAAAAATTGAGTATTTTAAATGTATGTCATTTACCAGGCGATGCAGAAACTGAACGAAGTGCGTGAGAAGGTGAACGCCACCAACGAGGCATTCGTGGCCGCCCGCAAGCGCGCGCACAAAGCTAAATTGGCTTTCGAGAAGGTAATATTTCTATAGTCTGTCCATTCTATTATTATCTTTTTGACAGATCGATCGAAGTAAAAATAGTGACACCCTATCACATAACTCGTTCGATTTAAAGCTATAATTGATTTTATGTTAGAACATTGTTTAATCGATTATAAGTATCGAAATTATTTTAGTTATCAAAAATACTGGTGTTTAATAAATTATTACAAAATCTCATTAGATTTATTATTTTACCTAGTTTGTATGAAGAATCTGATACGTCTGAATAAATTAAAAATAAACTAAGTCTCAGCCCGATCGGTTTCAAATTGACAAAGTTTCATACAAACTTTCATTCCCTATTTTATCCCCTTGGGGGTAGAATTGATCAAAATCCTTTCTTAGCGGATGCCTACTTCATAACATCCACCTGCATGCCAAATTTCAGCCCGATCCGTCCAGTGGTTTGGGCTGTGCGTTGATAGATCACTATGTCAGTCAGTCAGTCACCTTTGAGTTTTATATATATAGATGATAAGTTTGTGTTTATTAATTGTGATAAGTATAATGCTGCAGGTAAAGAAAGAGAGGCACGACAAGTTCATAGACTGCTTCGAGCACGTGGCCAATGAAATAGATGCCATCTACAAAGTGAGTTTATTTCATATTTGTTTTTAGTTTCTAGTAGCTAAGAATTTGGTCATCGGGTATGTGATCCTACTCATAATATAAAGTGAAAAATTGTTATTCTATCATGTAAAAACTGACTTGAGCAGCTCGATGGCGCAAGTGGTTAGCGCGTTCGGCTGCGATCGTTGAACTTCAACGATCGCAGCAACTTTCGCAGTGGTCGGTCATTGGATGGGTGACCAAAAATTTACTATCTCGAGTTCCTCCGTGCTTCGGAAGGCACGTTAAGCCGTTGGTCCCGGCTGCAAATGCAGTCGTTAGCATCCGCCAATCTACGCTGGGCCCGCGTGGTGGGTCATGGCCCAATCTCCCTATTCCATCCTTAGGGAAGGCCTGTGCCCCAGTAGTGGGGACATTAATAACTAATGACAAATGAAAAACTGACTAAACGGATTTGGTTTTAATTTCTCACAAATATTAAGACAAAGGATACTTCTTACGCTGGAAATAACTAGGTTCCTGTATGATCTATAACGCGAGAAATTTACCATTATGTTTATTATGTGTTTAGGCGTTGGCGATGAACCAGTCGGCGCAGGCGTTCCTGGGCCCCGAGAACCCCGAGGAGCCCTATCTGGACGGCATCAACTACAACTGCGTGGCGCCCGGCAAGAGGTTCCAGCCCATGTCTAACCTCTCCGGGGGGGAGAAGACTGTCGCCGCGCTCGCACTACTGTTCGCCATCCACAGGTCTGTGTCTGTACTGTGACGTCATCGCGGGGCGACGCTCCCGGCCCATGTCCGACCTCTCCGGGGGGGAGAAGACTGTCGCCGCGCTCGCACTACTGTTCGCCATCCACAGGTCTGTGTGTGTACTGTGACGTCATCGCGGGGCGACGCTCCCGGCCCATGTCCGACCTCTCCGGGGGGGAGAAGACTGTCGCCGCGCTCGCACTACTGTTCGCCATCCACAGGTCTGTGTCTGTACTGTGACGTCATCGCGGGGCGACGCTCCCGGCCCATGTCCGACCTCTCCGGGGGGGAGAAGACTGTCGCCGCGCTCGCACTACTGTTCGCCATCCACAGGTCTGTGTCTGTACTGTGACGTCATCGCGGGGCGACGCTCCCGGCCCATGTCCGACCTCTCCGGGGGGGAGAAGACTGTCGCCGCGCTCGCACTACTGTTCGCCATCCACAGGTCTGTGTCTGTACTGTGACGTCATCGCGGGGCGACGCTCCCGGCCCATGTCCGACCTCTCCGGGGGGGAGAAGACTGTCGCCGCGCTCGCACTACTGTTCGCCATCCACAGGTCTGTGTGTGTACTGTGACGTCATCGCGGGGCGACGCTCCCGGCCCATGTCCGACCTCTCCGGGGGGGAGAAGACTGTCGCCGCGCTCGCACTACTGTTCGCCATCCACAGGTCTGTGTCTGTACTGTGACGTCATCGCGGGGCGACGCTCCCGGCCCATGTCCGACCTCTCCGGGGGGGAGAAGACTGTCGCCGCGCTCGCACTACTGTTCGCCATCCACAGGTCTGTGTGCTGTACTGTGACGTCATCGCGGGGCGACGCTCCCGGCCCATGTCCGACCTCTCCGGGGGGGAGAAGACTGTCGCCGCGCTCGCACTACTGTTCGCCATCCACAGGTCTGTGTCTGTACTGTGACGTCATCGCGGGGCGACGCTTCCGGCCCATGTCCCCTCCAGTCTTCAAAAGTTTTGTGCATGATGTATACATTGTATATATTGAACAGTATGCGTTCAAAGTGTGTCCCAATCAAAAAGTGCTTAAACACTTCTTGGTTTACAGTCGCGCGACCGAAAAATCAAAATGCCGCAGGACTCCGTAAAAAATGCGATAAATCTCTTATCTATTAGACATGTCCGTCCGTCCGTCTGTGGTGCTGTTTCAGCGGCCAAACCGTAAGAGATAGATAAAGAGAATATTTAAGTTATAAGTTAAGAATAGTCTGATAAGACTACGGATTTGAGTAACGTAGCACTTCCGGTTTTCGAGAAATCACGAATTTCAAACGAAACCACACAAAATCTCAGAAGTTCTCAATTAATTAATTTTTTTTTTTAAATCAGGTTTTGAGAACATTTGGTTCACTGGTTTGCTAGTATACTTATAATATGTAAAGTGTCCCTTTTATCGACAAATATCTATTCAATGATTATTTAACGTATTTGAAGCAAAATTTATTCTAATACTATAAACTGATTTAATAGAAAATATTTATGATATTCAAATGCATGGTTTGGCTTTTTTCCTCGCCCTCCGTATCTGCTATTTACTACTGTGCATTCAAAATTACGGGTAGAGTCAAAAAAATAGACAATATTCTACCGCAACAAGTCATAAAATTTTACGAGCATGCATTTCAAACTGTCATAACTCTGTGATGCATGCGTTTAAATTAAGACCTTATATTCCATGCATATAAGGTGAATTTGAATGTTTAAATAATGTCTTATATTGTTTTTTCACTACGCTATCGTCTTATGGAGCTCCGTGGATCGTACAACGTATCCTTTGGACAGGTTTCGGCCACGATTTTGTTCGTGTTCTAATATCTAGGGTAATAAATATCGTTGATGTTATGACTGACAGGCGTACAAGTATAAAATAAGTATATATAAATCTTAAGATAACGTAGCATACGATTCAACTTTGAACAGTCAAATAAAACAAGTTAAATTAGACAAAACTATATACAACAATCCGAATGACATATGTAATATTTTTAATGAAAAATTTGCTGATATGACTAATAAATATAATGAAAATTTTGACATCAATTATTGCAATATCAAATCAATAGAATCTACCATGTTTCTGTTTCCCACAGACGAGGTAGAAGTTTCAAAAACAATTAATTCCTTAAATAATACTTATTCGGTAGGTTACGATAAATTAGACACTAATACACTGAAGGAATGGAAGCATATTATTTCTCCGATCCTGTCACACATAATAAACTTATCATTTGAACAAGGCATATTCCCTGATAGGCTAAAAATAAGCGTGGTAAAACCCATCCATAAGAAAGGAGACAAAGCAAATCCTCTTAACTATCGACCAATTGCTCTAATTCCTGTCTTATCGAAAGTTTTTGAAAAATGCATGCAAACGCGCTTAATGAAATATGCACGAAAATTTGAAATACTTGATCCTAACCAACATGGTTTTCAGAAGGGAAAGTCGACGACATTAGCGGCTTTTAGACTAATTAATGAAATAATAAAACATGTGAATAATAAACTGAAAACTGTTGCAATATTCTTCGACATGTGCAAAGCTTTCGATTTCGTTTCACATGATCTACTTTTAAAAAAATGCGAAGCGCACGGTATTAGGGGAAATGCTTTGAAATGGATTAAGTTATCTTACTGATCGAACTCAATTCGTAGAACTAATATATCTTAATAGTAATTCTCAGTTAGAGGATTATTCTTCAAAGATTATTCCTAATAATGTTGGCGTACCACAGGGCACTATTTTGGGCCCCCCACTATTTATACTATACATTAACGATCTGCCAAAAATTACAAATTTTTTTTGCTCTCTATATGCAGATGACATTGCAGTAGTTTAAGGTAATAAATCTGACAAAAACCTAAATGACATAATTAATTCAACTGTAACTGACATTATTAACTGGTTAAATTGTAATAACCTAAGTGTAAATATAGAAAAAACTAAAATCATTCAATTTACTAATAAAGGTGCAAAAAAAGCGGAACTAAATGTTACTTTTGACAACAAAACAATCGCAGAAACTAGTCAAGTGACGTTTTTAGGTATAGAATTTGATAATCACTGTACTTGGAAAGCACATGTTGACAAAGTATGTAACAAAATAAATAGATTTGCGTATGCATTGTGGCGTTTGTCTAGAATAAGCAATACTCAAACCGCACTGAAAGCATATCACGGATATGTAGCCTCGATCATAAGGTATGGCATAATAGTATGGGGTAATTCTGTAAAAATTAAAAGACTGTTTATTGCACAAAAACAATGCATTAGATCTATTGCTAATGTTGATTCTTGGGTTTCTTGCAGGCCTTTGTTCAAGTTTTATAAGTTGCTGACAGTTCCGTGTATTTATATTTTTGAAATATGTATCTTTGTCAAAATGCACCCTGACCTTTATAAAACTAAAAAAGACTGCTGTACTTTTAACACTAGGTATCCAAAAAAAATGTGTTTACCAGACTCTAGATCTGAAATTTGTAGCAGAAATAGCTTTACAATGTCCGTGAAAATATATAACAATTTGCCTGAGCCACTAAAGTCATTATCTATGTCCTTATTCAGACGTCGTCTATATAATCGTCGTAAATTAAGTCGTTAATTGAAAAATGCTATTATTCACTTGCAGAGTATTTTGAGGATAAGTAGGCTGAATGGACTTCAATATATGAAATTTTGATTTTGGACATGCATTCTATATTTTAATGATTTATTTAATTTGTTTGACATTGTACGATACTGATTACTGGAGGATCCTGAAAGCAAATATTAGACATTTATTATTTCTTTATATTACTATGTGAAATATTAAACAATTCGGCATATAACTTAAGAAGATATAACAATAAAATACAACTAACATTAACAATTTCACATCATAAAACTATAAAATACACTAACTATAAACAAATAAGTCTCTATCTAATTACATAATTACTATATATAAGTAAAATATAAATACTAGAATAATAAAACTAAAACTAAAATTAAAAACCTTAAAAACATAAAAATTAATAACTAAAATATATTATTAAAAGGAAACATTTCTTGAGCCTGACACGCTCCGAATCGCAACCTGTCTACGGCTTGGGGTCCCGGTCTGCGCTCCTCATAAATGTCCCTGTGGCAGTGATGTCGACAAGCTAGGACATCACGGACTGTCTTGCCAAAAAAGTGCAGGCCGCTTCTCGAGACACGCCGCACTTAACGATATCATACGCCGGTCCCTTGCCACCGTCAACGTGCCAAGTCTACTTGAGCCAACTGGTATTGCAAGAGACGATGGCAAGAGACCGGACGGTATGAGTTTGATTCCATGGAAGATGGGTCGGGTGCTAGTATGGGATGCAACCTGTTCAGACACGCTGGCCCCTTCCCATCTACATGGAACCAACAACAGAGCTGGTGCGGCTTGTGAAGCTGCTGAAAAAGCTAAGGCAGGCAAATACAGGGGTCTAGGCTCCGAATATGATTTTGTCCCATTCGGTGTCGAGACCCTTGGTCCGTGGGGTCCTAGCGCTTTAAGGCTATTTAAGGAAATAGCAAAAAGGTTAGTCGACGTCACAGGAGACCGAAGAGCTGGCAGCTACCTCGGACAAAGAATTAGTCTAGCCATTCAAAGAGGTAACGCTGCCAGTATCTTCGGTTCCTTGCCTAAAGGGACTCCTTTTAATAATATATTTTAGTTATTAATTTTTATGTTTTTAAGGTTTTTAATTTTAGTTTTAGTTTTATTATTCTAGTATTTATATTTTACTTATATATAGTAATTATGTAATTAGATAGAGACTTATTTGTTTATAGTTAGTGTATTTTATCATTTATTATTTAACATTTTGATTATTAATTTTAGTATGAATCGACACCATTGTATGATTTGTATTATTGTATTATTATTGGATTTTGAACACTGGACATCTATTTTTTTTTTTACATTTTGATGAATAATTTTATATTTATTTGACATTGTATAATATTGATAACAAAATGATCTTGGCATGATACTGATAAGGTTAACATTACTCTTTAATTTTAACTTCATTTAAAACTGTTGCATGCTGTTTAACAGTAAAATATGTGAGACATGAGAATTAATCAAACACCTTTTATACCATATTTTTATGCAATAAATTATTATTATTATTATTAAAAAAAATGGGTGCGTGTACTTATGTAGGCGCGTGAGAAGTTATCCTTCTTTGGCATCGTTTAAAATTAGTTTTTAATTGCATGCAAATAATTAATTACAATAAATTAATAAGAAGTCTGGAAAAGGACACAGTCAATAAAGTTCAGTTTTAATTTGAAAAATAAATAAATAATCAAAATATTCAATTAAAATCGCTACTGAATATAATTTATTAGAACATATGTGATTTGCACTTGTATGAAACTCAAACACGTATTCCGAATATACAAACTAGAAACATGTGGATAAATATTATAAATATGAATACCTATAACTGTTACTTTATTACAAAAAATAAAGATGTGGTTTTTGGTTCTACTACACCAATGGTAAAGAGATGGCGCTGTAGTCTCTTTTCATAACGCGTCTAAAGGAGTATAACTTCAAAAATTACTAGAAAAAAGTCCACATGGTCCAGGCAGCCGACGGGACTCGAACCCGCACTCTCTACTATCCGTGCAGATGCACTGATCAATTAAGCTACTGCGACCTTAATAGTCGTGTCGAATTTCTTCTAGTATTCTTAGGCTTGCAGCGTCATCTCTTCGCATTGTAGGTAACTCACAATCTCAAACGTAACAGTTTTACAAGTATTAAACATTTCAAAGCAGAAATAGCAATTTGTAGTTTATTGTATATTTATTGAAAGCATTTAACTGCTAGATTTTAAATCTAAAATAAAATCTTTCTTAATAGGGATGATGACTAATTTTTGTTTCTTCCTTTATCAGGTAGATTATCAAAAAGTATTGGACACGTATTTTTTCTTTTTTCACATAATATAAACATTGCAGAGATATATTGATTTGAAAAGTCGCATGACGTCACGTTTGAGTACACTTATAAGTGAAAAACTTTTACGCGCTATAACTTTGTCATTTTTTGGTTCATTGCCCAAAGAAAAAATACGTGTCCATTATTTTTTGATCATCTAACTGACGGACTAAATAGAATTTCGTTTACTGTACCCCGTCATCACCCCTATTGACGAAAGTATTAAGTTGATAATTGCCGTCGTTCCAGTTACCAACCGGCGCCGTTCTTCCTGCTGGACGAGATCGACGCGGCGCTGGACAACACGAACATAGGCAAGGTGGCCGCCTACATACGCTCCAAGCGCGGCTCGCTGCAGACCATCGTCATCTCGCTCAAGGAGGAGTTCTACGGCTGCGCGGACGCACTCGTCGGCATCTGCTCCGAGGTCAGTGCCCCAAGACACCACTGGGGTGGGAGAGCCCAAACGGGGATTTTTGGATTTACTCAAGCGGGGTAGATTAACATAGGGTAACCTTGCACACAGTTAAGTACTCTCACCACACCTAAGTCCTCCATGTAGAGCCGAACGTCTAGGATAGCCGAAAAAAATATTAAACAATCGGCCATGTCTTTTGGTCGCGCCCAAACGTCAGTCTTTTGAATAGGAGCTGTCCGGTCGTTGGAGTCGTCGTCTTTATATAGTCGTGGAAGTCGGTGGAACGAAACTTGGCAGTCACCGCCGTCCTGTCTCGTAGTCCATTGTCATCTTTTTTACTGTCAATACCGTCATGATGTCCGTCTGTCATATGTAGGCTAATCAGTCAGTCCAAGGAGGCCGGACGCCGCGATAGGAGCTACTGGAGGCAGCGGCGCAGTGTGGGTGTCGCCCGCCCGGGGCGAAGGACAATTTTGCTGCCCCCACTACTATACGTCACTGACTGGAGGGTTCACGTAACCCTCATAATGATATTAATGCCTATTAATGTCCTCCCTGCTGGGGCACAGGCCTTCCCTATGAATGGAATAGGGAGATTGGGCCATGACCCACCACGCGGGCCCAGTGCGGATTGGTGGGTGCTAACGACTGCAGTTACAGCCCGGACCAACGACTTACCGGGCTTTCCGAAGGACGGTGGAGCTCGAGATAGTAAATTTTTGGTCACCCATCCCCAATGACCGACCACTGCGAAAGTTGCTTAACTTCAACGATCGCAGCCGAACGCGCTAACCAGTTGCGCCATCTAGCTCCTGACGTAACTCTAGTATCCCATAATACAAGCCTACAGTGCTTTCTTTGGGGCTAGGAAAGTATAGCGTTGAAAATATAAAAAAAGGAGTGTGCTTATGACCTCACGACTGAAGTGAAACTTCTTTAGCTCCATTTGTATGTATGTACATACTGTACAATATATACATGTATATACATATTTCATTTACTAGCTATAAGAGAAAGAGAGAAAGAAAATGTGTGCGCACACTGATTTCTCTTGCTTATATCCCCCTCTCAACTCCCGTTCGCCTCGCTCGAACACACCTTTCGTAACGCATAACGCATTCGCCAGAAGTCAAGCGGGCGTACAGAAGTTTCACTTCCATATATATATAACTTTGAACACTGAAGTGAACTATTTGTCGTTTATTCATATATTTGTTTGTTTCCAGCCGGCGGACTGCCTGGTCAGCGACGTCATAACGCTCAGCCTAGAAAGCTACGACGATTAACTATTAAAGTTAGAATAAATATAGTTATTTTTATACGGTATTTTATATTTAATTAATAATATTAGCATTCCCATCTCACAATAATTTCGATGTAACTAACTGTTAAGTTTTTTGACATACATATCTAGTGACGTTTGTATGTGTGCGTTTTATTTTTTCTCATACGTTTTGAGACAGTTTTTTATATAAGCTACATTCATCGCTTTCCCATATGAATATATTGTTTATCGGGACGTTGGCGGATATATAAGTAGACTTTAATAAATACACACATCAAAAGTGTCTAGGGATCAACATATATTTTTGCAATAACTTTTCTCCTGATTGATATTAATTAAAATTTTCTTTAAGGATTCATCAAATAAAGTGTTTTCGTTTGTCACAGTAACGATAAACCAAGTCACCTTTGCATTAATAAAGAAATTTGCCATTTTCCTAATAAAGGGATTTTTGACATTTGAACCACTAACACAAAAGTTCGAAAAAAAGACTGAAATAACAGTTTTCTCTAAAATTTTATTGGGTAACTTAAACAATTAATAATCCGTATTTCTACCGCGAACACTAACAACACAAGAACATCGGTTTGGCATACTCAAAATGAGTTCATCCAAATCACGCTGTGGAATGGCCGCCCATGTTCGTTGCAACAACAAAAAAAGGTCTTCTTGCGACTGGATACCCTCCATATTCGGCAGAGCTCTTCTCTGTAGCATATCCCATGCATGCTCAATCGGGTTCAAGTCTGGCGACTGAGCAGGCCAGGGCAGGACATTGATGTTAGCTGCGGCGAGAGTCTGTCTTACAACTCTTGCGGTGTGCGGTCGTGCATTATCATGCATTAACTGAAATAAGGGACCGATTTGCACTTGTAGAGGAACGATGACGTCTGATACAATCGTCTCAGCATAAATTTGAGCGTTGAGGTTGCCTCTGATCCAAATCAACTCAGTTCTTCCGCCAATCCAAATACCCGCCCATACCATGATGGTTCCACCACTATAAGGATGGACTTCCTGGCAGGATTTTAATCGCTGTTGGCGTCCAGGGGTTCTCCAGTGTCGTATACGTCTTGTATCCGGTCTCATACCAAAACGAGACTCATCAGAAAAGCACACGAAACGCCATTGTTCTTCTGCCCAATTTCTGTGTTCAAGAGCCCATTGATATCGAATCCTACGATTGTGCATTGCTATAGGTGGTACCCGTAGCGGTCTTCGGGAATGAAGGTTCACTTCATGCAAGCGGTTTCTGACTGTTTGGTCGCTAATTAAGTTCCCTGAAGAGTGATGAAGCCTCACGGCTAACATCATGGCGGTTATTGTTGGAGCTCTTCGAGTTAAGATTTGAATGTATCGGTCTTGTCTCCGTGTGGTGCAGCGATACCGTCCTCCATGGCGCTCAGCCACGGTACCAGTGCTTCGGTATCGTGTCCAAAGTCGACTGATAACACTCTGACTTGTATTCAGAGCTAAAGCCACAGTACGTTGCCGGGAACCAGCTTCTATCATTCCCACGGCTCTGAGCATTTCTTCCCTGCTTAAATGACGTCGCCGCTCCATAATAACGTTGGTTTTAATCAGTAGTAGGGAAACAGTAGCACTAATAATGTCTTCAATGCGTTGTATGTTTTTATAGGGAAAATATTGACAGCTGATTTTCATCTTTTACTCGAATTTGATTCACAGTTCCTGATTCAAATTATGAAATGCACCAAAAAGGATCCATATAAATTTATAAAATCATAAATTTATTACAAAGCCACATCTCAATCTCAAGAAATCCGCATAAAAATGCTTGATCCCTAGACACTTTTGATGTGTGTATAATGTGCTTAACTCTCCAGTAACTGGACGAGGTTAGGTTAGTTTGAAGAAATGAAAATAAAACCTGAATTAGATCTATTGAAACTCTTTTTATTTACAATAAAACATCTTATATTGTACAACTTATAGATCTATAATGTCCCTTTTGGACACATGCGTAGCACTACTTATACGGCGCGTACTGTCAGCCTTTAATACCCCGGGACTTCGAATTTTCCGCTCTCACAAAGACATTGATACAGCAGCACACGAGTTAACTATATCTCTTCCTAAGTCTATTGGATGGTTGAACCATTCGACTCGTCCGTCCCGTAGTAGTCACCTCCGTTGTAAACCGCATCGAAAGATTCTACACCCTTAGCAAGAACCATTTTCGAATTCGAATAGTTTGCGAGTCCGAAATGTCATTGTTAATTTTTGTATGGAAACTTGAACAGCACCGCCATAACGTACGCAACGAGAACTAAAAATCAATACACATATGACAATGACATTTCGTACTCGCAAACTATTCGAATTCGATATTGGTTCGTGATAAGGGTACTGTTCCCCTAGCACGAACCATTTTCGAATTAGAAAGTCCGAAATGTCAATGTCAAATTTTGTATGGAAACTTGAACAGCAGCGGCACAAAGTACGTAACGAGAACTAAAAATCAGTACACATGTGACAATGAGATTTCGGACTCGCAAACGATACGAATTCGATATTGGTTCGTGCTAACGGTACTGTTCAGCTAACCTATAAGCAAACTTTTTTGACATTCACAGTGTGCAACTAAAGAGAAAATGCATATCCATCGATGCTTTTCAGAACAAATATATTTGTTAATTTGATAACTAAATAGCTCGGTGATTATCACTACCATTTGTCAAAAGCAGTCAGCGAATAGGCTTACAGATTCTTTAACGAGAACTTTTTGCCGTTGGTTATAGTGCCGACACGAATGAACTGCGCGGGAGTGACGAGAAGGGCGAGTCGAATAATTCGGTAACAGTCGGTACAGAGGTGTGTATGCGCACGTTAAAAATTCTGTACCGAAACGACTTAGTAAGGAGGCTCTCAAGTAATTGCATGCACCTGGCATAGAATCTGTAGATTCGGCACAGAACCCGTACCGATCCGGTAAGGAAGGGGCCCTGCACTTTTAAATAAACGTCTCAATATTCTGAGTAAAAAATGTTGAAGAGCAAGTAGTACCACTGCTAACGTTAAATAGATGTTTCTAATCTTTCAAATACTTCAGAAGTCTTCAAAGTATTAGACGCTGACTATACACAGACATACAGTCACAATATATTTACACATTCGACTTTCTGTTCTGGTATACACAAGATAACAACTTAGTGGCCATTCCAACTAATTCATATAAACCAATATAGAAAAATACATTTAAACAACAATTTCTGTTATAATTCCAGCTCGAATAGTATTTTAAAGACAATTTCTAAAGCAGTATATGCTTAACAGTAAACTATGCAGTTTTAGTAACAAATAAATAATTAAATAATGGTGTAGATTCTGGCAGGATTCTCTAAACCTAAACTTAAATTTGACAACAGTGTAACCTTGTCATTCTCTATACAGAATAAAAAGGAAGGATTGATGTTAAATTTATAAGTTTAGAAAAACATGCCAGAATCGACACCATTGTTGTATACCTTAATTTAAACTAACCTAAATAAAATTTACATTGTAAATATTGAATTGCACCACAAATTCGACAAATCTGTTTGGAAAATACCATTATTATTATTATTACAAGTGAATAAGGAAATCCCAGTGCTTTGTGTACAGATGATTGTACAAAATACAATTATTCTGTATACCATCTGTGATTTTAATTTATCATCAACCAATGTGAAATATCGCTAAAGACATAAATAACATAGATTCATAACTACATGCATAACGCAAGCATCATTAACAGTTAAATTTGATCATATGCGCGTGTGCGGCAATATTTAGCTAAATTATAGAAGTGAATACAAAAAAGTAGGATAAAGTAGTCGATTTAATGATTAAATTAATTAATTTCTCTTCATTTCTTTCTCATCTGAAACGATACAGCCGAATCACTAAACATTAAATCTCAACCTTATTTTGGTTATCCTAATTTGGAAATTATGAAGGAAATGAGTTTGCCTACGTTATTCAGCTTATTTACTTCCGGACACATCTATCGGCCCACTTAGGGTGTATTCCGAATCAAACGGAGATGAGTCTGCTCTTAATTCACTGGGTACTATTAATCGTTGTTCTATACTTTAATCGTTCATTATTATTTTTTTTTTGCCTAAACGGTAGGACACGTCATTCCTAAACTTTGTTAAACCATTTTTATTTTATAGTCATATTTTTTATATTATTTGCATTTTTTTTGTTTGTAATGAAAAGTGACTTTATGAGTTACCTCATATTGAAGTCATTTTTCAATTTGACGACTGTATATAATACAGGGAGAAAAAAACAGCACTTGCTGAGTTTCTTGCCGGTTCTTCTCAGTACAAGGTCTCCCGCCGTAGATTTGTGAACCGATGGCATAGCTTTTCGACATTCACAAGTGCTTGTAACAGCCTAGACTGAATAAACGATATTGAATTTTTTGAATTTTGAAAACACCAGTACGCTGGCCAGTGGTAATGACGTCATGATTTCGACGTCATTTAACAACACTACTACTACACCAGTGCAATATGGAGCCGAAATCATGACGTCATTACCGCTGGCCAGCGTACTGGTGTTTGATTCGGAATACACCCTTAGTGTTATAAGTTTCAACGGTCTGTAACAAAAATATATGTTTATGGCTGAACTTAAAAACACACACGAAAAGATGGAAGATTGGAGCCGTGTACTCTTTTCTGATGAGTCTAAAATTGTGTTACATGGCAATGATGGAAGGAAGAAGGTCTACCGACGTAAGGGAGAGCGTTTCGCACAATGCTGCTTTGAAGAGAGGGTTGCTTATGGCGGTGGCTCATAGACTGTCTGGGGCGGTATATCCGCGAGCGGCAAAACTCAACTTGAGGTTGTTACAGGACCACGGCTGCCAACATTAAATGCTGAAAGGTACATTCGTGAGTGCTTAGAACCTCACGTGATACCATACGCGGACTATGTGGGCCCAAATTTCCTTTTTATGCATGATAATGCAAGAGCCCATGCGGCCGGCATCGTCAGGGAATATCTTCGGAAACCAGCTTCAAATCTGCGTAGGTATAACACAAAGTAGCAATAACTTAAAGCTCAAATGTTTGTTGTAATTTTTATATTTGAAGTATGTAACTGCTCGATGTTTAAATCTAAAGAAAATTTTACTAGAAATAATCCACGCGGACCAGGCAGCAGACGGGACTCGAACCCGCACCCTTCGCCCTGACATCGCATTGTAGGCTCGTAGGCGTAGAATTTTTGTGGTATTATTTCTTCAAACGTTTGTTCCGTTCTTTTAACTAGGGACCGTCAAAAATTAAAATAATAGGTGGACCGATAGATGTGTACGGGAAGTGTATAATCAAGTTTAAAGTGTATATTGAACTATGTCTGTGTAACTCTATTGGGGTATTTACACTATTTATGAACTTATTGCGGGCTACTGACATCCCCGCCGCAGGGCCAATCCAGGGCGCACGGCGGTCGGGGCAATATCGGCTTTTCTCTACACACATGCCTGTTATTCAGTGTTCGGGTATAAGTTGAGTTAATCACACGCGTTGATAATGGCCCCAATATTATCAAAAAATCAAAAGATCGGTAGTTAGGGACCGTGGCTCTTTCTATGGTGTTAGCGCAAAAAATTAAATACTGGGTGAAGAATTGGCAACAGAAAGAAATGTATTGTAAATAAACAATGTTTGTGTTTTTTTAACCCACATGTGGGGCCGGTCTTAATATATCTCTATCACTCGAGACCCAACTTCATGCTCATTATGATCTGCCGCCATCTTGATCAAAATACGTGCGCTCCGTGCGACAGTTGCCAACTAACTGATTGTGAAATTGCCCCGATCGCGCTACACACGCTGCAACGGGCAGGGCAGCAGGGACAATCTAGGAACCAAGGGTGGTCTCGCGCCCCATACCGCAGGGCCAATTTAGAAAATTGCCCCTGGGAGGGGAGGCCGCGGGACCCACTCGGCACCGCGTGGGACATGCACCCAGAGCACAATTTAGAAAATTGCCCCTGCTTGCTAACACACATCACAATTAAGAGTCATCCCCACTCTTACACACTAGATTGCCCCTGCGGTAGAGATGTCAGTAGCACGCTTATATTACGTCTCTGTTTATCTATGCTGACTTAGTGACGTTAAGTAGTGACGTGGCAAACTTAAATGAATGTTTCGAGACGATAGTGACGACTTTAGTCCTATGTTCACAGCCACTGTAACTTAGCACTAATGACAGATGGTGGCGTTGTATATCCAATTACACCCATCACTTAAGATATACTTAATAGAGTTTTATGTGAACTTGATGCACAACCCTGTGGTGACTGTCAAAAGTTGTGTACTATGCCAATATACATTTACATATTATTTGAACACTAAAGACAGTAGATTAGTACAGTTAAATAGTTTCTAATTTGAAATATCTATTGCTGATCAATCTTGACACTTAACTGTTTGTAACATATCCATAGACACAGAAACCCAAGAAAGAACTTTGACAACTGCGTAATCGTATCGTCATTGTCAAGTCTTATTCAACTGACCCCTTGTCAGTTTATTGTATACGTCCGGTAGGGGCGCTGCTTAATTCTTTATAGAAACTGTACCCATAGCACGAACCATTATCGAATTCGAATAGTTTGCAAACCGAAATGTCAATGTCAAATTTTGTAGGGAAACTTGAACAGCAGCGCCACAAAGTACGTAAACGGAACTAAAAATCAGTACACATTTGACAATGACATTTCGGACTCGCAAACGATACGAATTCGATATTGATTCGTGCTAGGGGTACTGACGGTGCATACGGTTACGGAGCTGTCAAAATTCCTGCTTTTGTCTCCGATAAATTCCGCAGAGTATAGTCGCTTAGGTAATCATGTTTAAGCTTAGAAGCTAACAGTTGTTTCAGTAACTTATGCATGACAAGACTACCTCCGAAGATTGATGATTGGGGACAATCATCTTATCTACCTTGTTAAACAGTGAGATGAGGCACAAGTAAGGAGGATAAATGGTAAGTTTTGGTAAACACTTAAATTTTCTGCGTATCCTCTCATTGATGTATATAAACAAGTAGACTTCCAATCGCCTAACAAAGTGCATTAAAAAACGTTTGAGCGGCTTTCTAAATCAACTTATATAGATAACATTAATACGTTTGTTCGAATTAAAACGTTATTTCGTGGCCTGTAAGGTTAATGTCAATTGTATACTAGCGGAAATTTTCAAAAATGTCTGTTTGATAATTACGCACAATAGACGAATGTGCGTAATTTTGCTTCTAAAACCTTTTGAGCGTGAATGTGAGTTTACTTGTTTTCATACGTCAGTGATATCCTCACCAAGAGTTTAGTACAGTTTCTGGTAAGAGTTCAATAATGGACAAACTGCGTATGGTACGCCAGTGTGAGTGGTGGTATAGCTAGTGGGGGGCTTTGATTATATACATGGCTAGATAGTGAAATCTAAATAAACCACGCCAAGAAAACGGCTCATGTTACGCGCAATGTCAGATTGTTTGAACATGGATTTGGGTTGTCTGAAAATGAATGATTTATTGTTATTATTATAGGTGAGCGGGCGGGACGGGCGGAGAGGCTAGGGAATGCCAGAGGCAGAGGGCAGGGAGAGCGGTATATATGCGTGTAATGTAGTGCGGGCCATTAGTCGGGCTCGTGGGGGGGCTGCGTGCTAAAGTAGGGCGCGGCGTGGGGCTGCAGCAGGGTGCGGCACACGGAGCACACGCGGGAGGGCAGGCCGCGTGGCCCACTGGGCACCGCGTGGGACAGGCACCCAGAGCAGAATATCCGGCCGCAGTGACGACAATGGACCTGCAACCGTTCATACTTTACTGTCCTCCGTGGCCGAATGGTTTTAACCATAAGTTTGGTAGATCACCAACAAATTCGATTCCCTGCCTGATAATTCAAATTTGAATGTCAAATCAAAATAGCTATATTCTTTTCATCGTTTGTACGGGAATTTGAATTTCTAAACTCACTACTGTCCTTACCGAAGTGTAAGTCAGCGTTTGTTTATAGCCACTGTAACTCCGCATACCTTCTTGTTGGGTAGATGCAGTCGACAGGAGGGGGGGGGGGCACTGTCCGTCGCGGGACGCTGCTAGTGTTATGACGTCAGTATAACATAACGCGGCATACCTTCTTCTTGTTGTTGGGTAGATGCAGTCGACAGGAGGGGCACTGTATGTCGCGGGACGCTGCTAGTGTTATGACGTCAGTATAACATAACGCGGCATACCTTCTTCTTGTTGTTGGGTAGATGCAGTCGACAGGAGGGGCATTCGCTGACGTCATCGTCGTGCTGCCATCTCACCTCCGTGTCTGCTTCGCGTATGCGCTGCAGTTGCACCTGTTATCACAAATCAACCATCCATTACTATCATTGCCATAATACGTTACCTGCGTTGCCACCGACTTACTGTGGCCAATATTCCTACACGAACAAAGAAATTTGGTGACTCATTTCTTTGTCGCACTATTCGTAAGTGGAATTCTTTACCCGCGCAAGTGTTCCCTCCTTCCTATAATCTGGGGCCCTTTAAGAGAGGCGTGAAGAAGCATTTATGCAGGCCGGCAAGGTGAGGATGATTGGTGTAGCAGTTTATAACTGCTGTACCAGATATCTTCGCGTTTGGACTTTATTACCACTTAACATCAGGTGGGGTAGAGTCATTTGCCTACCTTAATATAAAAAAAGAGGCCATCCATAAAGTGCACATTGCCCGTCGTTGTCACAGTTGGTCACATATTTTGCTATTCAGAATCTAGAAATTACTAGCTGAAAAATAGGGGCTGGTGGTACATGGTTGAAAATTTAGGCATGTATGTATTTTTAATGCTACATTATAAAAAAATTAATGTGTCCAAAAAATAATATTAGGGGTGGACAACTCTTATCACTTAGTGGTATTGAAAATAGATAGCAGCCGATTCTCAGACCTACTGAATATGCATATAAAATCGTGCAAAATCGTAGTGCAGTGCACCATTCCTACTTGAAGGCGTTTCTAAACGAACAGTTAGCGCCACAGTACCATCATTATACCTGCAGTGACTGCGATAACCTCACGAAGTCCTGCTGCACATTCTCGCTGTTGTCCAGGTCTATACCGTCTCTGCCTGAAACTGTTTGTATACAAGCATTCAGTGCAGTCAGTATATACCTGCAGTGACTGCGATAACCTCACGAAGTCCTGCTGCACATTCTCGCTGTTGTCCAGCTCTATACCATCTCTGCCTGAAGCCGTTGTATACAAGCAGTCACTACGGTCATTCTTACATTTTTCATTTTAAACTTCCCACCTTTTTTGTTTTAAAAGCGATCGCTTGACAAAACGCTGCATTCTATTGTCTTTAAATTGACAACGGTTTTATCGGCTTCTGGAATCTTCAATACTTGGAAGAATTCCCCCCGCCCGCGCTGTTACTGTGTCGAAAGCGTAGTGCTGTTTTAGTGCATTGAATCACTGTGAAGTGTACGTCGTTATCACCAGATGTTGCTGGCTAAGGCCAGGGGTCCTTCAGTTACCCGCTTCATCTTCGAGGGCTGTTGAGGAAGAGGAAGAAGACTGCAGGAGCATTATCCGGATAGTGCCGGGTTAGTGCGACTACTAAAGGTGCTCTTTACCTTCGCGGTAATGGGAAGCAGTGATGGTATAGAGCTGGACAAAGATTCCCGTAGGATATCTATCTTCTCATCAACAGACGCTGAATAAGAATTTAGGCCTATGGTGATACCTAATTTGGGGCTGGATAGAATCTACGAACCATATTTTGCTAGGTTTATACCTGCAATGACTGTGATAACCTCACGAAGTCCTGTTGCACCTTCTCGCTGTTGTCCAGTTCCTGTTGCAGCGCTGTCACGCGGCCTCGGAGCTCCGCCATCTCTGATTGAAGCCGTTTCTGTACGAAAACATCGAGACATTTGAATTGACAATTGTATAAATAAAATGCAAGTTTAGATAACTAGTTTATAACTTATATTTATTTACTTACTACTTAATATGTATTTATATAAATATACTTATATATGTACAGTATATGTATTCTATCCGTTACCCTAGCATCCCATAACACAAGCCTATAGTGCTTACTTTGGGGCTAGGCTAATTGGTGTGAGTGTCGTAAATATTTATTATAAGGACTTCACATGCAGTCGCAATAAGTCTCAGGACGGAAGAGAGCGATGTTGCCACCGCACACATCGCCTGTTATTACACATTGATTTCCCTCAGCCCTCTGTGCAGAGCCTGCCTGGAGGAGGAAGAGGTGAGTGCCCATGTTCTGCTGGAGTGCAGAGGCGTTGCAAGACAAGGGACTTCTCTAATGGAAAGTCCGCGGACACTAGTAGAGGCTTGCAACAACATCCGGGACTGCTGAGCTTCTGGAGGAGCTGGGATGGCAGGACTGATGCCAGTCCCCACGCAAAATAGGCACTGGGTGTCGAGTTGCGGAAACAGCCCGCCGCACTACTAAGACTAAGACACATTGACTTGTGTGGCCAGTACTGATTAAATATTACTATTAAAGGACAATGGGCAAAACGCACCCAGCTCCGCCAACAATGTAATTAGTATGAATCGATAGATCTATGAAAAACTAGCCTTTTTTAGTATGACACCGAAAATAAATATCCAGGGAGTCAAAAGATATGACACCGTAAAAAATATCCTGGTAGTCAATAGATATGACACATGGGCATATTTAAGTAGCTGAATAAATTCATTTTTTATTAGTACCTTCATTTTATATTATTAGTAATCATAATAATATTATTAGTAATCATAATAAGATGCCATATCGTACTATACAACCAGATATACGACATAGCCTGCCGACCATCCCGCGCTTGCTCTTACTGAGACATTTCAAAACGGTTTACGGATGATGAAGGACTTGCAGTTGCAAATAGTCGACTCGTCTTACTTCGTTGTGAATATGTGCTCCCTGCTACTTGATTGATTTTTATCTAACACGCTTTGGATATTGGAACACGATTATCGGTTTTGTCAATTAGTATGGATGAACTGGAATCAAGTCTTCTCCCAAACGTGGACTAGTTTGTGTAATTTGTGGTCGCTCCGTTTTACATAGAAGACAATTTACTATAACGAACAGATTGTTTAAAAAAACCCAACCCATGTAGGGATTTATGGATTTACTCTAGCGCGGCAGAATAACATAAGGGGGCACCCTTGCACCTTGTGAAGTACTCCCATAATTCCTGAGCACCCTATGTAGGGTCGAACTAACTAACTAAATTAATTACCTTGTTTCATTAATGTTCGTTCGTTATAGTACTTGTACATGTTTAACTTAAAAAAACTAAAGACCCCCGGGATGGAATTTGATGCGCTTTGGCACATATGATCTTGACTATAATACCTTTCAAAGAAATGTAGTTTAAACCGTGGCGGACGTGTGTGCAGCGTCCATACATTTTTGCCTAAGGTCCTTTATGTTAGACAATAGTCTTTCTCGTTTGTTTTCTAGTGGATACCCGGCAAATGCTAATACATTAATATACGCAAAAAAATAGCGAAATTCTATACGATTGCTCTGCGATCTTCGTACAGGTATGAAAATAGGGGTTGGTGGTAGAAGGGTGAAAATTTAGGGTTGTATTTATTTTTTAATGCCGTATCATACTTACATTGCAAATCCGACTACGAGTCTTTTCATTTTTCGGCTTCTTTAAGCCTATGGCACTCGCAAATAACGTGGCTTTCAATGAGGGCTATCGCGTATGAATCCGCCGCTAGAGGCGCTAGTGTAGCGTGAGGTCTCCGAAATGTCAAATGTTATTGCTTGTTGGTTGACTACGCGGGTTTATTTCTTATTAAAATAATGTTGTGAATAATTGGTAACAATTTGGCTTAATTATGGCAAATATGAGTTATGTGGCAATGAATGGCAGTTATTAAAAATTTGAGCTTAGAAAAATGATTATGTTCCCATTTTTTCCGAATAAAACGGAACTGGGCGTCACTGTGGCATGGCCTATTATGTTTAGGATATGGTTCTTTTGTGTTAAAATACGATCTAAATGTAACCTTTGATTTAATGTGCGTATTAATAAACTTTAAAAGTTGCAATTTAGGACCTCACTCAACAGTGGCGCCATCTGGTGAGACAGAAAACGGTAGCCCTCATTGGTAAAAGAATTTTCAAAATTGGTTCAGTAGATCCAGATATTACCCCCTACAACGTCTCAAACTCACTAAATTTACAACAGGTATTAGTATAGACAAATAGGTATTAGATATTATTTGACGGCCTCCGTGGCCGAGTGGTTTATACGCCGGGTTTCATGGTGTCTGTCTACTAAAGAGGTCCCGGATTCAATTCCCGATGGGGACAGTCATGGATGCTTAATATATATTTTTATATAAATATACTTATATATGTATCAGTATATATGTATTCTATCAGTTACCCTAGTATCCCATAACACAAGCCTACAGTGCTTACTTTGGGGCTAGGCTAATTGGTGTGAGTGTTGGAAATATTTATTTATTTATAGATTTGTTTCAAGGAGTAATCACCTTGTCCTCCAGCAGTCGCTCGATGAGGTCGTTGGAGTGTCGCAGCTTATCCCCCAACTCCTGCATCTGCTCGCGTTCCGTCTGAAGCCGGTCCAACTCCTCTCTGATACACAAACTATAATTTTATACTTGTGTTTAATCTCTTGGATTGTGAACTATTTTATTGAAGGTTTTCTGGCAGCAGCCACAGCACTGAGCCGACGGTTCCACTCGTCCGTTGAACCACGTGTGTCGTCATAGTATTGTGGATCAATTCAAATGCTAGTTTCATTAATTCGCGCCAAAAACTTCATACAAAAGACCTCACGTCACAGTGGCGGCAACTGGTGGAGTAAATTTTTCTAACCACGACCATTAAAGTCGTATTTGCAAACTGTCATTAAAACTTCATATGATACAATGTGACTTTGACCGGAAGTTTACTAGCGTGTGACGTCATTTTAGTCTTGGCCAATCCCAGGGCCTTTCGGTCACGTGACCATGAAGCAAAAAAAAAACTTCTATGTAATGATTTTATATAAAAAAGTGGACTTTTTAATTGTTGTTATTAGTTTTATTCGTTCATTCGGATTAATTAATTCGCTGCTAATATTCATATTTAATACAGATACCAACAAAAGGTACACTATTTTCCATACTGTCAAAAAGCCAGATTTGTCAATAAAACTCAAATTTGTGCAAACGATTGATCTTTGATTCGTAGGAAAAAAAAATATAGTGTCAGATACCTGGCCCGCTGCAGGTCCTGGGATGCAGCTCCAAGGGCTGCATCTTGCGCGTGCAGCTGCCTGGTGTGCTGCAGCAGCTGGGAACGGAGGTCTTCCTCAGCTGCGACCGCCTGCTCCCTGCCTATGGAAACTACGATCATCTGCTCGCGGAGACGTAGTGTTAGCTCTTGCAACTCCTGCGCATAACAAGTCCAAATGACAAAAACTCAAAGAAAGTTATAATTTTTATTATTTTAAAGCATGCAACTGCTTGATGTTTAAATCTAAAGAGAATATAACTAGAAAAAATTCCACGCGGACCAGGCAGCAGACGGGACTCGAACCCGCACCCTTCGCAATCCGGGCGAATGCACTGACCAATTATGGTACCGCGGCCCTCACGGACCGCGTCGAAATTCTTCTAGCCATTCTTAAGCTGCAAGGCAGCGCCATGTCTTCGCATTATAGGTAACCCACAATGTCAAAAGAATACTTTTACAAGTATTAAACAAGGCAGCGCCATCTCTTCGCATTATAGGTAAACCCACAATGTCAAATGAATACTTTTACAAGTATTAAACATTTGAAAGAAGAAATAGCAATTATAGTTATAATTTTTATTATTTTTAAAGCATGTAACTGCTTGATGTTTAAATCTAAAGAAAATATAACTAGAAAAAATTTCACGCGGACCAGGCAGCAGACGGGACTCGAACCCGCACCCTTCGCAATCCGGGCGAATGCACTGACCAATTATGCTACCGCGGCCCTCACGGACCGCGTCGAAATTCTTTCTAGCTATTCTTAAGCTGCAAGGCAGCGCCATCTCTTCGCATTATAGGTAAACCCACAATGTCAAATGAATACTTTTACAAGTATTAAACATTTGAAAGAAGAAATAGCAATTATAGTTATAATTTTTATTATTTTTAAAGCATGTAACTGCTTGATGTTTAAATCTAAAGAAAATATAACTAGAAAAAATTTCACGCGGACCAGGCAGCAGACGGGACTCGAACCCGCACCCTTCGCAATCCGGGCGAATGCACTGACCAATTATGCTACCGCGGCCCTCACGGACCGCGTCGAAATTCTTTCTAGCTATTCTTAAGCTGCAAGGCAGCGCCATCTCTTCGCATTATAGGTAAACCCACAATGTCAAATGAATACTTTTACAAGTATTAAACATTTGAAAGAAGAAATAGCAATTATAGTTATAATTTTTATTATTTTTAAAGCATGTAACTGCTTGATGTTTAAATCTAAAGAAAATATAACTAGAAAAAATTTCACGCGGACCAGGCAGCAGACGGGACTCGAACCCGCACCCTTCGCAATCCGGGCGAATGCACTGACCAATTATGCTACCGCGGCCCTCACGGACCGCGTCGAAATTCTTTCTAGCTATTCTTAAGCTGCAAGGCAGCGCCATCTCTTCGCATTATAGGTAAACCCACAATGTCAAATGAATACTTTTACAAGTATTAAACATTTGAAAGAAGAAATAGCAATTATAGTTATAATTTTTATTATTTTTAAAGCATGTAACTGCTTGATGTTTAAATCTAAAGAAAATCTTCTTTCTTTAGATTTAAACATCAAGCAGTTACATGCTTTAAAAATAATAAAAATTATAAGTATTAAACATTTGAAAGAAGAAATAGCAATTATAGTTATAATTTTTATTATTTTTATTATTTTAAAGCATGTAACTGCTTGATGTTTAAATCTAAAGAAAATATAACGAAGAGATGGCGCTGCCTTGCAGCTTAAGAATGGATAGAAGAATTTCGACGCGGTCCGTGAGGGCCGCGGTAGCATAACTTAAAGAAAGTTAGGACATAGCGGATTTTCCGTTCAAATTACACACACACACAGTGAAATAACACTTATTAATCTTTTGGTGGGACTTTTTGGCAGGATCGGAAAGCGGCACTTTAGCAGTTTTGTTTTTCTTGTTAAAAATTGTGTTGTGGCGGATGTTAGTGTCTAATAATGGTGGATTATTAACCACCAAGTGTTCGGGAACATGTACAAGTGTTGGCAAGTGAAACAAAATAGCGGAAAGTGTCTTTCGACGTTCCTTCAAGAAGTCCACGGGCAGGTTCCAGTAAATCCCCACACTTTTACTGAAACATAGGAAAAGGGGGATGGACTTGACTGGCACTTACTTTGACCACGAGTGCTATAGTATTTGTAAACATTTTAACACTTGACATTGGCTAAATGCACAAGCAGTGTACTCAAAAAGGACTTGTTGGAACTTTATTTTTTAATAGGATTTATTGTCTCGCTGGCAGAAGTCATTAAAAATACACAAAAAAAAAATATAACTCGAAAACTAAGAAAAATCGCGGAACATACATGGGGTATTTTCGGATACCCCCAGGAGCGAAAAATCTAAAAAAAATTGTTGACGTCACTAGTTGGACCAACCTGTATATGTGCTGTATGCTTCTTATAGCTTAATAAATAAATAAAATTTAAAAAGGGGTTCTGATCATCAAATAGAGTAATAATAACTTTATCCCATATAAAGTTACTTCTACCTCCACATGTTGGATTAATTCTCACAAAAGCCTTATAGCACCTGGTCACTTTTAATTCGAGAACTTAAAAATCTTAAAATTCAAAAATTCAAAATTCAATATCGTTTATTCAGTCTAGGCTGTTACAAGCACTTGTGAATGTCGAAAAGCTACGCCATCGGTTCGCAAATCTACGGCGGGAGACCTTGTACTGAGAAGAACCGGCAAGAAACTCAGCAAGGGCTGTTTTTTTCTCCCTGTATTGTATACAGAGTCGTCAAATTGAAAAATGACTTCAATATGAAGTAACTCATAAAGTCACTTTCCATTACAAATGCGTATATATAATAAAAATTATGACTATATAAAAAACTGGTTAAACAAAGTTTAGGAATGCCGTGTCCTGCTGTTTAGTCCTTATGTTAAAAGGATGGCAATCAAGCTCGCCTGATGGAAAACGGCCATCATAGCCTAGCCTATCCGTTTGCGATACTAAAAATATCACTCGTGCCGTTGCGTACCCTGACCCAATCCCCTTACCCCGTGGAGCCCTGTAGCCTTACACATCGACAGGAACACAACAACACCAAATGATTTTTTTTTGCTCCATGGTCACGTGATCAAGAACGCCTGGGATTGGCCATGACTAAAATGACGTTACGCGCTGTTAACTTCCGGTCAAAGTGACATTACATTGTATCGTTTAACGTTTTAATGACATTAGTGATGTCACATACTAGTGAGACGCCATAATGTCCAGGAAACATTTTCATATTTCCATATTAAACACAGATGCCAACAATTGGTACATTATTTTTTATACTGTCAAAGCCTATTCCATACCTCTACATTGTCAGGCAAATCGATGATCTCATTTTGCATCTCGGCGGCTTTCTTGATGTATTGTCCCACTAGGAACGCGTTGTCTTTTTCTAACCTTTAAACAAAATAAGTAATGTTGAAACATCGGGAGACCAAACCAATAGGGGTGATGACGGGGTACAGTAAACGAAATTCTATTTAGTCCGTCAGTTAGATGATCAAAAAATAATGGACACGTATTTTTTCTTTGGGCAATCAACCAAAAAATGACAAAGTTATAGCGCGTCAAAGTTTGGGTGTGGGGGCTCGTGACGTCACTTTCGAGTGAATTTTTGCTTATAAGTGTACTCAAACGTGACGTCATGCGACTTTTCAAATCAATATATCTCTGCAATGTTTATATTATGTGAAAAAAGAAAAAATACGTGTCCAATTCTTTTTTGATATAATTTACCTGATAAACGAAGAAAAAAAAAATTAGTCTTCATCCCTATTACGGGAGAGTTTCATCATTTTATTTATAAATAAAATAAAAATAAATTTTAATATACCTACATAATACACCACATGACTCAAAAAGGTGCAAAATGCAAAGTAAAAAAAACAAGTGTGCTTATGACCACACGACTGAAGTGACACTACTTTAGCTCCATCTGTATGTACATATACATATTTCAATTACTAGCTATAAGAGAAAGAGAGAAAGAAAATGTGCGCGCGCACTGCTCTCTCTTGCTTATATCCCCCATTCAACTCCCGTTCGCCTCGCCCGAACACACTTTTCGTAACGCGTAACGCATTCGCCAGCTTACCCCCCAAATCAAGAGTTCGTGAAGAAGTTTCACTTCAAACATCGATCACACAAAACTAAAAGTTAGCTATAGTTGACAATAGTGTTTTACTAAATGTTTATTTAGATTTTTTGTGGATTAAAAATTATTTAATGAATAAAATTGAAAACAATTTTGTGCTGTATCTATTAGATCAATGAATTTTTAAGTTCAATTTTTGCGAGGCTCAATGTTTCATTATATTCTCTTATATTAAATTATTGCTTATATTAAACTAGCAAACCAGTGAACCAAATGTTCACCAAAACCTGATTTCTCGAAAACCGGAAGTGCTACGACGACTCAAATCCGGTTTGTAGTCTTATCAGACTATTCTTAACTTATAACTTAAATATTCTCTTTATCTATCTCTTACGGTTTGGCCGCTGAAACAGCACCACAGACAGACGGACTTGTCTAATAGATAAGAGATAAAATATAAATACGGCGTCACAAGTTTAAGCTTAATCATCGTTTATAAATATGTGGGTTAGAAGTGTATTGTATTCGCAGTAATAGGGATGATGACTAATTTTTTATTAAGATTATCAAAAAGTATTGGACACGTATTTTTTCTTTTTTCACATAATATAAAACATTGCAGAGATATATTGATTTGAAAAGTCGCATGACGTCACGTTTTACAATTAAACAAGTACAATTTTCACTCAAAAGTGACGTCACGAGCCCCCACTCCCAAACTTTGACGCGCTATAACTTTGTCATTTTTTGGTTGATTGCCCAAAGAAAAAATACGTGTCCATTATTTTTTGATCATCTAACTGATGGACTAAATAGAATTTCGTTTACCGTACTCCATCATCACCCCTATTATAGTGCAGGGTATAGATCTCGTCACAAAAAGACCTCCGAGCGATAGTGGAGAGGATGTGTTTGCGCATCGTTTACAGTCGCGGCTGAAAGTATCAGGCTATGTTTTTATATAGTACGAGTGTCAGATAGACTTATTGTAGAGTAACAGGTTTTTCTATGTTACAGGGAAGAATTAATCGCGACAGTTGATAAATCTCGCAGTGCGCAGGTGTAAAGCCAACGGTCATTTGACGTGACGGGACCTAAACTCGCGTATGCCTCGGTCCGCGCCCGCACCGCCTCGCCGGCCTCGTTGACCGCCTCGCGTAGTCCCTATACTCACGTATGCCTCGGTCCGCGCCCGCACCGCCTCGCCGGCCTCGTTGACCGCCTCGCGTAGTCCCTCTATACTCACGTATGCCTCGGTCCGCGCCCGCACCGCCTCACCGGCCTCGTTGACCGCCTCGCGTAGTCCCTCTATACTCACGTATGCCTCGGTCCGCGCCCGCACCGCCTCACCGGCCTCGTTGACCGCCTCGCGTAGTCCCTCTATACTCACGTATGCCTCGGTCCGCGCCCGCACCGCCTCGCCGGCCTCGTTGACCGCCTCGCGTAGTCCCTCTATACTCACGTATGCCTCGGTCCGCGCCCGCACCGCCTCGCCGGCCTCGTTGACCGCCTCGCGTAGTCCCTATACTCACGTATGCCTCGGTCCGCGCCCGCACCGCCTCGCCGGCCTCGTTGACCGCCTCGCGTAGTCCCTCTATAGTCACGTATGCCTCGGTCCGCGCCCGCACCGCCTCGCCGGCCTCGTTGACCGCCTCGCGTAGTCCCTACACTCACGTATGCAGTCGTCGCTGCAGCGTCTCGCGGTCGACAGTGAGCGTGGTGACGAGATGCAGCGCGGACTGCTGCGCCTCGCCCGCGGCCTCGGTCCGCGCCCGCACCGCCTCGCCGGCCTCGTTGACCGCCTCGCGTAGTCCCTATACTCACGTATGCCTCGGTCCGCGCCCGCACCGCCTCGCCGGCCTCGTTGACCGCCTCGCGTAGTCCCTCTATACTCACGTATGCCTCGGTCCGCGCCCGCACCGCCTCGCCGGCCTCGTTGACCGCCTCGCGTAGTCCCTATACTCACGTATGCCTCGGTCCGCGCCCGCACCGCCTCGCCGGCCTCGTTGACCGCCTCGCGAAGTCCCTACACTCACGTATGGCAGTCGTCGCAGCAGATACTCACGTATGCCTCGGTCCGCGCCCGCACCGCCTCGCCGGCCTCGTTGACCGCCTCGCGTAGTCCCTCTATACTCACGTATGCCTCGGTCCGCGCCCGCACCGCCTCGCCGGCCTCGTTGACCGCCTCGCGTAGTCCCTATACTCACGTATGCCTCGGTCCGCGCCCGCACCGCCTCGCCGGCCTCGTTGACCGCCTCGCGTAGTCCCTACACTCACGTATGCAGTCGTCGCTGCAGCGTCTCGCGGTCGACAGTGAGCGTGGTGACGAGATGCAGCGCGGACTGCTGCGCCTCGCCCGCGGCCTCGGTCCGCGCCCGCACCGCCTCGCCGGCCTCGTTGACCGCCTCGCGTAGTTCCGCGAGTGTAGTGGCGGCGCTGGCCCGTTCGCTTTGCCAGCATCGCACGGTCTCGTCGTGGAGGGAACGCACGCCTTCTAATTCTTCCGTCGCCTTGGGAATGGTAAGTTTCGGTTTGAGTTAGGAATATTAATAATAGGCTAGTTGACTCATGTCGAATTGTATTAAATAAATGTCTATTTCTTAAAGTATTTGGTCTAAGGAGCCTAAATATATCGATTTCACTTCATAAAAGCAGAAGATTGCTGTAGAAATTTAATTTAAAAAAATAATATTTAGTCTATACTTCTTAAACACTAAAAACGCTGTTCGCTACATCCGCCATGATTGTGACGTCTCTTTTAGTAAACAACTAAATGACATTCATACATAACCTTAAAACTTGTATTATTAAAACTGATAATAAATGAAGAGACTTAAAATATTATTCAATGAGTACTTACATCAAAATGATCTTCGCTAAAATAAATTATACTATGAGTCGATAAAGTTGCAGGATCACTTTTAGCAAGTTCTAACCAGGTATTACGTAGGTTCATTTCTTTCGGCACTTTAATCCACAACTTTCCTGGAGTCTTCAAGGATGTGTTTTTACATTCTCGTACAATACAATAATGATAATTACTATATTTTTCGTGGTATCTATTAGAAATCATGTTTTCTTTTTATTATCTCAGATAGGTTATTTTCTACGTGCTTACGAGTTTTTGTTTACTACCGTCAACGTCATAGCATAGATAATCTATAGACTAAAATGGCCGACAGCGTTTTTGTATGTCCATGAAAAGTCTATTTTAAAATTAAAGATTTGTAGCTTTCTAGGTCTCAAAAAAATACAATACATTTTTTTTCGGTCTAATACAACATTTATTAACCATTTAAAACCTTTTTCCAAAAAGGGTCAACTAGCCTATTCGATATAAGGTACGACGGTACGATATTAGGTTGCATGTCGATAAAGAGGAATAACCTTAGATTAAAACAAAAAGGGAAGATACGGTACTCGCGGCTCAAAAGTGTACCTCTTAAATCGTGGTGCATGAACACAATTCACTTTGGTCACAATTCGACATCCAAACATGCTGCATTTGCACTCAATACAACTAAATAATTCAAGATCAAATAACAAGTTCAACGGCAACACTTTTCATTAATTAAACTATTAACTTTTTTTTTTAAATCCCACTTGTTTTGAATGTTATTTATTTATTCGGCCATTTGTTATCAAGAAGAGGACAACAATACAGCTTAGCCGCTTGTAGAGAGAGGAAAGAAAAACGCAGTCGCCAAGCCAAACGACGCGGACTCGCCGTTTCCCTCGCGCTGCGTCGAAGCGTACAATACCCCTAGCACGAACCAATATCGAATTCGTGTCGTTTGCGAGTCATTGTCAAATGTGTACTGATTTTTAGTTCTCGTTACGTACTTTGTGCCGCTGCTGTTCAAGCTTACATACAAAATTTGACATTGACATTTCGGTTTGCAAACTATTCTAATTCGATAATGGTTCGTGCTACGAACAGTACCCTTATCACGAACCAATATCGAATTCGAATAGTTTGCGAGTACGAAATGTCATTGTCATATGTGTATTGATTTTTAGTTCTCGTTGCGTACGTTATGGCGGTGCTCTTCAAGTTTCCATACAAAAATTAACAATGACATTTCGGACTCGCAAACAATTCGAATTCGAAAATGGTTCTTGCTAAGGGTGTAGAATCTTTCGATGCGGTTTGCAACGGAGGTGACTACTACGGGACGGACGAGTCGAATGGTTCAACCATCCAATAGACTTAGGAAGAGATATAGTTAACTCTTGTGCTGCTGTATCAATGTGTTTGTGAGAGCGGAAAATTCGAAGTCCCGGGGTATTAAAGGCTGATAGTACGCGCCGTATAAGTAGTGCTACGCATGTGTCCGCAAAAGGACATTATAGATCTATAAGTTGTACAATATAAAAAGTTCTGTCTCGCTCGCTCGATTGAATGGTTTTTACAGACGTCTGCGTGTGTGAGAGTTGCTTATGTAGTTAAATCGGAGCATATTTTATTTGATGTTAGTATGAGCGTACTGTATCTTCACTTTTTGTTTTAATCTATAGAAATAACGCTAAAAAAAATTTTATAAATAAATAAATAAATATTATGGAAAACTCTGTAATATGTACTTAATTTGATTTGATTAAACAGAACCATCGTGTGTATCCGATTAGCGCTATACTGTTTTTTTTTATTGAACTGTTATGCAGGTTTATCTATGTTAAAAATAAATATATAAAAGACGTAGACTAATGTTGCAACCTTTTGGATACATGCAAAAACACTTACACTTAAAGAACAATCAAAATTATTTGAGCACTTTAAAAGTTCTAGTACTATCCGTACGTAATAACCTCTTCATATTTCTATACAATTTCATTTCCGCCGCCCTGATGGCCGCGTCGAAATTTTCGTAGCCTTAAGCTGCAAGGCAGCGCCATCTCTTCGCATTGTAGGTAACCCACTCACAAACTACATTCACATCAATCAAAGAGGAAAGTACTTGTCAATTAAACCAAAATGTAATGTGCGTATGTTTACCAGTTTGAGCGCCGCGTCAAGTTTGAGCGTCGCGTTCCTCGCTTGATCTGCTCGCGCCTGCTCGCTCACCAGCTGTTTCTCGTAGTTGGCGCACATATCACACACGCGGCCGCTGCCCACATCTATGGCCAATAAGAGGGAACTTCAGAACTATCTATACTCATATTATAATAGGGTATTTGACAAGTTTTAGAAAACGATCTCACGTTATTTACTAATATTTATAGAGTCCATAAAAAGTGGATATTCATCATTATGTTGTGTTTTTCGGTAAAAAAACCAAATCTAAAACTCTATTTTCAAGTTGCCGCGAAAAACGTATCTATGGACAATATGAAAGATTAGGTGGCACATTTTAGGGTTAAGTGAAGTGCGAAGAGAGGGGGAGGACACCATAATCCTCGAATCGGACCACCTAATGTACTTCCGCGGGGGAGACCAACAGTCCCAAGGTGGCGTTGGATTTTTGGTAAATAAGTCCCTTGCCGATAACGTTGTGGAAATGTCCAGCGTGTCGAATAGGGTAGGGCACCTTATTATAAAGCTCACCGAGAGGTATAGCCTCAAGGTGGTGCAAGTGTACGCACCGACCTCGACACACTCGGACGACGAAGTGGAGGATATGTTCGATGATATATCGAGGGCCCTCCACTCCACTACTAAGACCCACTACAACGTTGTAATGGGGGACTTCAACGCTAAGTGGGAGTACAGACTTGCAGCGAATCGGTAGTAGGATCCCATGGATTTGGAAGCAGAAATCATTGGGGGCAAATGCTCGTCAACTTCCTCGAACCGCAGGGGCTCTTCTTGATGAACTCTTTTTTCAAGAAACAGCCCCAAAGGAAGTGGACATGGCAAAGCCCCGACACTATGACTAAAAATGAGATCGATTTCATCATGACGGACAAGAGGTACATATTCAGAGACGTCTCCGTGATCAACAGGTTCAATACCGGTAGTGATCACCGACTCGTCCGGAGCTCTCTGGATATCAACTTTAAGGCCGAGCGCGTCCGTTTGATGAGATCTAGGCTCCAACCTACTTTGCTCCAATCTATAACAGGATCTGAAACGTTCCAGTCAAATCTGGAGAACCGATTTGCTGCCGTGGAAACCACATCAGACGTAAACCAAAACCTCAAAAATGTGGTTCGGATCCTCAGGGAAGAGGGTACGAGATTATGTGCAACGCAGCGTAAGGGCAGGAAGTCAAAGCTTTCGGAAGAGACTTTAGGGCTAATGAAGAAACGACATGAAAATCCACTTGTCACTTCGTCGGCAAAGCGGACTCTAAACCAAGAGATCAGTAAGCACGTACGACACGACCTCCGATGCTCCAATACTCTCTCGATCGAGAGAGCGATCGAGCAGAATCGAGGGTCCAAAGTGTTCGTACAATCTCTTGGAAGAAGCCATCTGACGAAGTTGACCACAGCAAGTGGGGAAGTTGTTGCTTCAAAGCCGGCAGTCCTTTCGGAAGTGGAAGACTTCTACAGCCAGTTATACGCATCACATGCATCTCGACCCGATCCCGGAAATGAGGATTCTAGAGCCACATTAACACGCCACTTCACCGAAGACCTGCCAGAAGTCAGTATTGGCGAAATCGAGATTGCTCTTAGACAGCTTAAAAATGGAAAAGCCTCTGGAGAGGATGGTGTTACAACAGAACTCCTGAAGGCTGGAGGTAAACCCGTACTGAGGGAGCTCCAAAAGCTTTTTAACACTGTCCTGTTCGAAGGGAGAACTCCGGAGACCGCGCCATATTTGCCGAAGAACCGATGACCGTTGGGGTAGACGAGTTCTGGAGTGGAGACCGCGTCTAGGCAAACGTAATGTAGGACGTCCTCAGGCGGGATGGAGTGACGATTTGCGCGAGGTGGCTGGCAGGAGCTGGATGCGAGTAGCCCAAGATCGATCTGAGTGGCGTGCATTTGGAGAGGCCTATGTCCAGCAGTGGACTATGATGGGCTGTTGATGACGATGATGAGGACAATATGGCGTCTCACTGGTGTGTGACGTAACACGACTGTCATTAAAACATCATACTATACAATCAAATGTCACTTTAACCGGAAGTTTACTTGCGTTTGACGTCATTTTAGGCTGCACCAATCCCAAGCGTTTTGGGTCACGTCACAATAGACAAGAAAACTATGACCTTTATCGTTGGTTATTAGTAAAATTATGATTTTTTTTTTCTGTAAAAATAGTAAAAACTCGTTGGCAATATTCATTCTAAATACAGATGCTAATAATTGGCACTTTATTTTTAATACTGTCAAATACCCTATTCAGCTTTATAATTCATAAAATTATTTCTTTTATTATTTAGTTCCATTGATAAAATTATTTTTGTGTTGGAAAGTGCGTTTATCGAAAAATGCTATATCACGGGTTCGAATCCGAAATCGGTGGGGGTCCACCGGGATTCGAACCCGTGATATAGCATCATCATTCGAAGATGTGATGTATTTCTATATAAATATATTTATATGTGTACACTATATGTATTCTATCCGTTAACCTAATATTCCCATAACACAAGCCTTACAGTGCTTACTTTGGGGCTAGGCTGATTGGTGCGAGTGTTGGAAATACATACTTTATATTTATTATTGATTTTTTCATGATGATGTATAAAGCCTATAGGCTACCAGTAAAAGCGGAGCTTCGATGAAAAATGTTGCGTAAACATGGAATAAATATATTTGAGAGCTTCCGTTGCGTGCGCTGCGTAAATGGTTAAAGTTACAAAAAAATCTAATCTAACATATAAAATTCTCGTGTTGCGGTGTTTGTGGTTAAACTCCTCCGAAACGGCTCGACCGATTTTCGTGAAATTTTATATGCATATTCAGTAGGTCTGAGAATCGGATGTAATCTATTTTTCATCCCCCTAAATGTTAAGGGTAATACACCCCCTTTTTTATTATTATTTTTATGATACAGCATTAGTAAATACATACAACCCTAAATTTTCACCTTTCTACCACCAACCCCTATTTTTTTATGGCTGTACGAAGTTCGCTGGAACAGATCGGACAACATCTATTTTTCATCCCCCTAAATGTTAAGGGTAATCCACCCCTAAACTTTTCTTCAATCTTAGATATTTTTTTTATGATACAGCATTAGTAAATACATATAACCCTGAATTTTCAACCTTTTACAATCAACCCCTATTTTACCATCGCGATTTTTATTTTTAATAATTTCTTTTTTTTCTCAATTCAATTTGATCTTCCGCCTTCACCTTCACCTGATGATAAATGCTGATTCATTATATTTACATAATATTTAATACACCCGTGTGAAGCCGGGACGGGCCGCTAGTAATTCTATAAAAGTCAATCTTTTAAGTTTCACTTGCTATAATGTTTTCCCTCAAATTAACCACATTCATTGACACGAAGTTCGCCAGGTTAGCTAGACTTCTTATAAAACACAAAAAATATTTCTACCTATTTCCCTTACAGAGATCGATGACACAAGTAAATAGCGCGTCCAGTCTGCTATCGTGAAAGTATTTCGAATAGTTGACCAAAAAATTTAATATCTCGAGCTCCTCCGTGCTTCGGAAAGCATGTTAAGCCGTTGATACCGGCTGTCCGCACTGGGCCCGCGTGGTGGCTCACGGCCAAATCTCCTTATTCCATCACGACACTTTTTTCGTTTTTTGGACAGGTATCTAATCTTTTGTTCTAATACCTACTATAAACTGATTTAATAGAAAATATTTTGTGATATTCAATACATGGTCAGTTATATAGCCGTCTCTTTTTCTCGCGGTTCATACATGCTAATATTGCTAACAGCGCATTCAGAATAGCGCGTAGAGTCAAAGAAATAAGGTATATATTCTTCTGCATATAGCAATGTCGTAAAATTTTACGAGTTTGCATTCCGAACTATCATAACTCTTAAACGCATGCGTTTAAATTAAGACCTTATACAGTATGTATTAAAGGTGTCTTACAATGTTTAAATAATGCTTTACATTGGTTTTGACAACGCGATTATCATACGGAGCTCCGTGGATCGTCCAATGTACTATTTGGACAGGTTTCGTGCACGATTTTGTTCGTGTTGGTGTATAGAGTATTTTATATCGTTGCAACTATTTTATAAAATACATACCAGTCTCCAGTTTACTATCACCACTGGAGCCACTCTGTGCTGGGCTCCCGGTGTTTGCAGATTTGGATTTCTGTAAAATATCACATTATTACAATTCATCTTTTATAACGACCAAATAACAATTTTCTTGGAGTATTGCTCAATACAATGCGATTCAAATAAGAATAGAAAAGCCATTGACCTTCATATGTCAAATGTCGCTTGAAAAGTGCGGTTTGCAAAAAAGTCTTGGAACACTTTTTTTAGCACTGAGCTAATCTTAGAATAAATACCAACACATTTGTAAACAAACGAAGGAAATAAATAATATGAAACGTATAGAACTGGAAATGGAAAATATAAGGACTTTCGTTTTATTATAAATACAGGTAACAAAAAAAAGATGTATTAATTTTAAACAAATTTGTCGTTATAAAACCTACAATAATCGATACTTTATTTTATAGCCGAAAGCATCAGTGATGATGATGGCGGTGACTACTCTGACGGTAGTACAGGGATGAGTGGAATAAAAGAGCTAGATTCTGATTAATGTTTTTGTCACTCAGTCTTAATAAATAAATATTATTAAAAATCTGATATTTTTTCTCATTTATCTATCTATATCTTGGTAAATAAGTTTTATTAAAGAAAAACTTTTTTGCTCACTCTACCTAACTGGTTTGAATTGACAGCTTTGACGTCACAATATGGCGCAGTGAATCCTATTCTTAGTTGAATCGTATTATATTATGTGTATGTTTGAGCTACTGCAACCGACTCATGCTGGATGCTCTGCCCGCTCACGTGTGCTCCCTCTTACAACCTGAGATCCTTTAAAAGAGGCGTGAAGAAGCAACATGCAGGCCGGCAGGGTGGGGATGGCTGGTGTGGCAGGTAGAACTGCTGTATCAGCTATCTTCGCGTCTGGACTTCACCTTCACTTAACATCAGGTGGGGTGAAGTCATTTGTCGGACCAATCTTTAAAAAAAAAAAAAAAACTCACCAGCGCCTCCTGCAGCTGCGTGTCTGTGTCCCGCAGCTTCACCTTGAGCGCGGTGATCTCGTCGTTCAGCGGCTGTATCAACGACCTCACCAATTCGTTCTCGTCCATATTCTACAGGACAAAGTTACAAATAAATGATCCATGATAAATCTAATGAGTGCATTCGTCAAAGTAGTAGAAGTAGAAAAATTACGGGACATAGAACGGAGAGTGCGGTAATAGTACATTATGATATAAGTGCGATATTGTTATTAAGGCTGTAATTATCAAACCGCACGTATGTCATACGACATTTTTTAACATATTTGCGAGAAAATAATACTACCTACGTACGTACTTTCTGAAAATGATTTTGAACCTTTGTTTGTTTTCCATAAGATGAAATTTTGATAAGCTTGACTGTAAGTATCTATCCGTGGATTTTTCGGACAAGAGGCTCAGCGTAGCCTTTTTCGACTTCTGGCGGTATCAAATTAATAAATTCGTTACTACTTGACACTATTTTCAAATAAAAATAATACAGTGAAAACAAAAAGAAATAACTTTTTCACAGATTAGTGATGCGCGCGCATCAACGTTTTTTTTAGGCAAAGGAACAAAAAACAGCCAGTGTTACTAATAAAGTAAATTAATATTTTTGTGAATTTTTTACCGATACATGGTTGTAATTTATTGTCAATATAAATCAAATTAAAGAATTAAATGTTTATATTTTATCTCCCAAAGTTAATTTTATTAAGAAAATGTTGGCTACCTTTCTGACATAAAAACTCTTTGCTAAGATTTAAAAAAGTATCGTTCGTTTTTAGACGGAACATAATAAGCCGTGCGTTTTACCTTACATTACCGCACGCGTGTGCAACGTGATAGATTATGATATTGAAATTGGTGCAATAAGAGACGCTTTACGAGCAAATGTGTAATAAAACATTTTACGGTTTTTTTATTTCGGACGAACATCCTTGGGAGCGCATTAAATCATTCCTTTTTTCTAACTTTAATACTAAAAAGTTCTCTGTACTTCTAATTTTCACCAGCTCTCGGATGGCGCAATTTTGGAAATACATACGCGCCATTTTTTTATCAATAAAAGTTTACTAAATTACTTAAAAATTATACTGTTTTCTGGCAAATACGTTGAAAATTGTTGTATGACATTCGTACGAAATTGGTATTTACAAACTTGGGACTATGGTAACCTCTTAACTACGTCTCAGGCTTACATTCGTCTACTCGTTGGTAATAACCAAATTACCGCACTATTATCGTAAACAACTAAAACTATAGACTTCACAGTTTTTTGCAAGCTCAGTATTTAAAACAGTAGAATTTCTACCAAGGAAAATGTCTAAAGAACAATAATATTATAATAGGAATTATTGACATTTATATAGGTAATTGAATAAAAAAAATTGCATGTTATCTTTTTACGTGACGACCTCCGTGGCCGAGTGGTTTGTACGCCGGGGTTTCATGGTGTCGCCGACTCGAGAGGCCCTGGGTTCAAATCCCGGTGGGGGTAGATGTTTGTGTGATGAACACGAGCATTTGTATTCCAGTCATGGATGTTTAATATGTATTATATATGCACTGTATATGTATTCTATCCGTTACCCTAGCATCCCATAATACAAGCCTTACAGTGCTTACTTTGGGCTAGGCTAATTGGTGTGAGTGTTGGAAATATTTATTAGTATTATGACTAAATAGGTTAAGATACAATTTAGATGAAATGCAACACAATAGGCTAGTTTACCCTTTTTGGGAAAAGGTTTTAAATGGTTAATAAATGTTCTAATAGACCGAAAAAAAATGAATTGTATTTTTTGAGACCTAGAAAGCTACTTATCTTTAATTTTAAAATAGAGTTTTAATGGACATACAAAAACGCTGTCGGCCATTTTAGTCTATAGATTATCAATGCTATGACGTCAACTGTAGTAAACAAAAACTCGTAAGCACGTAGAAAATAACTTATCTGAGTTTATAATAAAAAAAACATGATTTCTAATAAATACCACGAAAAATAAAGTAATTATCATTATTGTATTGTACGAGAATATAAAAACACATCCTTGAAGACTCCAGGAAAGTTGTGGATTAAATTGTCGAAAGAAATTAACCTACGCAACTTTATTACACTTATTCATATGTTGTATCAGTTTTATGTTTATTACTACATTGTAATACTAAATGCACTGTACTTACATAGATGCCTTGTCGTTTCTCTGCTCCGCAGAGCAGAAATCGGGGTTTAGTGCAAAAAATTCACCAACCATCAATGCGTCAATTCTTGGCAGATTTGTGCTTTCTGCTTTCACAAAGCCGGGATCCATAATTAGTTTTGTCAAAAAAAAAATCAGTAAACGGAAACTTTTCTAAAGTTAAAAGTGTTTTAAGATAAATTTAGTCAGACGAAAGAATCCACCCACAGTAACACGCGAATGACATTTAGTTGTTTACTACAATAGACGTCACAATCATGGCGGATGTGGCGAACAGCGTTTTTAGTGTTTAAAAAATATAGACTAATAAATATTTTTTTAAATTAAATTTCTAGAGCAATCTTCTGCTTTTATGAAGTGAAATCGATATATTTAGGTTCCTTAGATCAAATACTTTAAGAAATAAACATTTATTTAATACAATTCGACATGAGTCAACTAGCCTATTATTTGTACCCTATTTATATATGCAAATAAATTGAATTGAATGTGTAATGCTCACTTTCTTGACCGCTGTGTCGGTATCGTCGGCGCCGAGCTTGCGCGCCAGCGTGCGCACCAGCGTGGCCGGCGCCAGCGACACCTCCTGCCACCACACGCGATCGGATAAGCCAGACAAACTGCCGTACACACTCATCATTGCACTTTGAGCTTTATTCCCAAGCGATAGAGACCTTATTATGTGTGAACGTGTGTTATCAGAAGAGTTATTCTCTAAATGAAAATCTGATAGTTGATAACGATATCGCGGTATCTTATTGATTAAATTGATTCACATCGGAAGTTAATTAAAACTAGACTACACTTGAGGATGCAAATGAATTGACAACAATGAGGGCTATCGCGTATGAATCCGCCGCTAAAGGCGCTAGTGTAGCGTGAGGTCTCCGAAATGTCAAATGTTATTGCTTGTTGGTTGACTACGCGGGTTTATTTCTAATTAAAATAATGTTGTGAATAATTAGTAACGATACGGCTTAATTATGGCAAATATGAGTTATGTGGCAATGAATGTCAGTTATTAAAAATTTGAGCTTAGAAAAATGATTATGTTCCCATTTTTTTCGAATAAAACGGAACTGCGCGTCACTGTGGCATGGCCTATTATGTTTAGGATATGGTTCTTTTGTGTTAAAATACGATCTAAATATAACCTTTGATTTCATGTGCGTATTAATAAACTTTAAAAGTTACAATTTAGGACCTCACTCAACAGTGGTGCCATCTGGTGAGGCAGAAAACGGTAGCCCTCATTGAAAGGTGGAAAAGCGTAGCGCAACGTCGATCTCCTTGGCGAGTTCGACGACGAATTTAATTAGAGAATAACACCACAAGCATACAAAAATGCTGTATTTTTTTAATCTGAACACTTAGCTTTGTTTAAAGCATAAAGTTTGTTAGTATAAAACATAATTAAGTCAAGTTATTAAAATCACAATATAATTATAACACAATTATTTAACATCAACGTAAAGTGCACAATTTAAACAGACAGAAGTTAATTATTAAAAATTGTCTGCATAATGTTCAAGTTCCACGTTTCCTTAAACATATTGTACCTACTACTGAAAACTAAGACGTTGACTCTAATTTCTAGGGGAATTTGTCGCACCGATAATATGCAAATTTTTACAGAGCGATAACACTAGCGCTCGTTACACACGAATGGAAACATTTACGATTTCCATATTACAGTAATTTTGAAGGGTACTTCAAGACAAAGGGCGGATCCAGGGGGGGGGGGGTCATGGGGGTCATGACCCCTCCTGGGCTGGGTACAGATGGACCAAACCCAGGGGGATTTTATTTAAGTACTTTCAATATTTAATATACCACGACTATATGACCCCCCCTGACGCCAAAGCTGGCTATATGACCCCCCCTAACGCCAAAGCTGGCTATATGACCCCCCCCCCCTGGCGCCAAAGCTGGCTATATGACCCCCCCCCTGGCGCCAAAGCTGGCTATATGACCCCCCCCTGGCGCCAAAGCTGGATCCGCCCTTGTTCAAGATACAGTAGGATCGTAGTGTAAACATTAATAATATAAATAACGACGGTAATACACGAGAGAGAGATTGACACTTGACAGATTCCGAAGCCACTGTTTACGAACCTATATATGTATTTAATTGGAACTCCATCTTGAAAACGTGCACAATGAGCCAAGCCATTTTAATTATATTTTATTTTGCATATTGAGGAGCTCGATGGCGCAAGTGGTTAGCGCGTCCGGCTGCGATCGTTGAACTTAAACAACTTTCGCAGTAGTCTGTCATTGGATGGGTGACCAAAAATTACTATCTCGAGCTCCTCCGTGCTTCGGAAGGCACGTTAAGCCGTTGGTCCCGGCTGCATCTGCAGTCGTTAGCACCCACCAATCCGCACTGGGCCCGCGTGGTGGGTCATGGCCCAATCTCCCTATTCCATCCATAGGGAAGGCCTGCACCCCAGCAGTGGGGACATTAATAGGCTGATGATGATGATAAAGTTTGCATTCCGAGTCGATGCACTCTAAACTGCTGACACAGTTGACCCACTAGTTAGACTACAATATTTTACATTATATGACAGTGCAATAAAGGCATTCAGATCATATTGGCGTATTTTGCCTGACAATCGTCCCGTGACTAATTGACATATTGACAGTCGTTAGGGTCCTAGTAACGGCCCCTACACACAATATCTCCCTTATTAATAAACCAAGACTACCTCTGAATTATTTTCTTTATGTTTTGTATCTGTTCATTGAATGAAAAATGGCACTTGTGTGATATGAACATAACACGGCGTAACTAGACTAAACTTATGATTTTATTTATTTTTTAAGCATTTAACTGCTAGATGTTTAAATCTAAAGAAAAGTTTACTAGAAAAAAATCCACGCTGACCAGGCAGCGGACGGGACTCGAACCCGCATCCTTCGCTATCCGGGCGAATGCACTGACCATTATGCTACCACGGCCCTATTAAACTTTTCTTTTGATTTAAACATCTAGCAGTTAAATGCTTAAAAAATAAATAAAATCATAACTATAATTGCTATTTCTTCTTTCAAATGTTTAATACTTGAAAAAGTATTCATTTGACATTGTGGGTTACCTACAATGCGAAGAGATGGCGCTGCCTTGAAGCTTAAGGCTAGGAAAATTTCGACGCGGCTAATAGGGCCGTGGTAGCATAATGGTCAGTGCATTCGCCCGGATAGCGAAGGATGCGGGTTCGAGTCCCGTCCGCTGCCTGGTCCGCGTGGATTTTTTTCTAGTAAACTTTTCTTTAGACTAAACTTATTCCTCTTTTATTAATAAGGGGATATAGGTTTTCTTTTACTCCTAGCATGGGAGATACAAAACATATACAGTTAAACCCGTTTAAGACGATTTCACAGGGACTCAACCAAAAACGCGTCTTAAGCGGGAAAACGTATTATGCGGGATTGCGGGATAGGGTAATTTCGAATCTAGGTATTGACGTATTAAATGTTCAATATTTTAGAATTATGTATGTTATAAAAAATATAGTGTATTATTATTTATTATTTCAATTAATCACTTGTTTGAGTTTCTAAAAAAAAATTGTGGCATTAGCAATTACAAGATTTTCAACATAATTTAACTTTTGCAGTGCGTCGTGCGTCTTAAATCATTAACTGCTGATAATGTCTGGGCGTGACTGGCGACAAAATCGGAGTTGACTCATCTTCTTATTGATCATTATCACTTAGGGCCTCTTCTTGTGTACAAATACAAATATATTTATTAAAATTTACATCATACAGTCAGCTTATAACCATGGGTCCCACACTAGGAGGTCCTGTATCGTGGGCACCCAATGAATGTAAAAAATAAAATATTGCAACAGATGAAAAGTAAAATTACAGAATACAGAAACCATTTTTTTTAACTACGTCATAAAGTAATAAAGTGTGTGTATGTGTGTGTGTGTGTGTGTGCTTGTCTGTACCTATGCATGTAGAACGGTGAGAGCCAAGGACTTCGGGTAATGTTATTCCAGTCGTTTAAGCAGGTTTTCGGATTGCATGTAAGTCATGGACAATAACCATGAGGTGATAGTGCGCTTTGCCTGTTTCGTGTTAAGTTCTCTGATATAACACAGTTTTGTTACCTTATTATAGATATACGGCAACATAAATTTTGGCAAGCGACGCGCGAAAGTTGTTCGTACAACTGGGCGTGTGTTATTCACATTCTAATTGAATTTTATACGGTGCCACATTGTCATCAAGGAATATCCAAGTAAACCCTGGGGGCCGCTTGGCGTCGTCACGTCAATCGCTGGCCGCTGCCGCAAGAGGTAATATGTGTAGTACGTTGGCGATTTAGGCGTATTAAACGAATGGGATGACGAATCATATTAATAAGTTTAAAGTGTGTATAAAAACATGTCTCCTTAACTGCTTGGAGTTTTAAACTTTAAATTCATGCGGGCTATTTAAACTTTACGGCTCTATATATAGGTCATTTCGCCAAGTTAATCTATGGTTCAACTTTTTAATACAAAAGCAGGCTATAACTATCACAAAAAACGACTTTATAGTACCGTGGGTAGCGCGCCCCGATCGGGGCGTGCGGTCTTTATTGAGTGAAAGGTTACTTTACTGTTAAAGATTTCATAAATGATAAGTCACCTTGGGCTTAATATAACAGACTAACCTGAAAATTGTTTAATCGCCACTTCTAAATTTAAAAGTAGTACCTAGCTATACTTAACTTTTGTTAATTAATAATATTAATGTGATTGAAGTTGACATCAACACATGTTTTAAATTTTTGATGTCATCTTTCAATTGACGACACTGTTTGAAACAAAACAGGGAGAAAGAAATAGCCCTTGTTGAGTTTCTTGCCGGTTCTTCTCAGCACAAGTTCTCCCGCCGTAGATTTACGAACCGATGGCGTAGCGTTTGACTTTCACAAGAGCTTGTAACAGCCTAGACTGAATAAATGAGTTTGAGTTTGAGCGTTATGAAATGTATGAAAACATGTCTCAAGTTGCAGGGACTGACGCGAAATCGTATTAAGCGTGATCGTATTAAACGGGTTCTACTGTATTAGCTTAATTATGAAAATAAGCGACTCCAAAAAACTAAGTAAATATTTCTTTAACGTTTGGCAAATGTGTATGCAACCTACGTTTGTACGATATCTACAAAATGTAATGTGCTAACACTGAGTCATTGAAGTCGATTGTGAATAGTTAATTTGCGGGAACAACACATGTTCCGTGTCGTGTGTAAGGCACCGTTACATAGTAAACTGAGTTGATAAACTCGCAGGTCGCACTCTTACAACAAACGGTAGCGAATCCTTTGTAAATTTATTTATTTATTTATTTATTCATGGAAAACAAACAGCATGTTAAAACTAAGGATAAAACGAGATGATGTAGCATTGATATGCCTTATACAGTTTTCACAAATACAACTCAAATAAAATATACTTAATCCAATCGAGGCCGTAGATTAATTTAAAACTATATAAAAATAAAAAAAAAAAGTAAAAAATTAAACATAAAGCCATACCCACAGAGAAAATGGTGATAGAAATATAAAGTAATTTAAATTAGGTTTTATTATCATTATTAAAAAATTTACTATTCACAATCTTTTTGAAATAATTTATTCTAGCTGTAGCTGCTCTGAAAACATTTTAGTGGTGTATGTCCTGGTATTAAAGTGTAACTAGCAAACCAGTGAACCAAATGTTCAGCAAAAAAAAAATGTATTTAATTAATTGAGAATTTCGGAGATTTTGTGTGGTTTCGTTTGAAATAGAAATCACGTGATTTCTCGAAAACCGGAAGTGCTACGTTACTCACTTCCGGTTTGTAGTCTTGTCAGACTATTCTTAAATTATAACTTGAACATTCTCTATATCTATCTCTTACGGTTTGGCCGCTGAAACAGCACCACGGACGGACGGACGGACTTGTCTATTAGATAAGAGATGAGCATGAATATAGATAAAGTATAGGTTGAGAGTACAATATACTCTGATATAAACAATAGTTGCGTTAATATTAATTCGATATTAATTGATTGGTGTGAATGATAAGGAATTAGTGATGGATTTTTCCATGAAAATGGTAAGCAAAATCATAATTATTTTTTGTAGGAACTTTTGAAGGTCGTATTAACTAGTATCATCATTATCATCAGCCTATTAATGTCCCCCTGTCCCCACTGCTGGGGCACATGCCTTCACTATGGATGGAATAGGGAGATTGGGCCATGACCCACCACGCGGGCCCCGTGCGGATTGGCGGGTGCTAATGTTAACTAGTATAAGGATATAAAAATAAAGCGATATCAAAGATGTGACAAACATACAGTAGAAAATAAAAAATCAAATTTGGTCGCTATAATGAGCCAAAACTGCTTGCCAACAAGCATTAAATTTAATAGACATCTCTAAGTGTGACCATTAGGCTGCGTTTCCACCAGAGATGTGCGATGGAAATGTGTCGTGCGAGGATGTCTAGCTGTGCTGTGAAAATGTGTGGCGATTTCCTCCAAAGCTGTGCGATGAAAATGTGCCTACGAGGATGTGTAGCGGAGCTGTGAAAATGCGCATTAATGTGTGGTATAGTATGCGCAAACCTCGCAACACATCCTTCTCAACACACATTCCTCGCAACACATCCCTCGTACACATCCCTCGCTTGTTTTGTATGCGCAAAAATCTAGCTCCGCTGAGCCGTTTCCACCAGAGCTGTGCTGACCGAGGCGAGGTAAATGAAGCGATTCTATTGGTTCTTTACAAACTCATCCCTCGCTATGCATCCTCGCACATCTCTGGTGGAAACGCAGCCTTACACATAATTAATTTTGAGTGCACACCTGTTGTTGTTGCCGGAGCATGTTGAGCTGTTGTTCTAACTCCAGGTTCCTGGTGGTGAGGCGCCGCACCTCCTCCGTGTCCGACGACGACGCCTCCACCGTCTCTGCACAAAATAACAACACAATCTCACATACAATCCTATACACAAAAAAGAAAATTTGACAATTTTTTCTAGTTATATTTTCTTTAGATTTAAACATCAAGCAGTTACATGCTTTAAAAATAATAAAATTTATAACTATAATTGCTATTTCTTCTTTCAAATGTTTAATACTTGTAAAAGTATTCATTTTGACATTGTGGGTTACCTATAATGCGAAGAGATGGCGCTGCCTTGCAGCTTAAGAATAGCTAGAAGAATTTCGACGCGGTCCGTGAGGGCCGCGGTAGCATAATTGGTCAGTGCATTCGCCCGGATTGCGAAGGGTGCGGGTTCGAGTCCCGTCTGCTGCCTGGTCCGCGTGGAATTTTTTCTAGTTATATTTTCTTTAGATTTAAACATCAAGCAGTTACATGCTTTAAAAATAATAAAATTTATAAATTTGACAAGTTTTAGGCAACGATCTCACGTTATTGACTAATGTTTATGGAGTCCGTAAAAGGTAGGATATTCATCATTCTGTTGTGTATTACAGTAAAAATAATCAAATCAAAAACTCCTTTTTCGATTTGCCGCGAAAACGTTTCTCTGGACAATATGGCGTCTTACTAGTGTGTGACGTCACACGACTGTTCTTTAAACGTCAAACGATACAATGTAATGTCACTTTAACCGGAAGTTTACTTGCGTGTGACGTCATTTTTGGCTCCGCCAGCTCCAAGCGTTTTGGGTCACGTGACAATAGGTAAGAAAAAAAAAACTTTTACAAGGGTTTTCAGTAAAATTGTGAATCTTTTTTTTTTGTAAAAATAGTAAAAACTTCTGCCAATATTCAATCTAAACACAGATGCTAACGATTGGCATTTTATTTTTAATACTGTCAAATACCCCATTCAATTCTCTGAGACAAGATTGTGGAAATGTGGAGACACTGACTGGATCTCAGAAGATCAGAACGGCGAGAGTTCTAATCTTTACAGTGGAACGTAAGGACTGGCAAGCAGGTAAAATCAGAAAAAACCCGCCAAGTGCGAGCCGGACTCGCGCACCGAGGGTTCCGTACAAACTCAATTTAATACCTCTACGCGTGCATGAGAAAAGAGGTAGTAACTTTAAAATTTTAAAAACATTTTTTATTATATGATGTAACTAAAACTTTACGGTTTTCGAAATTTTTCCTTTATCTGTACTGTATAAGACGTTACTTCGTACCAAATTTCAAGATTGTAAGTTCACGGGAAGTACCCTGTAGGTTTTGATTCCCGTGCGAGTTTCGAAAATTTGCGGCATAAACGGCTGTATCTTTTGATTGCTTTGGCTTAGAAGTTTGATTTTTTCACAGCTCCAAGGGACAGTAGACATGAGTATTAGATATGAATTTCAGTTTGATAACTCATGCGTTCCTGAGAAACACGGTGTTGACAGACAGACAGATGGACGGACGGACAGACAACAAAGTGATCCTATAAGGGTTCGGTTTTTTCCTTTTGAGGTACGGAACCCTAAAAATAGCAATTACAAGACTGCATGTTAGACATGAATACGTATTAAAATAATAATAATATTTTTATTTATTGCACTCTTTTACATAAAAAATTATGATTAAAGTTATTATGATGCTGCCACGAATATCCAATGACTATTCGGTATTCTTTCGGGTTTTTCGTTGTTCGATATTCGGCCTACTAACTATTAGTGGCATCTCTAATTAATATCTATATATTATATACACAAACACGCGAATTTAGAACTTTCCTCCATCTCAAAAAGGCACTCTTTTAAGAATAATTTCTAACGAAGTTTTGACCTATTTTTTCAAGAAATCAGCACAGCACTATGATAGAAAAACTTAAAATAAATTATTAAATATGTACCTCTAGTTCCCCATCGCAAACAAAATGTGGGCAACATTACCAAACAGCACAATGCGCTCAGTTGATATGAATCAGAAAGAGGAAAATTCTAAAAGTTATTTAATAACAACATCATTATGTTTACTGTTAATTAAATAGTATCAGCACCTAACAATCACCATTGAGTTGCTCAGTATTTGAGTTATCCTGTAAAGTGAAAGTTTGTATATTTGTCACTCAATTACACAAAAACTACTGAATGGATTTGGATGAATTTAGTATGCAGTTAAGACCTGGTTTGATTCATACGATACTTGTTATCTCAGAAAAATGTTTAGTTCCTGAGGCATTCTAAAAAAACTGAAGTTATTGCAAAGTCACGAGCGCTTGCTAGTATTATATATTGGCTCATTCGTTTCACACGTAAATCGTTTCCACATGCCTACAAAAAAAAAACAAAACTATTTTATGCAACAGAGATTGTTATTCCTTTTTTATCGGAACACTCTTTGTTTAAAAATAAGTGATGTATAATTGTTCATAATCCTGTACGCTTAGCACGAATTTTAAAATTACGAAAACTAAGATAGTTTTCGTGAGCTCGCACTTGTTGATTTTTTTTTCGTTTTAATACAAATAAATAGTGTTTAAATTCAATCATTGAATCATTTTGGTGAAAAGTGTCCAAATATACTAAATTTTAAGTATATTTGGACACTTTTCACCAAAAATGGACATAGAAACATTATTTACAGTAACGAAAACTATGATAGTTTTCTTGAGCTCAAACTCGTACTAAGGTCTGTATGAAATAAAACAATTATTACATACATTCACTCACAATTTATCGTGATAGTGACAATCTATTTTAAGTATCAACATATCAAGTTAAGTATCAGCTAAATTTCTAAACATACCACTAACAAGCAGCTGCAAGTTCTGTAGCTCTGATTTCTGGTTTTGGCTGAGGGTCTGCAACTGTTGCAGCTCGGCCCGTAATCCCAGCACCTCCGACTCCAGCTGCTCGTTCTTCTGCTGCATCTTCCTCATAACTTCTGTAACCACACTACCACTATTAAAAAACAATAGAAAAAACACTGTTCTATGTTTAAATAATAATTAACTATTTGAATGACCAAATCTTGTTGTGACAAGAGTATTCAATATATTTTATACATAGCAAGATGCATATTTTTATGGTACTGTGAGTCATATTAAGTAACCAACTCTGTTATTTGTATTGTTCCCTTAAGGAGTATTAATGCTATTTTTTATCATACTGTTATTATAAATTAAATGACAGCTTTTTATGGTTTCAAACGCAAAGTGTGACAATGTAACCCTATCATTAAGCTTCTGGTGTTTGTTAGCAATATACATTTCAAGACCCAGTGTTGTTATGCAGAGAGCGGACCAGTGGGCATTTTAGAAAGCATGCAAATATTTTTCTACAAACCCATATTAAAGTTTGATTTTGTTTGATGCCATTAGTAGCTTTCTGCTTTCACAATCATACTTTATCATTGGCCCTCAGAACTCGATTTTGCCAGCTTCAAAAATGCCCCCTGGTGCTGATGATGCTTTCGGGTAAACATTGCTATAGTTATATTTGAAATTTACATACAATATCTATCCAGATGGAGTATTAGCACAATATTATTAAGTAAAGGGCATAATGCTAATCCTATTTCAATTTTTTTAGCTCAGTTTACTATTTAACGAACAAAAAATGTTCATAAACATATAGGTTTTGTTAACAGTCAAAAGCCAAATTGATATATTTTGCGAGTAAGTATCTAATACACCACCTTGTGTATAATGAACATCCAGGTTTAATTTTTTATTATAACATAATAACATTTCTAATCAGAATTTAACTAATTTAGTACTGTTAGTAAAAATCTCAGAAACAATGTAAGCACAAGTGAATTATTGTTTTTAACAATATCTTATTTAAAACATTACGCAATCACCACAAACATTGACAAAACTACTCTAAGGATATCTTAAATGCCAATAGGATATTATGATTCAGGTGGGATTAATGACAAAACTATGAATTCCAAACCATACTACTTGCCACTAGCCATATTGAATTAAAAAACATACATAATGATAATGTTATGTACATGCAACAAAACAAAAACTCTTTTAGGATGACGTATAGTCATGCTCCCAAGACCTGCACTGTCTGGCAGTCGGGTGATGAGTGAGACGAACCTTCTTTTTGTAAAAAGATCTCTTTCATTTTCGCTCGTTGTACATTAAATTCTTCCTCTAGTTCTCGCCTCATTTGATCCGGAGACGAGCTGGCAGGACCATCCACACCTTCCACTTGAAACAGAAATACTTTAACATCTCCCTGAGCACATTTTATCGTGAGTTTGTTACATGGGAAATAAAAAACATACCTTTCGAATCAGTGGACGGTTCGGTCGACATCTTTAGTTCAATAGCTACAACGCTACAAAACTAAACACTACGTACATGTATTCCTCCAAATAGCATCATAGCTAATTAATATAGCGAAAATTACAAAATTTCGTGTACAACAAGAAAAGATGAGCTCGGAAATCATTCGGAAATTGACAAAGTGAATTATTTATCATAGTCATAGAATGAAATGTCAGTTGCATGTAGGGTTGCCAGAAGTGATTTATTAATTTACGCCAGATTAAAAACTTACGCCAAAAAATATCAAAAATAAATCTTTCCTTTAAAAACAACCTGCAAAATCTTGTTTTGGCAAATAGAGTTTTCTTTTTAATATTTATGTTTTCAAATACAAATATATTTATTAAAATTTACATCATATAGTTTATGATCATGGCTCCCACGCTAGGAGGTCCTGTATCGTGGGCACCCAATGAATGTAAATGTATGTATGTAGGATGGTGGAAGATTAAGACTTTAGAATAGAATAGAAATATTTTTTAAGACTTCGGGTTATGTTATTCCATTCGTTGAACCAGGTTTATGGTTTGGATGTAAGTCTGACTGACTGACTAGCTAGACAATAACCTCAAGGTGACAGGGTGCTCTGCCTGTTTCGTGGTGAGTGCTCTGATGTTACACTTTAAGTATGTATAATTATTGCACGCTCAAAACTTGAGTTTCAGAAAAAAGTGCTTCAGCAGGGAAAAGATAAGGTTTACCACACATAGTTTTAAGGACAGTTCGTTGGGCTCTTTCGAGCACTAGTATTGCAGTAACAGAAGTCCAACCCCACATCGGAATTCAATAACTGAGACGTGATTCTCCCAAGCTTGTGTACTCTAATCGAAGAGTCTGACACAACAGCAGAATTCCTGACGAACTTCATTCATGAGAAGAGGAAATGGTTTTTGACTTAACTTCTTAAATGAGAGATCAAAAATTAGATACGATCAAAAACCACCCTCACGTAACCAATACTTGCAACCCTGTCAATGTTTTGACACGTGCAATTTTTAGATAATATGCAGTCAGAATGCAAGCGGATCTTAATGTTAGGAGCAGGCGCAGAAGATTTGGTCTTATAAAAAGATATGTATACTGTTTTTATACGTTTCAATTCAATTCAATTCAAATCAAAAATCCTTTATTCAGTTTAAGCTTGTAAAAGCACATGTGAAAGTCGAAAACTACGTCATCGGTTTACAAAACTACGGCGGGAGACCTTATACTGAGAAGAACCGGCAAGAAATTTAGCAAAGGCTGCTTTTTTCTCTGTTTTATTTCATACAGTGTCATCAAATTGAAAGCTAACATCAAAGTTGCAAACATGTATTGAGGTCAACTTCCATCACATAATGTCAAATAGGCAACAATAATTTATATTTATTTAACTCACTTAACACCACACGGCCCATAAGGGCCGCGCGGGAAAAAACATTGCACGGTCAAACACCGCACGGCCCATATGGGCCGCGCTCCCCACGGGACTATAAGCCATTTTTTGTGAAGGTTAGAGGCTACTTTTGTATGAAGAAGTTTTACCATAGATTAACTTGGCGAAATGACCTATCTTTAGAGCCGTAAAGTTTTCACCTACTCTGTGTAGTTTTTTTTTTTGCGTCGTTGAAAAAGTGGAATTTTTTTGGTCGAATTGAGGTTACGTGTATGTAATTTATCTTTTTTTTCATGGTAAATGCTTAATTTTATAGGGAAAGTGTTATAAAGTGTGTTGTTCTGCTTACAATATACCTTTATAGATAATTGGTTGTATAAAATACTTCGTAATAAAAATGATTTTCATGTTCAATACTGACAAAATTTCTTAGGTTGTTTCAAAGTTATTTGTGATGATTGAGTTTCGGTAATATAAATAAGTGTTTACAATAAGCAATTGAAACTCGTTTACAGTTAGTTTTTACATCGCTGATAACAAATTATTGTTAGAAACTCCTCATAAAGATAAGGGAATTTCTGTGTATAAAGATCAAAAATGGGGTATCGTCTGTCAATTCCTAGCAAGCCATTTTGACTCTTATATGTACGGCGTCACGGGCGTAACCTACTTGCAGTCGATTTGAACCTCTTTTCGTAGGCGTATTGATAGGTACGTATCGATAGTCACGAGATAAAAATAATGAATTGTCGATAGATCGACTAAAATTGTGGTGGTGGCATTGTAGGGCGAGTTTATGTTTAGCTAATTTATTGTTACTGTTTTAGAATGGTAGTTTTACATATAACAAAATAAAATAAATTCATGCAGTAAATATGGTGATAATGGCTAAGTAAATATAGTGGTTTTCTTTTTTTTGGATTTTATAGTATGTCTTCGTGGCGCTAAGACCAGGACCCAACCGCCGATTTTTTATTCCTGCTCTATAAAGATAAAGAGGGTGAGGAGCAGCATATGAGTGATGCAGCAGAAGATACTTTCAATTTAGCAATATATTCAAAGTTCGTTTGAGTATTGTATCAATAAAAAGAACTCAAGAATGAGAGAACAAACTTTATTATTTCTATTGATATCTACGGTTTCGGGTTTATTACCAATAAAAAAAACCTAAAGTACGTGAAGTCAATTTTTTTCCACTGTGTATGGTAGTTTTATTTTTAGCTATATTTATCCATATCCTTGTTGATAATAGGAATAATTACACTGTAAATAAAAATCAATTAAAAACAGTACCAAATGTGTTTTTATTTATAAATAACAGAACAAATATCGATAAAACTATAAAAGTGAAGGCACGGCAAGATACATCCCTACTTTGTTTTTTGTTCGTTGGGTCGGGTCGGACTCTGGTTTCAAGTGCTGTTTTTGTTATCAACAATGGGGTCTTTCATTAGTTTGTTTACATAAGTGGGCAGTTTAGATATATGATTCTCGGCATCCGCCCGTTTTTTCGTTTATTTTACATCGTAAAGTGCGTAAAGTAGTGTAAACTTTGGGCATCTCAAATAATTATAACGTATTGATAATTGCCATATTTTTTTTACCCGACTGAAAGAAAATTTATCAATTAGTAAATTCTCGTTCACGCAATGATAATTAATGATTTGGCTACAGCGTAATATATTTTTTTTTGTCGCGCGGAAGCCATTTTGATTGAAGCCGCCATTTCGTTTATAGATGACGTAATCAGCATATCTCAAATTTCACTTCCCGTTTTGACAGGTTAAAACGAATTGACTAACAATAATAGCAAGAAACAAAAACCAAAAATTTCCGCAAAATTTCGTGGATTAATACCTCAATCTGGTATCACAGGTTAGTTGTTATTGTATATTTTTTTAAAGTTCTCCCTTTACAGGGAAGGCAAAAGGAAAAAATCCTATACAGCTTCGTCCTCAGTTTTATTATTTTTTTGAATTATAAGATTTATTTTAATTATAATTTTATATTTGAGATATTCTTTTATTTATGTCGCTTTGTATTTGTTTTTTTTATTAAGTTCAATAAAAAGTCATCTACGTAACAAAATAGACACAAAGTAAAATTATGAAAAATCTTAGAATCGTGTTTAAACGATTTACAACCTACCTAATAACCAGAATGAGCAAAAAAACCAACAAACAAAAACAACAATTAACAGAAATATTACGATATAATTTAGATGCAGTTACAATAGTGAATAAAATATAAGGTTTGAAATAGCTATGTGGCTACTCGTACCACCACAATTAACGCACGTAGGAGTATCGCCGTTTAGTTCGCTTTTTTGAAATTGGGATTGCCTGAACAGATGGATCAAACTTCATTGTTTTTGCAAAACTTAGTGATATGACCGATACGTAGGTATCGAGGGCACTGCTTTAGTGGATTTATACTGACCTCGTGCCACCAAGAGTCGAGGTATACATATTCAGGAAATTGTGTAGATGAGAACGTTACCGCAATAGTCTGCGTCGGAATAAAGCCGGCCGTACCGGTTTCGTCTCTGACCCGTCGCATGAAGCGCCGCACCTGAATGATGAATCACATTTCTGGAACTGCATTTTAATGAAAATAATTTCTTATTAGATAAATCTGCGGGTACTGATTTGAGCACGCCAGTTATTTCAGCGTGAGATGCCGGAATAGTTGCAAAAAATCTAGTTCTTCGAGCAATTTTTTGTTAGATATAAAAACATTAGCGTTATTGGGCAAGTCGAATGTTATCCTTATTTTGTATATTGATAGGTCTCAGATGAAGAATACCCGACACGCAATGCTTTCTAATAGCATACGGCCTTATTTAAATAATCATTTTCAGTTCTTTATATATTTCATGATGGGCCTGATTCTGGTATAATTCTCCAAACCTAAAACCAGATTGAAATAAGCTGTGTTTTAATTTATTATCAATTTATATTTGTTTTTTTAATTTATTGCATATATATTTGATACAATTATATAAATATGTTGTCTCCTTCTTACAACTTGGGATCTTTTAAAAGAGGCGTGAAAAAGCAACATGCAGACTGGCAAGGTAAGTAGTGGCAGGTAGTACAGGTAGCTCTACCAGCTATCTTCACATCGGACTTCACCGTCACTTAACATCAGGTGGGGTGGAGTCATTTGTCGGACCTATCGATAAAAAAGTATATATACACACATACACCACCCTGTGGTTAAATTGATAGGTATGATACTCCACTATCAGCTCGCACTGGCTTGACACCCTAGAAGAAACACCCTGTATATATGGGAATTGTATTTTTTTTGCTTTTCCAATTATCCTTATTCTAATACCTAATGTTATAAATATGAAAGTTTGAATGTTTGTTACTCAATCATGAAAAGACTTGAATCACGTAAACAGAATTTGTGAATGAGATACAACATCTTTTATCTATTAGACAAGTCCGTCCGTCTGTGGTGCTGTTTCAGCAGCCAAACCGTAAGAGATAGATAAAGAGAATATTTAAGTTATACGTTAAGAATAGTCTGATAAGACTACATACCGGATTTGAGTAACGTAGCACTTTCGGTTTTCGAGAAATCAGGTTTTGGTGAACATTTGGTTCACTGGTTTGCTAGTCTCTTATCTATCAGACAAGTCCGTCTGTCTGTGGTGCTGTTTCAGCGGCCAAACCGTAAGAGATAGATAAAGAGAATATTTAAGTTATAAGTTAAGAATAGTCTGATAAGACTACATACCGGATTTGAGTAACGTAGCACTTTCGGTTTTCGAGAAATCAGGTTTTGGTGAACATTTGGTTCACTGGTTTGCTTATTTTATATTTTATTACCCGGATGTCCCATACATTATTGGTGCCTGCCTGGATTAAGACGTAGGAATGGTACCTACTTTTTATCCCGGAAAAATGTCAGATTACTGTGGGATTTTCAAAAAACTAACTGTAAATAATGCCTACGAAGTCGCG